CCAGACTGGAATACGGTTGAATCGTTCCAGACTAGGTTGCAGGATTTGGACTTTACGCTTACGCAGTCGATGTCGAAGTGGGCTAGGGATCAGGATCCTAACCATGAGCCTCCTCACCACGAGGGATTGGGGATGTGATTTTGATGGTTTTGATTTTGAGACTCTTTTTTTTCCATTTCTTTTGACATTTTTTTTCATTTTGATTTATTACGTTTCTTGCTTCATTTGCTTTCGATCTATGTCTTGATTTCCCCCTTTCCCATCAGCGTGTGAGCCCGTTTTCTTTCTCTCTTTGGTCATTTTCTCTATGTATATGGTTTCCGTGCTCTGTTTCCCATCATCTCCCTTCCAAACATAGCCCAGGGGAGGAAGACTCATAGCAAGGGCGTTCTTATTATGGCTTCTCCGCGTTTTAGATTGGTGATCTATGCATTATGGCATCTGAGTTTCTGTATATCTTTTGTGCTGTCAACTTGAGTATGGGTAGCACGAGAAGGGGGACACGTCTCAGCTCCACAACATATCCATCCGTTCGACCGATATTATCCTCCCCTCTCGAACCAACACCCCGGCTCCAGTTCCAGTCTCAGCTATGTCTCACCCGACACGACATTTCCTCGAAGGGACAACCCTGGGAAACTACGGTGCTGCAACCCCCGTCTCGAATCTCTGCCCAACACTTCAACCACACAACCCCAGCTCCGTCGCTTATTACCCCGAACAACCCCGGCAAATTCACCGTTCGCCCCACGATCATACTACACGCAATCCCAGACAAACTCAACTGTGTCCCAGCCCTACGACCCCGCCGAGATTCCCCATGCACAACGTATTTCAGACGGGACATGATCAACCCCAGCCACGTTTAAACAGAGTATCTCGAACAGCCAGTTCTTCGTGGGAACTTATCGTAAAACACTACATTATACATGATAGCTATATATGCAGCCCTAGCACATCCAAATCACCACAACGGGATATACAAGTATGCAGCGATTTGTGACACAGTCCGGACAGAAGGAGTCGTGGAAGGCGTAGCACAAAAAGCATCGAAATGAATTGATCAACATCTGTTATCTACAATGCATCTCAAGAAAGCAAAAACCAAATCCATTCAAGCGTTTAAGCAGATCATACGTCGTGCTCGGCAGCTACGACGAAAGTACCATGATAACGGTACCAGCCAGCACAAGGTCAATATCATTCACTGATGATTCCAAATCCTAGGGTGGGTTAGTATGCGCAAATGCATGGAGTACCACACACACACAGCAGCGAAAAGGGCACAAACTTCGACCCCTTACTCCAGTGCATGTACATTATACATTATACATTCACCATGTCGTAGATTCTCCATAACTAGTATACACCACCAAGCACCTCCATGTAAAACCCCCAGTTCTCTCCAAAAAGCCAAAACGGCTCTCGATGCAAATTCCAAAGTTGCCCAGACATCCAAGCCAAGCCACCCCCCCGAATCCACCTCAGCCCTAACCCCAATGCAAAAACCCAATCCAAATGAAAATCCAACCGGGAGTGACTAGTCTCAGTTGGACCTCGAGCTCTAGTTCGAGGGCCCCACGCCTGTATCCGGCTCCCTGCAGCTTTTTTTTCCTCCCGCAGACTGGAACACTACACTACGCTACGCTACGCTATCCTCGAACGGGCATGCAAGCAGGGAGCAGGGGTTTTGTAAGCGAGATGACGTGGGCGGGTATGTGCACCTGCATGGAAGGGATGGGGGATGGATTTGGATTGGATTTGGGGGGAAGATTTACATTTAGATTTAGATTTGGGGATTTGGATATGACTTTGGGAGTTGCATATGGTTTAGGGCTATATACTACACTGCAGTACTAGGTATGTATGTATGTATGTATGTACTCCGGATTCCTGCATGATTATACGAAACGGATACGATGTTGGATAAGGGGGGATCTCCGGATCTAGTACGGAGTACAGCTGGGGATAGGTGATAAAACGCCACATATACGAAGCGCATTAATAGGAAGCAAACAAACAAACAGCAAACTCGATTTGATATTCGATGTATCGAGTGTCAGAGTCAAGCGGTGGAGACGGATACGGATATGTGCCGGGAGCGGACGGGACGGGTATGGGATGGCCCACTGTGGGCCACACGAGGGATATTCCACGAGGGGGAGTAATGAATATGAGGAGTGAATGGGAGAGGATGGAGTACGGAGGACGGAGCGTTGAGGATTGGTTAGGGGGGATTGTAGTACTTTTGTGATTACTGAAAGAGGAAGGAGGAAGGGGGGGGGCTTTTGTTTCAAACTAGACCTAGTGGGAGAATTCCAAGATTGCGGTGTGTATGTGTGCATTGCACTAAGTACTAAATACAGAAGTCAAATGGAAATCAGGAAACCGTCGCTAAAATGAATCCAGTCCGATGAGTCGACAAAAGAGGAAGGAGATGACGAAATGGAAAAAGAGGGGGAGAAGAGGTAGGAAACGGAGAGACTACCCAGGCGATACTGGGTAGGGAGGGGATGACCACTGGCATCATGGCTAGGCTGCTGCCTGCACAGTGGATCACAGTTCATAAGGAGGATCAGTAAGATCCAAAGGCACGCTCGGGGGATATATAAGAATGAGCACATAGGCTCAGAGGGATGAGAGGTTTTGGCCGGTTAACGTCGCTATCAGAAAATCATACCCTGTCCCAACCTGTCTAGCATTCCAAAGACGAAGGCAAAGGCAAAGACAAATAGATGGACAAAGCCTAGGCTAAGCACCGGGCAGAGTCTATATGGCATGGCTCATGGCTCATGAGTAGAAGGTGCTCTTCTGGAAGCTCTCGGGTGAGATATCACCAATCTTGCTGTTAATCTCGGGCTTGGCCAGAGATGACAGGCTCTTTGTGCGGGATTCGGCCACAGGGTCGCCCTTCATTGTAGTGGTGCGTGAAGCAGGCTCGGTGCCTGCTGTGATAGCCTGCTGATTGGGCCGGCGCTGGATAGTCTCCAGGTACGGGCCGGGGAGATAACCGACGCGGCCATCGCGGGCACGGCAGCGCCACCACTCAGAGGCGTTGCCCATAGGATCAGACTTGCTGAGGACGGCGACGATGTCGCCCTTCTTCACGGCCAGATCAATGCCATTGCTCTCCTGGGTCTCGGGGGTGTAGTCGTAGAGGAGACGGCAGAAGTCCAGCTTGGCCGGGTCGAGCGATGCAGAGCCTGGCTCGCCGTTAGGGCCGACGAGTTGGCGGCGCTTCGCTTCTTCCTCCTGAGATCGGGCCATGGTCTTGATGAGCTTGCCCATCAGGTAGGGGAGACCGAAGAGGGCAATCAGGAACATGAAGAAAGGTTTCTTGGATGGCTTGGCGGGAGCCGGGGAGCCATCAGGAAGTGTAGCGCGGCCGCCCATGAAGGCCGCAAAGGCAGCGGGGGTCAAGGAAGTCGCATCCGCTGGCGGAGGACGTCCTGTGATTTTAGCGATCAATGTGCGGAACCACCGAATGAGGGTGAAAATGCCCAGAGCAGAGCCGAGGGTGGTGCGCAGGTTTCCAAATTGCTCTGCGACCGAGACCATTGCTATAAAAACGAGTCAGCGAGTGTCCATGATATATTTCTTTTCACGAGGAAAACCAACCAAAGAATGAACTGTGCGTAGCCATGTACGTGCTCTCAAGCATCTGAGCAAAGCCACCAAACGCACCGACGATACTCTCAATCATGTGGAAAGTGGCCTGGGTGCTCTGTCCAAACGAGTTCGTCAGGCTGTTCGGATCATTGGGATCTTGTCCCGGCATGCCGCCGTACATCCCTCCCATGCCTCCCATACCGCCCATGCCACCATACATGCCGCCTCCGTAGCCTCCGTAACCGCCGCCGCCGTACATGGACCCCATGCCGCCCATGGAGCCGAAGCGAGAGTAGGGTGATCCCATGGCACCCATACCGCCCATGCCGCCGTAGGTAGATCCGTACGCGCCTGTTCCAAGGCGCGACGCTCCATATGGCGAGTAGTTGGAGGCGGTGTTGTTGACTACGGAGTTGAGAGCGCTGGGACGGGAGGGAAGGTCGGGGGCGGTGGACGTTGAGACTGCGGGGTTGGTTGTGGTAGTCATCGCGGTCGAGGCAGCAGGGCTACCGGCGATAGGTACTGTTGATAATGCGTTTCCTGGGGAGAAGAAGAGGAGATGTTAGTCGGGGTGGGCATTGTGGATTGCGGATTGCGGTGACTCTTGTGGCGCTAAGATATCGGCAATCGAGAGAAAGACACTTACCAGCTGCACCTGCTCTCTCCCACGGCTTTGGTGGCGAAGGCGTCGCCATGGAGTTGAATATTAGCGGAGTCGCATCTACATACAATATACGTTGTATTCGGATAGATTCGTCGCGAGACTGGAAAGGTTAGAGGAAGAGAGAAGGGAGAAGAAAAGGACGCATGTGGCCGGGAGTGGAGATGCCGAGGTCGGGGTTTGCCGAAGAAATACGGGGTATCTCTGCTGAGTACACAGACCGGTATAAATGCAGATAGGATTATATTTATGAAGATTGTGAAGATCTATTATCCCATAATCTAATTATCACATTCATCTTGTTGTGTTCAGTCTGTTCGCCCTGTCCTGTTCCCTCTCTTCCACCTGTTCGGCGAAATCTCTTCGGTGGCAAATGCATGTACCTGGGGGGCGACCGAGGCAATCTGAGATTAAGATGGGCATAAAGTAGATCGAAGGATTAGTGGAGTCATATGTTATACATACGTAGATCCTAGTGGCCATATTCACATTCATTCTACATCTTAGCCCAATGTGCAACTCGACCACATTTCCCTTATACAATGGCCAACAGCCAAGACTCACACCTACATGAACACATTCCTACAGCAATCCAACCTAGACAAGAATGAAGGAGTATAGATTCACCAAAGTACTCCGAAAACCCGAACACAATCCAGACAAAGTCTATTAACGCCATAGCACAGAGCCATATGTACAGATGCCAATGCAAAGATGAAATACAGGGAACTCATAACTCGTCATGATTAGCATAGGCAGCGGGTTGAGTATGTGCACGAGGCTGGGGCATCTTCAGCTTCCACATGCGCGGAGGCACCGGCAATCCAAGCCAGTAATTGTACAATCGAATAAGTTCTGACGAGCCGATTTGGAAACTGCGAGAGTCAGTATCAGTCTATCCGAAAGCAAATCCAAGTTCAAACTTACATTGTGTAGGGGAGGTCCATCCAAGACCGCCAGATATACCCAACCATACCCCAGACCATATTCCACTCGCTCTTCAAATCTTCCCAGAAGCCGTCGTCTGGGCTAGGCGGTTGGCGCTCCCAGGGGTACCGCTCTGGTGCCACGCCTCGGCCGTAGACATAATCGTCGTCGGGCCCTTCGCCTTCGAAATAGAAGTTATTATTTCCGTCGCTGAACACTCGTCTGTTATTGCCCAGGGCGTTGGCGTGGTGGGAGGAGGGCACAGCGCCGTGGACGGGGAACATGTGAGTAGTGCCGGTCAGCAGGGCTCGCTGCATACTGCGCGAAGCAGCGATACTGTGCGAGATGCGACCGAGGGTGTTGATGAGGGCGACCAGCTCGGTACGGCGAAGGGGCGGGTTCTCGCCGTTCTTGGTTTCGTCGTATTCGAACAGCACTTTGAGCGCGGTTCCGTATCCATTTACCTGGAGTTTGCCCCAGAGGCGGCACTTGTCGCAGCCCACGCAATCCATGAGACGACTGACGTTGCGGAAGCGGTTGCGGAAGTCCTCTTTCAGGCCGAGGGCGTTGGGGTCTTGGAACATGATCCTTTCGTCGAAGATTTGAGGGAGTTCAGACAAGGTGCTTGTCAGCTTGTTGATGCGCTTTTTGGTTTCGCGGTCTTGCACTGGGTCGCTGGCGCAGAATGTGTACCCGTCCAGGTGCTTGCGGAGTTTTGCCACGGCGCGCGATACTAGCGCGTAGTTGAAGTACATGTTTGAGATGCGCTCCGGGTGGTCGAGGAGTCGTTCCTGGAAGCATTGCACGTTGGGGTGCCACTGGCCTGTGGTTTGGTTCAGGTAATCCCAGCACAGATGTGTCGAGATGGAAGCGTGCATACCGCTCAGGAGGCGGTGGAACACCCGCTTCTCTAAGCACTCGTTATCCAGCGGCAGGCCTTCTACTCGCTGCGACTCCTTGTGGAGCACGTTGCGGAAGTCGGAGGCTGCTTGGAGGCCACCCATAGGGACGTTCGCCGACTGCTCGTCCAGCTCCTCGGCGACAGGCTTCAAGAAGCAGTTTTCGCTGTAGATAGCGTTCCACACTTGGTTTGCGCCTGCTCCGGTGTATCCGGTAAACCGCTCCGGGTTATCCACCAAGCTCACATAGTCTCCCTTCCCGGCGGAACCCTCGTCCTCGGGGATACAGTAGTCTCGATCTTCACACTCGTCGTCATATTCCACCACACAACTCTCGCCGACATCTTCACCCAGCTCTCCCTGGAGCGGGCGTTCTTTCGGACGCTCGGCTTGAATATTGCGGGATGGATGGTTCGCCTTGGGGCCCTCTAGTTTGCTGAGTTCTTCCGCCCGCCATGTCAGCGGGATATCTTCCTCCGAGTCAATGGTGTTCACGGCACAGGCGATGTTTCCACACATGCTATTAGCATCGTTCCAGAAGGGGCACTCTCTATTAAACAGGTTGAGGCGGTAGTAGGAGAAGAAATCGGTTTCTTGTGTGAGGGAGGTGAGTGTCGTGTAAATCAGGTCATTCATGCCGTTGATCTCGCCATATGAGACACAGGCATCCGATACCATGGCGGAAGGTTCGAGCTGGAGTAAATTGAACTGTCAGTCATCTGTATTGAGTATCCTAGGTCCTCAACAAAACTTACTGCACACTTGGTTGGGTCTAGTTCAGGATTATGAACGGCGGCATGGCTCAAGCCAGCAAGTGCGAACACTGCTGCATAGAGCAGCCTCGCTGCAGACCGCATCTTGACCTCCGACTTGTAGTATATGTAGATGAGGCGCGTAGAGTCGTCTGGATATTGTATATGCAAAGTGGCGCAAAGCCCAAAGATTCAACGGAAGGGTCTGTTCGGTGGTGGTAGGTTCTGGATTTGCGCAACAATGGTTTAAAAAGAAAAAGAGATGCTCTCAACAATATAAGAGAAAAAAAAACAACAGAAACAAGAATGTCAGGGTCTGCAAAGTGGACAAGCTGGCCTGGAAATGCGCGGAGAATCGGCCGATCGCCAAGAAATGATAATGGCCTGATTGATAATGTCCTCTGATTGGCTCATTGGGGTTCAACCTTACAAATTTGGAAAGTGGCAAGATGGAACTTCATGGACGTGGTGCCACAGGATAGTACCATATATAGTACAGAATATGGTACATTATATAGCACAGAATATACCTATATAATTAAGTACTCCAGCTGATCTACTGCCATTATATTGCCCAACATGCCACTTTACGAACATATATTAAACAACTATTTACTTCTAACTAGCCAAGTAGGCTCCCAAGCTTATTGAGAGATGAATAAACTGCCTGAATAAGAATATACAAGCCATTCAGATCCCTGTTGGATCCACATATCTAACCATAACCGAAACGGCATTCAATGATTCTTTGTCGTTGTACTAAAGAAGCTTTCAGCTATGAAGACATTGTCTCATTTATCATTGGTGCGTAAATACTAGACAGATATATGAATAGATGTACAGTAAAGGCAACAACAAAGCAATATTTGCTCAATAACCCGAATGACTTGGACTCCTTGTCTCATCGGTCTGGCGGTCTGACGGTCTGACGGTCTACCCTGAATATATATCTCGTAATTAAAGCTACAAATATAGCCAGAGTTTTTTTTTGGCTGAAAGAGATACAATCAAGCAATAAGTAGTCGATTATTTAGTTAAACTACTATTAATTCCACTAAACCTCGAAGGTTCTAGTCTTGAAAATACGCCTGCATGAGCTAAAAGTTATGTATTCGCGAAGGGCCCAAAGGACGAATGCCTGATTTTACAGGGAGCAATACATAAAACAAAAGGGAGTATAAAAGTCTATGAATCCAAAGTCAGCGTAGGTCCTAATCACAAAGTCACCCAGTATTCTCAAACTCATCGATAGTCAATACCAAATCATGCATAGTTATAATCTGTGATCCAAAATGGGAAGCTCAAGCGGGGGTAGTTGCCCGTCATTCCTCCGATGCCAATGATCTCAACGGTGAGCGCCAGGGTCCTGACGAGATTGATTTCTATTCAAGGTCTCCCCAATATTGGCATTCAAAACCGACACATGATCACTAGTGCTAGGGGCTGGGACATTAGAGGGGGGCTGCATACCACTCGGAGCTGGCACAGACCTACTCGGTGCACCGGGCAGAGCACGTCCACCGGGGAGATTGAGTGGAGTGAAAAGCGACTGAACACCCGGAAGGGTTGGCGGCGGTGCATGGCCATTCTGCATGATATTAGGGAGGGGAAGTGCCATCTGGGGCATCGGAGGTGTTAGTCTAGCATTGCCACGACGTCTCGGGCGAACACCGCGTTCAGGGTATGGTGCAGCGCGATGGCGTGTTCGCCGTGCCACGCCGTAAATAGTATCAGTTGGAGCGGGCATAGTGATATTAACACGTGGGTGGGTGCGGGATGGCCCAGCAATCTTTGTTGCCTTGGTGTGTGGTCCAGCACCGCCGGGTGTATAGTATGGCGGGCCGTCAATGTGCACGATATTGGCTGGCTGTTGGACGGGATTGTTTGTAGGGAGCTGGTGGGGGAAAACTCGCATCTCGGTTAATTGCCAACTCGCTAGTAACTGTTCCAGCTGGTCGGCTACGCGGGTGTGGTCTCGCTGGTGGAGAAGGTCTGCAATGGTGTAGCCCAGTTGGGCTTGGGTATACCAGCAAGAGTACCCAAACTCGGTACCGAAGTAATTCTGATGGCGCTGAGCGCGGGCAGTGAAGTACTGGGGTGGAGCATCACGGACGATGGAGCTGGGTGGATAACTCAAACCCATCGTCTCTCCGGCTCGTCGAAGGGTCGACAGCTGGAGATTGAGCTGGCCCATCCGGCCAATTATCTCGTCTTGGTTTGCTGGGTAGTTGTTCCTAAGACCATGGATGATCTGCTGCATGAGGGTCCAGAAATTGGCATGCTCCTCGCGGAACTCATCAGATGGTCTACGTCCTGACATGGCCGCGGGTTGATGGATAGATTAGTGGGACAGTGGTAGATACCGATGGGGGTTAGCCTCTTGAGTTCGAGTTTGTGAAAGTGATTGTCTTTTGTTAAAGTCAAACAGGATGCGAACAGTCTGATGAGGGTCAATGGGCAATATTGTAGAAGAATGAGTAGAATGTGGTTTGGTGAGTCGGATATGTTCGATGACATCGAGGTTTATATGCTTTCGGGGTCGGCCTCCTAAGTCGAGTAAAGAAAGAACTTTTCTTATACACAAAGAATATATAAACGGAAACAGGTTAAAAGAAGTAGAATGCCATTGATCTTGTTGTTCTGTTGCTTGTCTTTGTTACTCGGACTAAGAATCGGAGATACAAGGAGGCCGACAAAGTGACCAGGGTACACAAAGACTCCAGTTATAGATGGTGCTGACCATGTGAAATCCCAGCATGGCAGTTGCTTTGTTTTCTATTTAGTAGAGTTGCTCATGGGCTTGATATAGAATAGCAGTTTGAGCCGATGCCCGGGGAGGGTTAACATGATCGCATAAAAGTCAAGCCCTCGATATATGTGAAGAGTCCAAGTCAAACGATACAAACTACGGGCTAGGAGCCCGTGTGATACTGACTCTGAATCCTTCACCTCTTTCTTTTGGAACGCCAAAGCCATACTCCCTATGTGTGACGATGTTGTCCGCCGTCACCTTATATAGATCCATATCAAATCTTCGTACCAGAGTGGAGATGACCAGGTTCAACTCCGCCAAGGCCAAACTAGATTCCGTGTAAGCCTTGAGAATTGAGGAGAGGAGGTCGAGTATGTCTTACTGGTTGCCCAGACATTGCCTAGAACCCTTACTGAAGGTGACAATCATATGCTCCAAGCGCTGGCCGGCTGCTTCAGCCCGGATCCAGCGTTCAGGGTCAAAGGCATGCGGATTAGGGAACAAATCCTTATTTGTATGAATAAAATGAGTGGAAGTACTCAGTAGAGACTATTGAGGTACATGGAGGCGTTAGCGTTGTCGATCTCGGAGGATATAGGAGAACTCACGTTTGGTGGAATTGTCCATTGCTTGTATGTCAGGGTTTCATCGGGTGCACGTCGGGGAAGACGAGTTATGACGCCGGAGAGCCGAAGTCCTTCATTTATCACTCCTCTCTGAAAGGAAGTTCATTCGTTAGTTTCGTCTTTGAATATTGCACATTGCATTGCTTACCATGTAGGGCAATTTTTCAAGTTCGGCCCATGTGCTGGATGGGGAGCTCTCAAGCTCCTCGCGGAGCTTAAAAAATAACTCCTTCTCATTGAGCAAGTGGAACATGATGATCTTCAATGTTCCGGTTGTAGTCTCCGTGCCTCCACCAATCAAGGAAAAGCCCTCGTCCTGCAACCGATCCAGTGATCTTTCTTGCGCAGGCAAGGAAGGATCACAGAGAGCACCGAACATTGTTACTTGACCGTCCACTTTACCATCATTTTGGAGTGCGACGTCTGCTTGAGCACGAACCAGTTTCTGTAGTCGCAAAATGTTGGCTGCATGGGGCCAAAGCTTTCCAAGCACCTCATCAGGGATATACTTCGAAAGATCCAAAAGGAAAGGGAAAAACTTCAACACGTGAACTACAGATGCAAGACTCAAGATGGAGTCTGCGACTTCATTGTTGAAATTCACATCGTCCAAGTAGTCAAGGCTCACACCATGGGCGTACTCCGAGATGATGTCCGCGGTCAGAGCCGAAGATGCAGCATCCAGCTTTACAATTGTGTTTTGATCACAGGCTGCGTTGAGCCGTTTAACGAGCTTTTCCACCTTGCGGTGGATCATGTCTTCTAGTCCTGCAATTGACTTTTTGGAGAAATAGCTGCTCAGGATAGATCGGCGCGAACTGTGCAGGCTGTGATCAACAGTCGCGAACATGGACATCGGTTGACCTGCTAGCCGTACAAGTCTTGGATCTTTGTCACGCCTCCTGGTAGGGCCTGCGTAGATCTCCGTATAAAATTCGGGATCTGCCACATGGAGCTCATGAGGAGTAATGCGCACAATGGGACCTTGAAAATGGTTAGTATTGAGATATTATCCAGTGTCTCGAATATTAGTTACCATATTTCTCATGCATTTTCTCTATCTCCCACAAATATCGGCCACCCAGGACCACATTGTAATAAAATTCATAAAGACTTGTTAGGGCAGCTAATTTCGGCCCCGGGAACTTGCTGAGGGGATGGAATTGTAGCCGGTAGACCACCACCCCAACAACGAAGGTAAAGAAACCAAACCACAATAGTAGCATGGTGATGTGTTGTTTGAAGCTGAAAATTCAGTGGCCGAAGTTTGAGAGACAACTTACCAACCGCAAGGGGTCATGGCTATGTATAAATCCCAATTGAGAAATGTTTACCAATCGCTCTATGTGGGATTGGGTACCGAGTACTCCGTACGGAGCAACAAAGCTAGAAAAGCCAACCTTATGATTGCTACGTGGCATCCTTGAAATTGCCGCTAGTAGCTCAGACACGGAATTGCAATTTCCAAGGTTTACTCGGATCTGAGGTCAATGTGCTCCGGCGCTACTTTCTGCAAGGATCCAAACGAATTTGAACGGCTTGCCCGACCGCTATGTGGATATATGTGGAGGCAAGGATATGCCCGGGGGGGCCCGGGGGATTCCATAAAAAGGCATTAATATATTTCTGGAACAGCCTGGAACATTGCAAATTGCCGAGTAGGAAGCTTTAATTCAACTTTGGATGATGTTTGTGTCGGGTTCCTGCCTACCAGGTGAGCGTTCACGGGTGTTTGCATAGCATCGAAGTGACCACGTAAACTAATGGAATACAGCGCACAAAGTATATTGGATTGACAGGAGGCCAATATTGAGATATAAAGTATATGACCGGGATGTGTGTATTTCTACACTAACCTGTCGAGATGCATATACGCTAACGCAGGTTGTGCGTATGTACGGAGTACGGAGTATCGGATAATGGCATTCCTGAAATTCTATTTCCATTTTGGTCTTCATCTCTTGCCGCTTTTTGGCCCCTCGGTAAATCTGAGCATGCACCACGTGACGTTGATTATGTTGCTGACGTAACCTTCCACAGGCCACAGTTTCAAAGGTTGGTTATACCGAGGTCCAGTCACACCTGATTCCTTGGTAAACCTGTATAAATTGGAAGAATCAGCTTCTGGCATATCAAGTATACTTTTACCGCTACTGATGCTTCAAGTGGGAATACATGTGGAATATCTCAATCCAGTACGTGAACAGAAGCTGAATTAGAGTTTAATGTGAGAGGTTTAGTATATAAAATATATAGATCATTGAGTTTGTAATATTGGGACCTGTGATTTACTACATCTGGATTTAGGAGCCTCAACTCTACGTTACAGCACAAACTGAGGGTGAAGGCATTAGTAGCCTTGACTGATGGCTTCTGTATCATTTCAGGACCGAGGAAGACCGGATACATGAATGACCAGACTGTCCCAGTCTCTATTCGCATCAGCCATAAGGTACAGCCCTGTTTTCTGATTGGTCTATCCTAATCCCTCTGTCAATCGATCATGAAGTCAACGGGATTTCGGCGACAAGGCGCACTCGGCGACAGGGGCTGGGAAAGCTCCGGAGAGCGAACGACGGCAGGAAAAACCGTGTAGGTCGAAAAAATGGACGTTGGCACGCGGTCTGACGCGGCCACCCGGGGATATCTTCAGGTCAGGCTCAGAGATCGTTCCTGGGGTTTGGCATGGCCGTCGTGAAGCCTTGCGATCATCGTGAAAGAACGAAGTGTCATGTTAGCTCCTCGTCAACTCTTGTTGTCTATCAACCCTGCCGCAGCAGGGGTATTCTGGGAGCCTTTATCTACATGTTGATGCGTCTTGCCGGTTTGTTCTTGGCTCTGTGCCATAGGACGACTGGCAAGCAGCGCTCAATTGACGATGCGCAAACATGCCGTCCCCTAGAAATACCAACATAACTTTGCGATGTAGCTATTGGATCAAGTGGATGAGCGGGCCAGTCATTCATGCAGTAGTACCATAAACGGTCCATCAGTCACAGAATCGATTGGTAGAAAGGTCTCGTCTGGATGCTATCATGCCGGAGCATTGCCCTGAGCTTGAGACTTCTCCGAACGAGTCGACCTCAGCTTACAGGTTGAACAACGCGTAATCGGTCTGACGAGAGGTATAAAGCCGTGTACCTCGCACGCCGTCTTCGTGGAAAAAAATCCAATCTGATCATTTCATATCCACCAAGTGCTCAGCTTTCCGTTCGTTATCCACTACGTATTTGTTTCTCTCTTCTACTGGTTCAAGTCAATATGACCTCTTTTACAGAAAAAGCACACGAAATCTTGGGTAAGAGAAATTCTACAAGCATAATTGGTTTCGCTAACTTGATATTGCGAAGCTTCAATCCCTACTGGGCCGTGTGAATAGCCGGAAGTGGTCGTATACGAGTCTATCGTTTCTTCCAAGTTAGGCCAATCCCACAGTAATCGGAGATGATCTTGCTCTATTGGGCTCCGCTTCCAATCCCATCGTGATCCATGTTGACGAGGGTTGGTGCTGCGATAAGATAGACTAGCTTAGTTCCGATGCCGACACTGAGATCATGGCTACACTGGAATTCTGGGCGTTGACTGGTGGAAACTTCGTCGTCCTTGTATATAAAGGTGAAGCTGTTGATTCGTCCTCTGTCTGTGCGCCAACTAGATCGCCAGTCTGTGAGGATCCAGAAGACCTTCGATCGTTCGAGCAATGAACCCCGAACTGTTTTCACCTAGATGTCAAAGCACCGAAAGTGACCGAGAATTCGTTTGACGCGTCGGAGAATTGTTCTGGTCTTAAGGCTACAAGGATTGAGGAGGTTGCAAATAGTGACTTAGGTACGCTTAGCCAACGACTATTTGTGGCTATCATACTAACGATAGCGGCACTCATGAATGGAATTAATTGCTTAGACAAAACAGCCTCGGCTTAGGATCCTTCCATATCTACTACCATCGGCTATGAACTAGCCACAATATACGATCATATGAACCACTATCGGAACGCCAATTGTCTACACACTAAAGCTTTTTATGATGAGATGCAGTCCCCTCCTGAGTTAGACACTCTGCCAAATACGTCCACCAATCCGGTTGTTAACATTTGATTTTTCAGAAATCACGATGCAAAGTAACTCAGACGGGACCAAACAGCAACAAGAAGCAAGCGCAACAGGCCGTGTGGCCATGCAATTGCATGTTCCAGAGTTCCAAAAGGGGGCTATACGGCTAGAAGGATTTATATTCAATAGAGTGACTATTCGAAAGGCCTTGTTTACGCTAGGTTCAACCTCCAATCTAGAGAATTACAACCAAGATGATACCCTCTTCGCACGACGTTAGCATCGTCCCCTTGAAAGGAGTAGACCCAAAATGCTTCATCGCCTTTTCTCCTAAGATGCTCCAGGATGATCACAGTACTGATGTGCCTACATCTGGAAAGTGGCCAGACGGCATTATGATTACTGAATCGGCTGTTACAGAATGGCAAAAGAGGACCAATCGGCTACACGACTTCGTTGGCCAAGTTTCTATCGAAATCTACACAACGTGGCGCCCTTCAAACTCAGAGTACGCAAGTCGAGAAGATTTGTCTGGAAGGGTTGTTCTGAGAACTCATTCGGATGGGGCGGACCCAAAATGGTTCCTTATTTTCTCTCCTGGGCAGTCTTCAACCGATTGCAAGCTTCTTACTAGGGAAATAACTTTTGACGCCAGAGCTCCTTGCCAGCGGGATACCTAGATCGGTCCGTCTGTTACACAACCATGGCTGGCATCGCTGACCAGGGCGCAATACTTCTTTAAAGTTCCCTTCTGGTATCTGAGCGGGGGTGCTTTCCACTCCTTCCTCCTCTTCTCGAGCTCTTCAGTCGGGACATCCAGATCAACCACTTTTTCCTCAGCATCAATCACGATCCTATCACCGTCTCGTGCCAGCGCGATCGGGCCGCCCTCCTGGGCTTCAGGCACGATATGTCCGATCAAGAATCCGTGACTACCACCAGAGAATCTCCCATCCGTGAGAAGCGCAACGTCCTGGCCAAGACCGGCACCCATGATGGCCGCACTGGGCTTAAGCATCTCAGGCATTCCCGGACCACCCTTGGGACCTTCATACCGGATAATGACAACTGTCTTCTCGCCCTTCTTGATCTCGCCCCGCTCAAGGGACTCAATAAATGCATCTTCGTAGTCGTAGCACTTGGATGTGCCCTCGAATCGAAGACCCTCCTTGCCAGTAATCTTACCCACGGAACCGCCCGGGGCCAAGGACCCGCGAAGAATCTGGAGATGACCAGATGGTTTGATAGGTTTGCTGAGGGGTTGAATAATGTCCTGGTCGGCAGGGAAGTCGGGCCATGAGGCTACATTCTCCTTCATGGTTTTGCCAGTGACAGTAATTCCTGAGCCGTCAATCAGGCCCTCCTTCAGAAGGTATTTGAGGAGTGCTGGCGTGCCACCGATGTTGTACAGGTCGTTCATAAGATATTTTCCAGATGGCTTCAAGTCAGCCAGGAACGGTGTCTTGTCAGACACGGCTTGGAAGTCATCGATAGTCAACTTGATACCGACGGAGTCCGCAATAGCAATCAGATGCAGAACAGCGTTGGTGCTGCCACCCAGCACGTTGACCACAATCATTGCATTCTCAAATGCTTGACGTGTCATGATATCCCTGGGCTTGATTTCTTCCCTGAGCATTTGCTTAACCACCTCACCGATGTTTTCGCATTCGACCAGCTTCTTGGGATCGTCTGCTGGACAACTGCTGCTACCAGGAACGGTCATACCCATAGTCTCAATGGCCGTCGCTAGCGTGTTGGCAGTGTACATGCCACCACAGGCGCCTTTGCCGGGGCATGCATTGCGAATGATATCGAACCGCTCCGTCTCGTCGATCTGGCCGGTGATGAACTGTCCATACGACTGGAACGCGCTGACCAGGTCCAGCTTTTGGCCCTTTGCACTGCATCCAGGCTTGATGCTGCCGCCATAGACCATGATACTAGGCCGATTCGTGCGCCCCATTGCCATCAACACACCCGGCATATTCTTATCGCAGCCCGGTAGCGACACATTCGCATCATACCACTGGGCATTCATCACCGTCTCAATGCCATCGGCGATAAGCTCCCGACTCTGCAAGCTGTATCTCATTCCCGCTGTGCCCATACTGATACCGTCTGACACTCCAACCGAGTTGAATCGCATAGGGACTAGGCCCGCCCGGAGGACGGAATCACGCACGATCCTGGACAGGTCGTTCAAGTGCATGTTACATGGATTACCCTCGAACCACACCGAGGAGATACCGACCTGCGGCTTCGACATGTCCTCCTCTGTGAGGCCGGTGGCATAGAGCATGGCTTGTGAGGCACCCTGTGATTTGGGTTGTGTGATTTTCGAGGAGATTCGGTTGAGAGTCTCGCCGGATTTATAACGGCGCCCGATAAGTGGAAGGCGACTGACGATGATTGTTAGTATTTATCAATTTTTGAGGAAGGAACGAGATGCATTGCGATGGAAGATTCTGACGTACGTATTCTCAAACCGAGCTCGTCGGCTCAATCCCAGAGCTCTCGATCGGATACTCGACGTCGCCATGATGCTTGTGGATGCGTGTACGGGGAATGAAACAAATTAAGTGGGAAGAAAAATGAAAAGGAATAAAATCCAGTGTGTTCAAGACACGAACACTGTAAGTAGGATGATTGCTGTCAAGTAGCTGTGATATATTTAGAAGACGGTGCATATTATGATATCCGGAGATGTGACCCAACTCCGGTGTCTCCATTCATTCGGACCGTCTCGGACCGTCCCGACGTGATCTCGGCCTCCAAATTGCGGCTGGCCAATGACAGGTGGAGTAATGCAAACAAGGCAGCCAGTTTACGCCTCGGGCCAGACGCGTTAATTCGTGGGCTGCCCTACGGTAAGCACAATTGGGAGAAACAGCCTTGTTGTAGATAGCTTAAAGAAAGGGAGAAATCGTGGACTGTCCTACGATGACCTTAATCGGGAGACGCAGCTTTGCCTGTGGTAGCGCAAAGCACTGAAGCCTCACAAAGGCGAAGGATTGGGAGGGAAAGATACTTAGTGGTGATCTTCTTCGAGTGCCAGATGTCTACTTTTAGTTTTAAGCCACCTAACAGATGATCCAGGGCAAACTGAACAAGGCATTTGAGAGCAGGCTTATTCACGAATCAGTTATTTCCGGAAAATATTCCAGTTAGCTTCTGTCTATCTCTGCCTGTGTCTGTTTAAAATCGAGGTATCATCATACACATGAGGATCGGATGAAGTGTGCAGCATGAATCTAAGTACTGAAGTTGATCGGTACCTAGGAACATTGTGCCGCCACTCAGGACGCACGTCAGACCGACAGTACCGGGTGGGTCAGGCGGCTCGCTGTCCAAAGTTACGGGTGGGAAGGAGGCCGTTTCTGGCGGCAGAGGTTGTCATTTTCAGCGTCGTTTTCACAGGTCCCTGCAAAAATTCAATATGGCACACACCTTGGAATGCACTCCACGAAATTCATACATCTGCTTATAGTCATCAACGGGAATTTATATGACAAGGTATTGGTTAGAACAAAGACGCAAGCGATTGGTACAGAGAGATAGAGTTGAGTATTTCTGGCTCGCTCTCATCCGGCATCAATTCCAGCTCCTCCCATATCTCTTGTCCATGCACCACATCTGGCTGCTGAATTCCATACCGTGGATCGATAGTCCCACGGCCATCTGCCGACCATGTGGCTGAATCTGCTGTTGGTAAGATACCGCGTACATCTTGCTCCGGTTTGCCCGCCCGGGAGACCAGCTCCTTGACTTCCTCGGCCGAGATGAGATGCATGGCTTCCATCAAAATATCAACACTCTGTCGGGATAATGGACTACCTGCACCTGCCACTTCTAGGGATTTAATCAGACGGGCCAGCCCTTGTTTGCATTCAGGCAGTCGCGGGGAGGACAGTTCAGACAAGGCCAGCATCGCCAGCACCACACCCGCCGTGAAGCACTGGAAACACAGTTGAACGGCAGAGGTGGTATTTCCAAGGATGAATAAGATATTTTGCCATTGACAGATACTAGACATGCGTAATGCAGAAGTGAATAATTGGTCACGGATCGTGGTATCCGACCCATCTTGCGTTTCGATCGGACCGTCATGTAGTCGGACACTGAGGTACTTCTTACTGAGAAGGAACGGGCGAAACAATATTAGGTGTTTATAATCATACGTCACCTGTAGCGTTAACGCCTGCAGGGAAAAAACACGCAGAGCAGCGTCGTTAACCATGGTCTGATCTTTGCAAAAGCTGTCAAGCTTGAGTTCTCGCGGAACGGTCTTCTCCCAATCGAGGAGGCGAGCATAGGTTCGTTTGATATGAGGCAGACGTATACTATGCGCCGTTGGGTCGGCAATCGAGTACAGCTGTGCTTTGTAGCGGTTGTACGAGAAAATAGTCACAGGCTTGAACGTGCCATCTTGTCGAACCTCGTAGGACCCGATCCCTGGGCAGGTAGCTAGTGTATCATCTAGGTCTTCCGGCTCGGAAACGTTGAACTGCACCGTTGGGAGGATCGATGGCTTCCCGTACGCTTGTGCGACATAACTGGAACAGAATGTTAAGACTTCTTCGTATGTATATGTGAATGGAAGCGAAACTCACACATCGACCATGTAGATGGACCACCAAACTCGTCGGCGCACCTGTACCTCAATGGGATCAAGGGGTCCCCACGTGGTCTCGTCATGAATGCCCATTACCTGCGCCGCTCGCGATCCTAGTCCGGACATGGTGAAGGAGAGCTGCGTCTTGGATTCTAGAAGGTATGCAATGGACATTAGAACAGCACAGGAGACTGATTCTAGTGTCCCTTCTTGTAGGATCCAGAATATGTGATTTTCCACAGCCTCGATCCACATTGCCCTGGACTGCTGAGGATTGAACTGTGGATCCAGCGAACATAGAGTTTTGTGATTGGAAAAACGGGCACCAAGAATTAAAACTACCACCAGCAACAACAAGAAAGACTTTTCAGAGGAGAAAATAGCCCCTGTCTGGAGGATGGTAACTAGGCGCGCCCGAAAGCTCGGCTCATGGAACAAGGAAAGGTACCAGTGATTCGCTTGGAGATATGCATCCAATAAGGCCATAGTGACTGGTGCCGATGGGAGCTGCATACCGATTAGTTCTACAATTGGTATTCTCGCTCCCTGAGCTTGGGGCTGCTTGTTTGCTGGGGTTCCGTCAGGAATGGCATCCGAGTCTCGTAGGGTGGTCAGATGGTTGCGAAAGAGCTGCTGGGGTTAGAGCCGTAGAAGAAAGGGTTGAAAGGCAAGGAATCATACCTCCTGGACATGATGAAAGGTAGAGTGTGCTCGTTCTCGCTGGCTAGTGACAAGATCCGTAGCATGGCTGCTACCGGGCACAATATGTGCCTGTAGATTGGGGCTGGGGCTGTGTAAAGGGGCCGTTTCTGCAAGCCGTGGACGATGCTCATGGCGTTTCCTGCTTTGTGACCGCTGAGGTCCGATAGTTTGTCTATTCTGTTTAGATATATAATATTATGCTATGGTCCCATTGCCCCTACCTTCGTCGCTTGTTTATAACATCCGTACATTCCGCCTCGGAGCGAATGCACAACTGGCATGGTCGTGTATCATCACACTAGAACTAGTAAGTAATGCCCACAATATAAGACAAGACAGAAAAACCTTGAGCTTTTGCCGTCGACACCTGGCACAGGCAGATTGGACCCTGGAGGGCGCCATAATAGCGAAATATAAGAGGAGAATATCGGGAGGATCCCAGATCCGGTGGAAGTCGGATGTTTACGTCATAGTGGAGACTGCCGAGGATCTACATATGCTTCTCATCGCTCATATCTACTCATGTCCATCTGTTATTGAGTTCAATATCTACTGATGGGTGTCTGAGATGTGGATAGGATAGATTATCATCTAGTTGGGGTCAGCCCCTCCAGGGTTATTATCTACATAATATACAAGGCCAACCCCATGGCCTGCCCTCATAGCTTCGCCTTGATTTCCATCGCAGCCGCTTGCCGCAATTCCTTTCGAAGGATCTTACCTGTTGGGCTTTTGGGAATCTCAGGCACGAATATGACACCACCCCTCAATTGCTTATGCGATGTGAGATTATCTCTTACGAAGCTTTTGATTGCATCTTCTGTGATCTTACTCTGATCAGCGACGACATACGCACGTGGAAGGTCATTTCCCGCCATCTGGACGTCAGGAACTCCAATGACAGCGACATCCTTAATCAAAGAATGAGACAGCAAAAGACCTTCCAACTCTGCTGGTGCGACTTGAAGCGTGACCATAACTGTGAGAAAGTGACTTTGATTGTTCCTCGACGTGGAGGACGGTATCATCTTTTGCGAGCACATCGGGGTAGTCCACCCATAGTTAAGAAGTGTATCTTAATAGATGTAGCCTCTACTCACCAAACACGAGGGACGGAAGGTCTGTATTGGGTATGGTATAGTCCTTCACGGGGTTGTAGATAGTGCGAGAAGACATTGTTGCGGATGGAGAGGAGGAGAAAGTAAGACTGTTTGGTATCGGGCATATCGTGCATATGAAGAAAATGATCTACTTTTGATGTCCATAGGTGGAACTAACCCTTGTCCAGGTGATTTACCAGGTGGATTATATCCGGTAGAAGATATAGTATAGATACCATAATGTGGGTACAACATGCCCTATTGACCAATAGGATGTATGATACATCCGGTGGAAGGCAGACAGCCGGTGGAACTGGGGTATCAAAAACGGGAACTATATGGGGAACCTCGGTTGTGATCGGGGCTATGCGGTGCTTATATAGTTTACACAAACCTCGATAAGTGGGAAATAGATACCCTAACTTTATCTCCAAACATACAACCTGAACAGACAACATGGTCCACTCGACCAGCAGAAAACCCTCATCATCGACGGATGGCTTCTTCCAATCTATCCCCACTGTTCCCCCAGCATATACCTTTGTCAACGATGGGTCCGCAAACTCCAGCTCCCTTGCGGCTTCTGATGATTCTACCCTCGCGAGGATTCTCAATCTCTACCTACCACCTGAATCCTCTGTTGGTGTCTCAGTCCACAACCTATCGCGTCGTGCACTGGATCCAGTCATCCTAAACTTGGCCACCGATGCCGAGGTGAACCCACCTATCATCCGACCGCTTACTACCTTCGGCAACCAGAATCTCGTCGACCCATTAATCACCGGAGAAGGATGGAGAAAACTGAAAACCATCGGACAAGAGGAGGGCTTGGTTACAGCCGGCTACGATAAGAGTACTAAACAATGGAACCGACGCGTGCATCAGTTCGCACTGAACCATGTCTGGTCACCAAGTTCTGCGATGACGGGGTGTCCAGCCTCGATGACAGACGGAGCGGCCAAGTTGTTGGAGGGACGCTTGGACGACGTGGACGGTGACCAGCCCGGTCGCCGCGCGGTTATCCAAGAAGCATACAGACGTCTTGTATCGAATGACCCTAGCGAGGCCTGGACGAGCGGACAATGGATGACAGAGAGAACGGGTGGCAGTGATGTGCGAGAGACGGAGACACTGGCGCGGCGTCTGACAACACAAGAAATCTCGCAATATGTCGAACAGGGACGAGACGTGGATGCTCATGGATTGCAGCTTGGCCCATGGCGCATCGACGGGTTCAAGTGGTTCAGCAGTGCCACCGACTCCGACATGGCTCTGCTACTTGCACAGACCGACAAGGGTCTCAGCCTTTTCTTTGTCCCCATGCGCCGTAGCTCTGGCAAACAAAGCAACGCGAGCGAGCTGAACGGAATTCGTATCCAGCGTTTGAAGAATAAGCTGGGTACTAAGTCTTTACCTACAGCAGAATTGGAGTTGAAGGGGGTGCGTGGCTGGCTGGTCGGGGAAGAAGGAAAGGGCATCAATGCCATCTCGACTGTGCTCAATATTACGCGACTCTATTGCGCGGGTGCATCAGCAGCAGGTTGGGGCCGTGGGGTATCAATTTGCCGGGCGTACACTCGCATCCGTAAGACGCGTGGAGCGCTTCTGCAGGAAAATGTGCCCCATGTGCGGTGGATGGCAGATGAGATGATGAAGTATTCTGCGGCAATGCATTTCACATTTTTCGGGGTCGCACTGCAAGGTACTATGGAACAGAGCTGGGACTCCATGGTCCGCGGTACGAACGCTGCTGGGCTTATCCCGCAGGATCCTGTCAGGGCTGCGACTCTCCTGCGTCTGATCACACCTGCCTTGAAGGCTACTGTGAGTGTGAACTCGACTCACGGACTTCGCTCTTGCATGGAATGCCTGGGTGGAGTTGGTTACTGTGAGAATAATGAAGATGGCGGTGTTCTGAACATCGCCAAAATCTATCGGGACACGACCGTTAATGCCATCTGGGAGGGCACGGTCAGTGTAATGGCGGAGGACGTTATTCGAGTTCTTACCGACAAACGGTTGCAGGGTGCGAAGTCGGCTGGCTCAGTTTTGAATGAATGGACATGGGATATTTTGAAGACCTGCCAATCGAGGTTTCCGGGCGAGTGCGCCATTGTGGAGGGGAGACTAGACGCTCTAATCGAGACCACACAGAGTACAAGCAGGGAGGAACTCCTGTGGTGCGGTAGGGATATCCTCCAACATATTGCCGCTATAGTGTCCTCATGTTTGCTCATGTACGATGCATCTACCGATGACGATGAGCGTGCAAAACATATTGCTTCTAGGTGGGTACGCTCACAAGCACTCACAGGTGCTAAAGACACCTTGAAGTCCTCTTGGCAGTATGAGTCTGCCATTGATCGATTGATCTTTTTGGGCGAAGGCACTTCGGTCTTCAAGTTAGCGAAGATCTGATTATTATTACGCACTGGTAATTTGATGGATATCATGGACAGATATTGGATGTTTTGTCAACATGTCTTTTTGGTTTGCTGATTATATCAAACCATCAAGCCAAGTTTCAAGTTCGTAAGCATATCTCGTTTGAATGCCTCGTATCTTTGTTTTATATACGATTCATTAGCAAGGAAATATATATTTCGTAAGGCAAATATGACTGTACCTACCCTGTTTTGAGATTTCTGTAGAAGCCTGATGATCGATTTACACTGATGTCAAAGGAATAAGCGATCTACGCCATGCGAAATGTACAATCATCTGTGTTATTCCCTAATTGAAGTAGTTTTGTTTTATGGGGATTGTATAGGTATAAGTGAATGTGCATATTTCCATACCAGTATAGCCCATATTCATTTGAGCAGATTCGCACTTCAAGGTAACGTTGTCGGAAAACTGTGCCAAGCACCCAACGCCGCCATACCTGGTGTTAGATATGATGTTGAGGTCTGGTGGGTGCTTGGCACGGTTATACAAACCTGGGAACCGGTGATTTTCGGTCTTGCTCGGACTCTGCGGTTAATGTGGTTAACGTGGTGACCAGTTCATGTCGATTTATGCTCTATGTCTAATTGTCTAGGCTCGCTAGAATCCCCCATTGAGATACAATTACCCCGCAAATATAATCTCTCTCGTCGCTTTCTCTCCCCCCGGTAATTGTTGGTGGCGAGCGCGGGCGAGTTGTGGGGGAGGGCGTAGTATATAAATATCAATTGACAGACCATCCCATATTGTTCTGACTCTTTATCAAGCAGATTCGTTACTATTCTTTGCCATGTCCTCATCAAAGCCAAACAGTGTGAGGGAAGTAGAGAAATCCTTCCGTGATAAAAGTCTGGAGGCAACTCCCAATCTCCACCAGGCATATATAGAAGCTGGGTTGAGTATCGAGGATGCGAATTTCCTGGCCAACTTTTCAGATGAAAGAAGGAAGAAATGTGTTCGAAAGGTCAGCATGACTCCTACGGTTATGAAATACATCTAAAATTGAATTCAGGTTGATTGGCGTCTCTGTTCCGTATTGATGATTCTCTATCTTTGTTCCTACATTGACCGAGCAAATATTGGTAATCCATCATTTCCTCTGCACCGAAGCCCACTTCCTTGCTCACTCACGGGATAATCTTACAGGAAATGCTAAAAATTGAAGGCCTACTGCCGGATTTGAACATGTCTGGCACCCAGTACAACATTGCTCTGGCAATCTTCTTCGTCCCTTATGTGCTGTGCGGTAAGCGGAAACTTCGAGATACAATCCATCATTTGTCCTGTCTATATTAACTGGATTATAGAGGTTCCTAGCAACGTTTTACTAGGCAAATTCAAGAAGCCATCGGTGTATTTGGGAATCTTGACATTTTACTGGGGCACTGTTATAACCCTTACGGGGCTCTTCCAGAACTTTTCTGCGCTTTGTGCAACTCGTTTCCTGCTGGGTGTTTTTGAGTACAGCCACCTATTTCTTCTTACCTCAGATAAGTTGAGTTACTAATCTACTATCTTGATAGAGCTGGATTCTTCCCGGGAGCTGTCTGGCTCGTTTCTCGATGGTATTTGCAGCATGAGACTTAAACCAGACTTGCTCTTTTCTATACTTCGAGTTCATTATCTGGAGCTTTCTCCGGGCTTCTCGCATTTGGTCTCACAAAGATGGATAGCATTGGTGGCTATGCTGGCTGGAGATGGATCTTCATCATTGAAGGAGCCGCATCTGTACTCCTGGCATTTGTCTGTTACTTCTTTCTCGTGGAATCACTCGAGCTCTCCACCAAATGGCTGCAGCCTGATGAGATTCGGTATTTGTTGTTGCGAAAACAAGCCAAGAGAGGCCGTATCGTGGTTGACGAGAACCCGGACAAATTCGACTGGAAAACATTGTTCAGTGTCTTCAAGGATTCGCACCTCTACCTGCAAGTCCTGAATATATGGTCCAACACCGTTCCCAATTACGGCCTGAAGTTTTCCCTTCCCCAGATCATCACCAACATGGGATATACTGCCGCGAATGCTCAGCTGCTCTCAATACCCCCTTATGTCGCTGGTGAGATATCCGCCTATCTATTTGCACTCCTTGCAGACAAATTGAGATGGCGCATGCCGATCATTGTCACCGGCCAAATATTGGTGATTATTGCATTTGCGGTGCTCTTCTCACTAGCCGAAGATATTAAGAACAACATTGCGGCTTGCTATTTCGCAGTTGTTCTCGCTTGTATTGGTCTATACCCGATCCTCCCTGGAACCAACGCATGGACGTCCAATAATCTCGCCGGCCCAAGAAAACAAGGCATGGGCATCGCTTTCATGCTAAGTCTTGGCAATGCTGGCGGTCTTGTGGGTTCTTTTATCTACATTGAACGTGAAGCCCCAATGTACCCCACCGGATTTGGAAGCTCATTTGCGTTCGCCGCGGCAGGCGTGGCAGCAAGTATCATCCTAGAGGTCAAACTCTGGTGTACCAATAAACGGAACGCGGAGATGAGCAGAGAGGAGATTTACGATAAATATACCGACCACGAGCTACAGATGATGGGAGACCGGTCGCCGCTGTTCAAGTATATACTTTGAGTTGAGATTTCTTCTTTCTCTGTCCTTGGCTGCCGAATGGCGAGAATGGGAGTTAGGCCCGATATCTGTTGGGGTCAATGAGCAATATCAAGAAAATCATGGTTCTTGGTGCTTCGCACTATCCTTGGTAAAGAGAATAAAGAATATGATCACAAAAGATCCGTTGACAGTTCTGCGGCTATGAAAACCAAAAGAAAGGTTACTGTAGAATCCCCTACCCCTATACTACTGAAGGGGGTTGAGTAAGCACCGTGGACCTCCAGGACGATTAGATAAGCATCACCTGACCATTACATAAACATATGGCCCACCTGGGCAGCTGGGCGGATGACTAACTAAGCCCAATCCGACTTAGCGTGGCCCGATTAATATAGAGAACGAACTCCAGGGCTACTTACACACTATTTTATCCAAACGCTTTCTTGTTTCTACGTTTAAAATGTCTGATCTAGTATCTTATTAAAATTCGTGATGTTACGAGGGACTCAATCCACTCCTCGTGCGGATCTATCAACCCAAGCATGCGATACCTGTCGCAAGCGAAAGGTAAAATGCAAACTCCAACGATCCGGGCATACCTTGTCGCGGTGTGCACGATGTGAGAATTTAAACCTGTCATGCACTTTTGACTTACCCTCCAAAATCAGAGGACCTAAAAAGCGGTACGCCATATGACCGGCCTGCTGGAATTTCAGGGCCATGTCCTAACTCCCGTGAAGATACCCTGCAGAGATACGACCTGAAGCATACCAAATTCCAACGGTTCCATACAGGACTGATGATCTCTGCGATCGAGGACTATTCAAAGCAATTATGCAAGACTATCTGGATTACATCTACCCAATGGTTCCAATTGTACACCGTCCGTCATTCCGGAAAGCTCTACAGGAGGACCAAGACCGTGAAGATGATGGGTTCCTTGCACTCATTCTATCCATCGCCGCATTGGTAGTGGCTACCATGAGAAGCAGATTCCAGGCCTACCAATTAGATCCATACTCCTTGAGATTCTCGTCGCGCAAGGAGTTCATTCACTTCTGTTACCAGAAAGTAATGGGGCTGAGAACATCCTCGTATTTCGACGAGCTCAACTTTCAGAAATTTGCCGTTCCATATCTCTTCTTCGCAGCTTACCTACAGCTTGGAGATCACAATTGGTCTCGTATGTTGAGTGTAGAAGCGATGCAAATTGCACGTCTTTTGAATCTGCATCGGATTTCTGATTACGACGGCCTGAATTGTATCGAGACTCAACTACGCAAAAAGGGTTTCTGGCTTATGTTTTATGGTTTCGTGTGAGTGTTATCATGCATGCAAAAAAACATTTCTCGAGTCAACCTAACACGGTTATGTCTCCTTCAGCCACGCTCAACTACAGAATCTACTCGGCGAGCGACTCACTTATCTGGATCCAGTTTTGCTCGATTCCATCAATCCAGAAGATCTCATGCCACTTGGAGTGGATGATGAATTCATCTTTGAACATGAGGTGCTTCCAGCTGCCAACATCGAGACATGCTTGGTGTCAGGCTTTATTTTTCACTCGCGCGTGTTTTGGGCCGCGATCAGAAGCCCCAATCCAAACGCAGCTGCAGATGATCCATGTGCGTGTATTAGAGCGAAGGACACTGGGGCCCAAGTCTCTTACTTCCAAGAGCGCTTGAATTGTCTCCAAAATCTACTCATCGATATTCCCTCGTTTCTCCAACCATGGGAGTCAACCCCGGAAAACTTTAACGAGGATGTTATTGACGAGAATACAAAAGCCATTCGATTGCAACTCTCTTCAATACGAGCAAATCTACACGTCACTCATCTTTGGCTTCAGAGTCTCATCCTGGATCAATTGGAAGCCGCGCAGTCTCATCAACAGGCTCAGCCTTCAGCAACAAGTACCGGCCACCAACCCGCGGCTTTGGATCAAAGGTTGCTTTGGGTGGAGAGGGAAAAGCTTTGCCGTCAGTTGTTCTTCATTCTATTTAACTTTCCACGCTTGAGCTTGGAGGCGAATGGTTTGCATATAGCCAACAAAGTGCGCGATATCATGACAAGTCTTCTGGCCTGTCCTTTTCACCCTGATGATCCTATATCAAAACAGGCAGCTGAGTATGTTCAACTTTCCACTGACATCCTGTCTCGACTGGACAGCAGTGAAGGCATGAATACCATGCATCTACAGACATGGGTGGATACAGATCGTATCCAGACATGACTATCGGTAGATAATAGTGAGCCCTCTTTATATACATGTGTAAAGTGTGAATTTGAAGAGGAAAACATTTCATGGGAACATACAATTATCAATTAGCTACCTCCCAACTCCCAGACCAAAACACTGTTTCGTTTAGGTCCAAGGAGCCTTCCAAGAAGTCTCCGCGACTGCTTATTCCAACCATGACTTTATAGGTCCCACTGTGACTACACCAACTCCCGCTTTTCTCATCCCAGAAACTTGTTGCACGAATCAGATCCAGCGGAATCGTCACAACTTCTTCCGACAACGGTTCCAGCAAGCACTTGCGGAACTCCTTGAGTTCCTTGACAGGTCGCTTGATAGGCGGAGAAACAGGGGCCACATATACTTGGAGGACCTCTGCACCGATTCTCGATCCCGTGTTCTGCACCTTGCACTTTATTTGCAGAAGGCTGTCCGACTCCCTGATCAGCTCCAGATTTGAGAGCTTGAAAGTGGTGTAGGAGAGTCCGTGGCCAAAGGGGAACAGTGGATCAATTTCCAGCCCATCGTAGTATCGATATCCCACATAGACATCTTCGCCATACAGCACTCGGCCACCCTCGGATCGATAATTGAAGAAAGTGGGATTGTCTTTCAGGCGTCGAGGGAATGTAAGAGGAAGCTTGCCGGACTGTTCAAGAGAGCACATGTTGTTAGTTCCCCTTCTGCATGAGCGACATATATGCATGAACACTTACTGGATTTACATCACCGAATACGACATCAGCAATACCATTTCCTGTCTCGTTTCCTCCATACCATGCGTGGAGAATGCTTTTCGCTTTGTGGACCCAAGGCATCTCGACGGGAGTGCCACTTTGAATGACAATAGCGGTGTTAGGATTTGCATCCAACACTTGTGAAATCAACTCATCTGTATAGGGCGGCAAGCCCATGTGTGACCTGTCCTCGCCCTCTGATTCCCATTCGGCGCTTAGTCCTGCAAGTAGGATTACCTGGTCAACATTCGAAGCTACCTTCACAGCCTCAGCAATACCATCCTGAGGTGAGAGACGTTTGCATGCCCCAAAGCGGAATCCACCGTGTCCGAAATCGACCACACCAGGGACTCTGAATGTGCTAGTTTTGCCACATCCCCATTGGGCATGGATCTTGTATTTTCTCCCAGCCTCTAATTCCAAGGCTGCTCTGTCCTCCAGTGTTCCACTGCCGAAGAAGCTAGTTCCTGGTCTTTGGATGTCGGCATTGTTGATGAGAAGCTCACCGTCGACGTATAGCTTTGCTGTGCCATGAACGGTAAGTCCGAAATCGTACGTTCCGGACTCTTCCGGGGTAAAGTATCCCTCTGCATCTGCATACCAAGTCTTTTGCAACTCCGGATGGTCATAGTCCATGAAAATGATCATCGAATCGGTTTCGTGTCGTTGCTCGAGAGGCTTTCTAGTCGCCAACTTTGGTGAATCATTGAAAATGCTCAAGGTGAACCCAACCACATTATCTTCAGTGCGAAGACGCTTGCCGAGCAGGGGCAGCATTTGATGACCGTAGATACCCTGTGCGAACTCCACATCACCGAGAGCTGAAGCAGAGATACCATCAAAGGGCGTGACAGCATAGTACGGGTTCAATGCCGCACTGCCACCTCCACAGTAGGTGGCGATTTTAGCGTTAGGTCCAATGACTGCGACCTTTTTGTTCTTGTTGAATGGGAGGATATTATCATCGTTCTTCAGAAGTACAATCGCCTCCGACGCGATCTTTCTGAGCAGCGCTCGATCCTCAGGTCGATTTAGCTGGGTCTCTGGAGCGCGCTCAGGGACCCCTGATTTGCTTGCCTTTTGAACGAGTTTCAGAACTGCTCTGACCCGATCGTTCAATGCGGAAAGTGGGATTTTGTTGGATGTGATAGCGTGTGTCAAGGCAGCGCCGCGCCATCTTGGGGGGCCTGGCATCTCTAGATCTAGACCCGCCACCACAGCTTCGGAGGTGCTGTATGTTCCGAACCTGGAATCAAAGCAAATCGTGTATTAGTATCTCTGAGTGTGCACCNGGGGGGGGGGGGGGGGGGGGGGGGGGGGGGAGGACGTAGTTACCAGTCACTCATCACCAATCCATCCCAGCCCCATTCTCCACGAAGAATATCTTGTAGCAAAGTCTTGTTTTCAGCCGCATGTACACCATTAACCTTATTATATGCTGTCATGATTGCGTCCGGACTCCCAAGCGCGATCGCAATCTGAAACGGGAGGAGGTAAATTTCTCTCAACGCTCGATCAGTAACAATAGAGCTGACAGCCATACGTTCATGCTCTTGGTCATTGCAAACAAAGTGCTTGAGAGTCGCGCTGATATTCTTCTCTTTCAGTCCCCTGCAGTAGTGGCCCGCGAGAACACCAGACAGGATCGGGTCTTCAGAGTATGACTCGAAGCCTCTTCCTCCCAGTGGGCCTCGCGCGATATTGATCGTCGGACCAAGTAAAACGTGTGCGCCTTTAGCTTTCGCTTCTGCGGCGAGCACATGTCCAATCTCAACTGCGAGATCTCGATCAAATGTGGCGCCGATCGCAGTCCCGCACGGCAAGCATGCGGCGGGAACGCTGCTGAAAAAGCGAGTGCCCCGTACACCATTGGGACCATCGGAGACTCGGATTGAGGGGATACCTAGTCTGGGTATGGGAACGGTATGCCAAAAGTCCTCGCCTGTGCGTGAACAAGGGTCAGCTTCATCTCTCATGTTTGTGAACGCCAATCGCCCCGACGCGTAATACGCACCTGTCAAAAGTGCAACTTTTTCATCTTGTGTGAGTTGTTTGAGAATCACCTCAATGTCAGCTTTTGCGATTCTCGCAAAGGATTCATCCACCCCATTGATCGCAGTTTCGACAAACGGCATTTTGTCCTGGTGTTTGAAAAAACTAAAATCCCCCACATCAAGGAAAGGGCACCCTGCCTATGTATTTCAGGCTCTGGCGCCCGTAAGAAAGTCTCCATTTTTTTTTTCTCTCGTTCTTTTGCGTCACGAAGCACTTTCGCGAATTGTCGGAGCACATACCGAGTATCGCGGGTTGACCCCGAACGATGTGGTTGGTTGTCCTTGACCTCAACTGTGGATTTCTCCGTTTCTCCGTTTCTCCGTTTCTCCTTTTCTCCGCGTCCCGATAACTGGTTCAATGCCGACCCCGTTCCCCATGTACTCCGCAAAATTCATCCCGCAATCGCATTTCTGGAGAAGTGAATGCCGAAGAACTTGATGGAGTCGGATGACCATGTGAGCGGGTATATGAAAGACCGGATCACGGTAAAGGCCCATCTAATTGATTGGTCAACATACCCTTCATCGGTCTCAATTGTCTCTGAACCAACACAGTTTCGGAATTTCTGAGCGCGTTGAAAAGGAAAACCATAATCCTGAGAATGGGACCATCGGAAATAGCGGCAAAAGTCGTCGCCCTTGTTTGATAAAAGGCTCATACAACCCCGTGGTTTCTTTCGTCTACAAGCCTCCTACTTTTCGCGGGAACCATATCTGAACCGTCCACACCATGGGGGCCAATCCCACAAAGAATCCTGGCAACTCTGTTCCAGTTGATCATTTGACTGCTGTCCTCCCATTAGATGGTATTCCTTGGTGGAAGCAGCGGCATCTTTTGCGTCTTAACCTCATCATCCTTTCTTTGGTGTTGTACTCATCGGCCAACGGGTATGACGGATCCTTAATGAATGGTCTTGAGGCCTTGGATCAGTGGAAAACTTTCATGGACCATCCAGCCGGCGCTTGGCTTGGATGGATCAACGCAATCTACTGGCTCGGATGTGGTGTTGGATACCCAACTGCCGCCTGGATTGCCAATCGATATGGACGAAAGCCAGGAGTTTACGTGGGATATATCTTCCTGGTTCTCGGAAGTGTGCTCCAGGCAGCAGCACCAAATGACAAGGCATTCTTACTAGCCCGTCTATTCTTGGGGGTTGCCTCTGCTCTGTTTGGAAACGCTGTTCCCCTCTTAATCAACGAAATTGCCTACCCGACCCACCGTGGAATCCTCAATTCTCTTTTCATGTCAGGATGGTACGTGGGTGGAACGGTTGCGGCTTGGGTGGTTTTCGCTTCACGGACATACTCATCTCATTGGTCCTGGCGACTTCCATCACTTCTGCAAGCGCTGGTGCCTCTTGTTGCTTTGCCTGGATTTTTCCTCGCCCCAGAGAGCCCTCGGTGGTTGGTTTCAGTTGACCGGGAGGAGGAAGCACGTGAAATACTCACAAAATACCATGCTGCGGGTGATGCTTCCTCGCCTTTGGTCAACTACGAATTTCAGGAGATTCTCTCCACCATTCGGGCAGAGAAGGAGGCAAGTAATAACGGTTCTTATGCAGAGATGTTCAAGACACCTGGTAACCGTCGTCGCTTGATGATTTCTATCAGCTTGGGAATGTTTGCTCAATGGGTTGGCAATGGTGTGATTTCATACTACCTGGCCCTAATCCTGACATCTATTGGAGTTACCAACGTTCGAGACCAAACTCTCATCTCAGCTTGCCTCCAGATGTGGGACCTTGTATTTGCTGCAATTGGAGCCTTTTTGATTGATCGGCTCGGACGCCGCCCACTTTTCTTGGCCTCAGCCGTGATTATGTTTGTGAGTTATGTGCTTGTCACAGCTCTTTCGGGGTCATTCGCGACGACAGGCGATAGTGCAACCGGTGCTGCCGTCATCCCTTTCCTTTTCATTTTCTTCGCAGGATATTGTGTTGCGCTGTGAGTTTTCCCTGTTTCCTACTCCCACTCCCCTCTCCACGTTTACAGTTGCTAATAAAGCCCATCTGTTGCCAGGACCCCCTTCCTCACCTCTTATCCCTGCGAAATCTGGCCCTTCCGCCTTCGATCCCGCGGTCTGACTGTCACATGGGTCTCCACCATTGTTGGCATGTTTTTCAACACATTCGTCAACCCCATTGCATTGGATGCCATTGCATGGAAATATTATATTGTATTCATTGTTGTGCTGATGATATTCGGTATTACGGCATACTTTTTCTACCCCGAAACTAAAGGCTACTCACTGGAGCAAATCGCCGTGGTCTTCGACGGCCCAGATGCTCTGGTGGGAGGTAGTGCGGAGTATAAGACCCCGGTGGGTACCCTCGACGATTCAAAGAATGGTTCATCGACTGTTCATAACGAACTGGCTTGAGTGTAAATTAAATATTGAGTCGGAAATAGATGTTTAGCCATGATCAGGTAGACATGCTAGGCACTGGCTGACCAGATTAATCTTATGCAAAGGTCAAACGGATTTAACAGAGCTGTATGGTTCAAGCGTGCAAGCAAGAGGTGTCGATAATTTAATTCAAATTCGTCAAATTCTGTAACTCCCGATCAGGAATTGTGGTCTCATAATATAACAAAGTGGGGTGTTTTTGACCTCCCCAACAGTCAGCTTGCTTTAGTCGTCTTGAAATCCTTACTGCATATCGGGAAATGGGCTTGGCTCCAGGGGGTAATTCCCCAACAATATCTGAGTGACAATTTGTCTATGCATCAAATCGGCCAGGGTCAATTATTACCGCATAGGCATATAAAACCTAGCTTTTGTTTAATATGCAGGAAGTTCGTTGCGTTCTCTCGTTAATTCAACATTCCAATTTATGCCCTTTAGCCAATTCCTTCAAGCTAGAGGAACTTCCACTTATCTGGTAGGTATTTCACCCTTGATGTGAATGGCCAACCATGAATTCTGCCCAATAAAAGTGAAAAGGCATCGAAGAAGCCCCATGAGGTACATGTCAGTCTTTAAGTTCCTCATGTTCTAGAGAACAGGTAGCATACATTTTAGCATTGTCGAATCGCATCACTCAGAGAGCTAGGGAACCAAGGTAGTAATTATCACAGGTTATACTCCTAGAAACATATATATTGTCTTTGGGAGGTGCTTCTTTAAACAAGTATCTATTAGTTCACTATACAATCCACAGTATGGGATATGTCTCTATCTCCCGAGTTGACATTCATCGCAAGTGTCCTCCTAGATTATATCTTGGGGGTCTTACACGTGCTGGGTAGTTGAATTAACATGTATGTGCTAATGTAAATGGAGACGCATCTTAGGTGGGGTTCCCTGCTCGCTTATGCCGCTGGCTTGACTATTAGATACGCTATACGTTCACTAAGCGCTCTATAACCTTAGTCTGAGTACCTGCATATGTAGGTACTAGTGATTATGACCTGAATGCTCACCGAGCACCTAAACATAACCTGAGCATTATTTTGATGTTACTAAGCATGAGCATCCCCTGGGGCACTGACCGCGGGAGTATCCGTGGATCCATGGATCATTTGGCTGCTTACTAAGTACCATTACGTGATGACTGACTAATCCCCCCTGTGCTGGAAGATACCTACTCAGTGGAGAGGCGTAAAGCGGCGGCACCCCGATCAGGAAATTCGCATACGCGGCCTTAACTCCGGTACATAGTTACAGCTACTAGGGTGCATATGTACGACTCCGTACTTCCTGCATCTAGGCTATTCCGGGAATGTTCCCGAACTCTCTCATCTCCACCATATCCACAACTCCCGCCTGGCTGCAACTCACCAAATTAGAACAAGCGCGGGCCAAGTCCTCGACCGTTTTGACAAAGGTCCCTCCGAGGCTGCCGGCTGTAACTAGTCGAGATAACAGGGGAAAAGACTCCAGAAAGGACTAATGCGCTTGTCTTTTATTGGCGCAGGCTATTTGCGCGGGCGGGATGCACTATAATGTAACGGCTGGCAAGTGGGATTGGTGATTTTCAATCCTCCTATCTATGGATCAAATTTAGTACTTTCCCCGCAGCAGATTGCTACATTTCCATGTGGATATCCCGCTTGGCATAACTTTCATTTATGAGAACGGTGTGTTGTTCTTTGATCCTTCAAATCCCACTGAAATAGGCAAGAGCAAACGCATTAGGTACATGATCGTCACTCAATTTTCTGTCAGAATCAACATCTATGGACCGAATACGAGATTGAAGCCTCAAGAAGTATGGAAGGATAAAAAAACGTGCTTTAGATTGACCTCTAGGGGTGGAGGACATATTGTCTCACTTTCAATGTGGTACTAGCGCAGCCAATTACCGCCATTGGGTGCATGACACGTTAATTTGTTGTGGGGCTTGCCATATGCAAGGTTGTAGCCCTAGTCTCGAGGTTCCTTGCGCGTATATCGTACGGTAGAAACGAGGAAACCGGCATCGGAAAAGGACGTCTATAGTATCGGTCTAAACTAGCGCAGCTAGCTGTCTCAGTATGGTCGATTTTTGAATTTCGATTATTTATACAACCCGGGGCCCCCTCGGCTGGTACATGTGCGTTGTGCAGCTCGTATTTTCTTAAATCCACAAACAGTTGCGAATCATCATGGCAGACAAAATAGCCGACGAGTATGCCGAGAGCATTGATCCTGAAATCTACGCCAACAATCCCGCATACTCCTCCCTCTTTGACCCATATATTCACAAGCAAACGATTATCGCCGACCATGTCTCAGTGCAATGCCACATAGACCTCAATGGAATTGATGCCGTTGGGTCCAAGTTCGGCAATCTGAATGCACATGCTGGTAATTTTACTTCGCTATGTGCGCCAAATTGCCTACCCGAAAGATTGGCACTTGTCGCTTACACTGTTGAATATGCATTCCTTCATGATGGTATGTGAATATGTCTCTACTCTATTTTTCAAAAACTAACATCAATCGACAGATGAAACCGATAATGCTGCTGATCAAGAAGCTGTACGATAACCAGAAAATGTTCCGTGTGTGCGGATTGAAAAACTGACGCGCTATTTAGTTGTCGCTTGAGAATAAGATGCTTCATCAGGCTATTAACCAGAGCGGCATGACTTCTGTGTCGACCAGAGTTTCACCTAAAGCACAACGCAAAGCCGAGGTCCAGGCCAAGATTGCCGCTGAGTACCTGCGTCTTGACCCCGTGTTCGGCGAATGGTTCCTTAAGGCTTGGCAAACATTCACTGCTTCAGTACAGGACGTGAGAAGTCTTGAATTCCCTAATCTGGATGACTACCTAGCGTTCAGAATTGTTGATGCAGCAGCAGAGTATGTCAACTCATTCCAAATTCCAGAACTAGAACTGATTATTTGAAAGCTGGACCCTCTATAATTTCCGATGGGGATCAGGCATCACTCTCACTCCTGAGGAAGAAAAAATCGCCGACCCTATGAGCTACGCCGCATATGCGGAATTATGTCTTGTGAATGACTTGTTCTCTTGGGACAAGGAATACGCAGCTTATGTCAAAAGCAATGGCGACGTGCCATTGGTTAATGCAGTACACATTGTTGCGGTTACACAGGGTCTGACGCACTGCGCAGCGAAGGCAGTTGTTCAGGCTGAGGTACGAGCACACGAAGAGCGATTTTGTTTCCTGAAAGAACAGTATGAGGCGACATCTAGCCCATCAGAATCAGTTCTTCGCTGGTTAAAACTGCTTGAGCACTCCATGGCTGGAAACTGGGTGTGGAGTCTTTGCGTTCCTCGTTACTTCAAGGTTGACAGGAATCCTTATAAAGATCACCTTGCGAAGTTCGGCAGCGATGCCGTGCGAGTTCTCACGCCCCAAAATGAGCTTCTTGACTCTAAAAAAGAGACCAAAGAGACTGAGCAGAGCGTGGTCAAAGCTCCCAGCCCAAGTAAGTATAAATCCATATCTCGGCTAGTTTCAAGATACTCTCGATCGTGAATCAACGGGACTAACCATGTCTCAGAAACAACAGTTGAGAGCGATGTTCTGGCCAAGTACTCCTCTGGGTATCCCGAAATTAACGAGGCAAGTCTCTATCTCGAAGAATCGCTAAAGGCTAGAAGGCCTAAGTGCTAACTTGAAATTGACAGCCCGTGTTGAACCCTTACGCCTACATTAACTCCCTTCCTTCCAAGAATGTGAGACAGACATTGATAGCGGCTCTGAATTCATGGTACAAGGTGCCCGTGAAGTCCCTCTTGATCATAGAGGGTGCAGTCAACTTCCTGCACAACTCGTCATTATTGTAAACGAGCCCAACCCAACGCGAAATTTTCTCATTACTGACCTTTAAACAGGCTCGATGATATTCAAGATGGAAGTGTGCTCAGACGCGGAAGGCCAGTGGCGCATCAGATATTTGGCGTTGGCCAAACTATCAACACTGCGACATATCTGATGAATGAAGCCTTGTCTCTTATCCAGATGCTTTCGCCATCTGCGGTAACAGTTTACACCGGTAGGATTACCCTGTTGCATGTGTGAAAAACCTTTCGACTGACAGGAGCAGATGAAATGCGTAATCTCCAGCTTGGACAGGGACGCGATCTCCACTGGAGTTATCACACGCATGTCCCGACCCCTGCACAATATATCGGCATGGTTGATGGCAGTACGTATTGACACGTCTATCTTCTTGTATCCACTTACTAATCATCTTATAGAGACTGGTGGCCTCTTCCGCCTCATCAGCCGTCTGATGAGATCAGAGGCGACTACGAATAGGTAATTTAACACTCACAGCACAACAGACTAAGATCAAAGCTAACATATTCTAGCGACCTTGATATAAGTCAGTTTGCGACCTTGCTTGGAAGACACTTCCAAATCCGAGATGACTATCAGAACCTTCAAAGCGAAGATGTAAGAAATCCTCCTACTCTAATTATAAGCACGCATCATACTAACACGTTGCTTCAGTACACAAAGAACAAGGGCTTCTGTGACGATCTCGATGAAGGGAAGTTATCTTTCCCGATCATCGTATCTATGCAATCCCCTGGCTTCTCCAACACAGCATTGTCAAGCATCTTCAAGGGTTCCCAAAAAGGCGAAACCCTGACACTCGAGATGAAACAGTACATACTGGAGGAGATCACTGCTCGGGGAGCTTTCACCGAAACGAAAGCTGTGTTGAGGAAATTGCATACCGAACTGCTCCGCCTCCTCGTGGAAACCGAAAAGCTAGCCGGCGGAATCGAGAATTGGGCACTGCGGTTGTTGATTATGAAGCTTGACCTCGGAGATGAGAAGAAAAAGGTCGCACATAAGACTGATTCCGCTTGGAAGATCAACCAGCGACGGGCGTGGAAAGGAAGTCAGAAGAATGGGCGACCTATTGATAAGGCTTGCTTTTTGAGGGCTATGGAAGAGGCGACTCAGAAATGAGTCTTGCTTATAGATCAATCTTACCTAGAGGTTCACGAGGATACGAATTAGATAGTACAGGAGTTTTTGAAATAAATTCATCTTTCATTTATACTAGGACTGTACAAGTTGCGGGTAACGTGTTTCCAGAAGAAAGTGGATCGATTTGGGTTCGTAAGGAGCTTCGTACTGAGTTATACACCTATCTACTACATAAGAACAAAATGAACAGATATGCCGAACTAAATACCATAGACCTAGTCGCAGAATCTTATGCTGTGCGATCAATTTTGTTCCGGATTCTGGGCATATTCGATAGTCGCTGGCGCGTTTCGAGATGAAGATTTCGGTAACGTTGTCGAGCACAACGCAGGCGACCAGCAACATCTTCTAATGCTTGTAGATGAAGGGAGTTTTAGAGGGTTGGGGGAAAGAAGGGAAATGGAAAAGTTGCAGATGGAGGGAAATTAACTATAGATGCTTAGAAGGACCAGCCACGCGACCTTCTAAGTAGTGGACCCAAACATGACGCAGCGCAAAGCTTGTAGCCTCATTAGATTAATTGAGCCAAACTCGAACGTCACCCACTCTGGCCCACCTTGCCAAGATATTTTAAATGAGATAGAGAATGGCATTCTTCCATGACACAATCATTATACCATCATATCGGTCAAAAGAAGAAAATCCACCAAGGCCAGGACCCGAACCTGGATCACTGCTATGCCTTGAAGAGCTCCCCATACGACGATAACGTCCCACAGATATGGCCCCTGGGACCCGACCTATCACATTCTGTCATTCTCTCCCACACACGGCCCAATACATACGGCTATGGGCAGTGGAACGCAGGGCTTCCCGTCTAATAGCTTGAAAGAGAATAAAGGGTGGAAAATGTCGTCGACTGCAACGGTTGGCAACATGTGAAGGAGGAGTATTATAATGAGAACGAGCTACACATTAGCTTGGAAGATACAGTGGGAGTCGAAGATATATTTGTCTACTCGCCAATACCCGAAACTACCCTTGGCTACATCGGGTTACTCTCGAAACAACCCCGCAATGACCACCGGCGACTGTCGACTTGAAACATTTCCCTCCAATCTTGAATCAGATTTCATCAATTATATATTGTTCTATCTACTTAGTGACACTGCCTCCGATGTCATCAGATACAAAGCCGACTATTATTCTCGTCCATGGCGCATGGCATGGCTCGTGGTGCTGGAAATTCCAAATTCCCGAACTCGAAGCTCTCGGCTATGTTGTGGAGACTGTAGACTTACCATGCGTCAGTGGGGTAGTTGGTACGACCCAATTCGACGACGCTGCCCAGGTACGGTCCGTTGTGGAATCGCAGACTGCTATGAGTAAGCGCGTCGTTCTCCTGGCGCATTCCTATGGAGGACCAATTGCCAGCGCTGCTATCAAGGGGCTGTCCGAAAAGGGCGTGCTAGGAATGATTGCTCTATCTGCTTTTATCTTTCCTGGGGGCATGGACCAAGGCGCAGTCATTCGCAACATTGGCGGGCTACCCTACGTCACGTGGGACGTGCCGAGTGAAGGTCTTTTCCAAACGAAAGACCCTCGCAGCTTGTTCTTCCCCCCAGATGCACCATCAGATCGGATAGAATGGGCAGTACCGCAGCTTCGTCCTCAGAGCATGGCTGCCAACATGGGCATTGTCCCTCCTCAAGCCTGGCAGGATGACTCTTATACTGGGAGATTGGGCTATATTAGGTGCACAGCCGATGTCGTCATTCCTCTGGAACAACAGGATACCATGATAGCAGGCGCAGGCAGCCAGGGTAAATGGGTAGTTCGCACTCTTGAAGGATCCGGCCACAGCCCCTTCCTGTCGCGCCCACATGAAGTAGCAGCTGCACTTGATGAGATCATCAATGATTTTGAAGCCAAGCTATAAGAAGAACAATGACATATAGGTCGTTGTTGAGGTCATTGATTTTGTACCAGCCACTGGAGTCGGAGTTTCTCAATATATTCAAAGTGATACCTTGGATATGGCGGATAGAGGAAGTACTATCAACTCAATGCATCACCACATACCCTTGGTATCTCACTTGGAACAAATAGGGATATATTCACTTCACTTTCGAATTTTGATTCTATATTTCCATCTTGCTGCTAGTGATCTTCACCATGCTAATATATACAAATAGTGAAGATCGCTCTAAGGCTAGCTGCTTCTACGACTTCCGCGCGACAGCCACAACCCGCGGCATCGACAAAGCCACACCATGGACCGCCTCTACGGCAAGATCCTTTAGCAACAGCCGAATATTCTCCGCATCATGCACCAAGTCTTTTTTCTCCAACGAGAGTGCAAACTCCTCCATGGTAACCAAATGCTGCTCTCCATTCGCGGTAGCAAGCTCCACACGATCTTGGAAATGATCCAACCGTGGGCTCTCAAACCCATTCTGCTCCATCAGAGTAGGCAAATTCAATACCCAGTCATGGCGGCCATTTGAGTAAACGAATTGGAGCAGCTGATCAAATGCGGGGGTTGCCAACGCGGGGTCTGCCTTTACCACATGGGTGTCTGGGTAATTGAGATCGTCCCATTGGATGTATCCACCCGGTTTGAGTAGACGTGCTACGTTCCGGATGACGGGAACCGGATCACTGTTCTGCACGACAAGTATAAGGAGGCGGAGGTGGACCATGTCGTATTTTCCCACTAGGTGCTCTGGGACAGGGTCAAAGAGGTTCCAGTCATGGAGAGTAAGGTGCTTGGGGAGCCATTGGGTTGGAGGGGTATTGGAGAGGTCGATGTCGTAGCCGTCAAGTGTGGCAGTAGGTGCTGAGTGGGCTACATCGAGTAGCCAGATAGCAGTTCCGGTGCCGATGTCCGCGATGGCGGGATTGGGAGGGATGGGAATGGAAGGGTGGATGTTGAATTTCAGGGATTCTTTCCAAAGGTAGAATTGGAGGTTGAGGCGACAAGCAGCGGCATGACCTCGGCCAAGCATATAGCCTTTGCTGTCTGCAAGGTGGAAGCCAGATTGAATGGTTGAAGACATAGTGGAGAGCAAGCCCGATTAGGAAAATGATCAAGGAAATCAACGGGGAGGGTTGTTGGTGAAGGAGGGGCAATTCGCTCTCGATCTTGTCTGATCCTGAAAATAAAAAGTGAACTCAGCCTACTGTGGTATCTGACAACCCCCAATTTTTTAAAACCAGGAACGGTCAATCGGAGGAGATCTGGCGTCATCTTACATGTTGCTTATTCGCGAGATAGCGAGATAGCGCTGACTACAGCGCAGTGCCCCCACTCACGGAGAGGGGTGCAGGTGGATACAGACTCGCCCTTGGTCTACAGGTAGGTTGGGCATATAAAATTGGACCTAGAATGACGGGAGACCATTTATCACCGCCGTGGTTCCTGATCCTCAACCGACTCACACATCATGCGTTCGATTCTGGTTGCCCTGGCCGTGGGAAATGGCACCGGCCCCGAGTTGCTGGCCATATTCGAGAGGGTCATCATCGCATTGGCAGCGCCATACAACATGGAAGTCCGATTCGTCACTTCTCCGCGGACTTACCATTCCTACTCATCACTCCTGGCCATCAATGACACCGACGTAGTGAGTAGTGAGACCCTCACGGATGCGGATCACTACGAAAGCTTCTGTCGCCAAGTAGTGACTTTTGGAGCATGCGCCATATTTCGCACCTCCATCAGCGCGCAGGCGCTTTACATGGTTCGAGATCGACTACAGGCTGTGAAAGTGGAGAACTTCAAAATGAGCCCTTCTACATCGATCCTACTAGTGCGAGATCAGGCACAGGGATTCTACTCCGGTTTGAACACGATTGATTCAAACCAGGAGATAGTTTCACGATCATCATATTTCAGCAAGAAGGTCTTCGAGCAGGTCCTCACTTTCTCACTTGCACGTGCTCGCGAGACTTGGGGCCCTGAAACCCCTATCACGACTGCCACACTGGTGTACAAGTTCCACCTCTTCGACGGGCTTTTCTATTCGTGGGCAAAGGAGTGGAAGGAATATTATGGCGTGGACATTCAATTTATCCAGGGCGACACGATGAATCGCAATCTATTAGCGTTCGGTGTCCAGGGCCACCAACTGATGATATGCGCAAATGAATACGCAGATATCATGCAGACGATGCTACTAGATCGGCTCGGTTTTGGCGCCCAGGAGTCTGCATGCGCCGAAAATGTGTATCTCTCGGCCGGAGTGAAGCAGGGCCTAAGCGAGTACCAGACAGCGCATGGCTCCGCTGACGACATTACCGGGAAGGGCGTGGTCAATCCGACAGCGACAATTCGCGCAGCGGCGGCTCTACTGGAGCGCCATGGGGGATGTCAGGGTATTCAACGCCAAATGGATGTTACCCTTGAGGAGATGCGTGCGAAGGACATCCGCACACTGGATCAAGGCGGCACGACCAAGACTCAAGCCTTTGTGGATGCTCTGCTGCAAATGATCACCCCGAATATCCCCGTAAATGTCTGTGCAAGTCATCCTTCTGTAATAGGGGCTTTGGCCCCGGCCCCACACGGGAACAAGTCGTGTCTCATGGTGATGGATTTCCAGAACGACTTCATGACGCAGTACAAGACGCCCCGGGTGATGCTGCGGATCAAAGAACACATGCCGCGGCTCGTGGAGTGGGCGCGCCGGGAGGGGATGGACGTCGCCTGGGTGCGATTTCTCGGCGACGAGAAATATCAACCTGAGACATGGCGGCGGCGCAACCAGCTACAGGGCCGGCGGGCCTGGTGCAAAGAAGGCACATGGGGGGCGGAGGTTGCGAGTTGCGTGCAGATCCAACCGCATGACCGGATATTTGACAAAAAGGCCTACTACGACCCATTCTTAGGGGCGGACTTTGTGACCTATGCGACAGGATTCGAGCATCTTGTGGTGGTGGGCCTATTTGCGGATATATGTGTGGATGCGGCGGTCCGAGGCGCATTCCAACGGGGCCTGTGGACCACCGTGGTCCGCGAGTGCACCGCGGGTTTGCATCTGCCTGAAGAGCAGAGCTTTGCTTACATGGAAGCTGTTTACGGCACCAAGGTGGTAGGGGTTGATCAATTGCTATCGACCGGGCCGGTGGCTAGTCTATAGGCTGTTGGATGCAACCGAGGGGCCAAAAGGATTCGGGTTGCATTCAATTGAAACTAGCGCTACATTTATCGTGACTAGCAGCAAGAAAATTGATTGCAACACATGATTCTCCTTGCACAATGGATACTTTCATGATGGTTCGAAACAAATATTGTTCCATACATATATAGTACGTGGAGCAGAAATATGTTAAAACGGTTTTTTCTTTGAATAGTTAATTGTGACCTAGATTTTTCATCCATGTTGTATGTTATCTTTAATTCTCCAACAGACCAGGATCGAATGTCCATTATCCTGACTCTCTTGATTGTCAGCTTCTACTAGCCCCAATGAGGAAATTGGTTGTTTACAAAGCGCTTCGGCCCTCCCGGACTCCCGAGGTCCGCCCGGACACTTCCAGGTATAACCTGATTTGGTATAGTGAGTTAATATATCCTACAGAAGCAAAGCAATCGCGCGATGCGCTAATAAGAGCCAAGGACCACCGGTGGAAATTGATCTTCAGCCATGAGTTTCGGTAGATGCATGCGCAGCGCACCATTGATTTGTTCCCCGAATGGAGAGATCGTTCATTCACCATCCCACGTGGGTATATCGCACAAAGTAATAATTAAGAATGGGGGGTCATCCCTCCGTGTTTGTTCAGGAATAATGTCCGTGATCGATACCTCGGCTTGGTTCCAGCCACAAATCGGCTCTCGCCTGAAACCAAGCATCCAGTTCGTCTTCCGCGAATGGAGCCACCTGGCCGACGAAGAATTAGCATCGCACCTACATCGTATCGTAGGTTCAGCCCCAACGGGACTATTTCACATCACAATCACTAAATGGAATAACCCCATTTAGCGCGATCAGGCATGGCCGCTGGGAGAGTTCCCCTGTGTCGGCCTCTGGATGTTTCTACTACCCGGCATCTCAGCCTTTCCTCAATTCCCCGACATCCTTAAGACTGGACGACGGGCCGAGGCCATCATTCTCGATCTGGGATGTGGACTCGGCCAGGATCTACGATTACTTGCCGCTCACGGCGTTCCAACGGAGCGCATGTGGGCGCTAGACATCCAGGCCCATCTGTGGGGGCTGGGTTATCAGCTCTTTCGTGATGAGGGGCGCATGAAGGCAGCGTTCATCCACGCCGATTTTCAGCAAGCAAGTGTTGCAGAAGATCCCCGGTTTGCCGCGCTGAGGGGCCAGGTGGACCTAGTGCTGGCTTCGCAGTTCCTACACCTGTTCGATTGGGAAGGCCAGATAGCGGCGAGTAAGAAGATTGTCAGCCTATCGAAGCCAGGCACTGTGATAGTAGGATTCCAGCAGGGACGCAAACGTGCACGAGCCTATATTCGGCCATGGGGCATGATGTTCTATCATAACCGGGATTCATTACTGCAAATGTGGGATATGGTCCAGGAGCAGACGCAGACACGGTGGACAATCGTTGTTAGCGTGGTTGCATTGCAGGAGTGGGGTATGCAGGATGAGGATTTGGAATGGATGCCCGAAGATCGCATGGGGATCAACTTTGTGATTACGCGAGAGTCATGAGCATTTCAACATGTTAGTCATTGATCTAAATAGATGGACAGTAAAACAAGGGTTTTAAGGCTACATAGTGGCTGGATCTGCCGTTCGAGCTCGGTGATCTGCACGTGAATCCCCCAGCAACTGTAATATCTCCTCGTCGCAAAGTCAAAGTCCGAGTTCCCTATTATAGGAATTGGTCGATGATCACCCGAGTCAGTCCCACTGTCTCGTCGATCCGATTGAGGAATGGTGCGCAGTGACTGGACGCCAGTTCCTTAACGATCCACGTCTTCTGCGTGGCGGCCATCATGCCGAATTGTGCCTCCTTTGGTACCGCACGATCCTCAGTGGTGACGATAAACGCCAATCGGCCTTGGAAGGCCTCATCCGCCCAGGCCGGATGGGGCTGTGGCGAGGTGAACGATAAGGTAGAATGCGGTTTGACTTCTGCGGTGAGGGACTGCACCAATGCCGGATCGACATCGGCAGCAAAGTTGTGAATAAGATCATCCACGATATTGAGATTCGCCGAGGGCTGCAAGAGGTCAGCAAATTGATCGGAGATTCTACAGAGTGGGGCGAAGAGGTCCTACCTGATCGACCAAGATCCAGGGGGGCAAGTTTCCACCTTGCAGACCGGCACAACTAAGCCCTTCAGGTACGATGAATGACGCTAGGAATAGTAATCCAATGACGCCACCAGGTAGGCCCTCTTGCGCCCGCTGCGATTTGGCTAGGCCAGTAGCTGCCGCGGCGCCGGGCATGCCGCCATAGGAGTACATAAAGACCAGAACATCTTTACCCTCATCCTCTACGAGGGACTTGAGAGGGGCAGTAATGGCATCGGCGTCGGTCTGGCAAGTGGTGGTGGACGGGTCCTCGGGATTGAACGAGGGGTAACCCGCGAAGTGGACATCGTAGCCAGCGACCATGAGGGCTTGAATAAATGGCCGGTAGAATGCCGGAGCGATCCAAGCGCCAGGAACAATTAGGATGGTGGTCATCGTGTCAGATGTTAAATGTGTCAAGAAAGGAACGCAGCAAATGGCGGATAACGCCTTAATATACTACTTACACTAAACCCGCCAACAAGTAGACAACTACTGACGCTAGTCACCAAGTATGTCAAGGAAGTCTCATTTCCACTTGCAGGGGTTCCCTCAACATCCATGCATTTCCTAGTTTGGTCGCGCCAGGTCGTAATAGCCCCAATGCCATGATCACCCTGATTGGACGGTGAATTAGCGTGAAGCATGCATAGTTTTGGGGCCGTAAATTAAATACTACCCGCCGGCATAATCGCTTATTCTAAGGTGGACAGATGTGCTTACAGGGTATATTAACAATGCGCCACCCCTCAATCGTCAGCTTGTTCTTCTGTCTGTCGCTATCATTATGGATCTCACCCCTCCTGCCGGCATAGATCTCAATGAGTCCTATCAGTCCCAGCTACGAGCAAAATATGCCGCGACTTATGCTCTAGCAGTGGTTGCAGTGACGCTGCGCTTGTTGTGTCGATTGAGGATCTCCAAAGTCAGATTATGGTGGGATGACTATATCATCTGTGTTGCATTGGTACGAATTATCTCCCTCGATGGATTGCATCCAAGTATCTATATAGGTTGTAGGGATACAAAGAAGACAAAACGGAATTACTGACTCTAATTCTCGACCAGACGTTTGCCACAGGCAACTTTATCGATATGATGATTTGGGTTGAACGAGGTGTCGGCACCCATATATATCCCTTAGGAATGGCTGGCGTCTCGCATTTCTATATCAATCTATTCGCCTGCGAGATCCTTTACACACTATCTGTCTGCTTTACCAAATACTCGATTCTGCTGTTCTTCTGGCGTATCTTCAATAGTACCAACATTCGCATTCCGATCTACGTCCTAGCATCCATGATCACAGGCTGGGGTCTCGGTGTTGTACGAATCCCGACACCCACTTCTTTCCTATCTTGCAATAAATCAATGAACTGTCCAGCTAATGTATATTCTACAGATCCTAACAACCGTCTTCCAATGTATGCCCATCCAAGGACTGTGGGATTACTCCGTCAAGGCCCACTGCGGCGTCAACATCAATGACTTTTTCATTGGCAATGCAGTCCCAAATATCATCACAGACTGGGCTATGTTGATTTTGCCTCTACCGTATGTGTGGAAGATCCAGAGAAGCACCACCCAGAAAGTCGCGCTATGTGGAGCTTTTGCAATGGGAGGGTTGTATGTATCATCCTTACTGTCATTGAGAGTTACCTTCAGTGTGCTAATCAGTGCAGCATTTGCATCATCTCAATCATTCGGCTAGTGATCATGTTGGACGCCTACAAAACGCCGTCCGTCGACGCAACCTGGGTTTTCATTGGACCCTCTACTTGGACAGCCGTGGAGACAAACATCGGCATTGTTTCTGGTAATCACCCTTGTTTATCTGTTCGATGAGTTTCATGATCCATACTAACGAAATCTTAAGCTTGCCTCCCCTCTCTCGGACCCCTCATAAAATCCATCACCCGGAAGTCTGGTGGCAAGGAGACTAGCGAAGATGACACCCACAAGCTATCCAGCTCGTATGGACGCTCCTTCGGGTCAGGGAAGAGCGGCTACCGTCCCGACTATGACATTCAGCTGTCTGGCATTGATGTGACGACAAGCGTGGATGTGGAGAGTTACCGACGACATACAGATAGCAGGTTTTAATTTTGATTGAAATAGAAAAAATTTACCTGAAGATCTGGTTCGTTAATTTGTTTATCCCAAAGAAGCAGTCATCTAGTCGATGTACACACTTAGCTGTCTCAGCAAATTATTGTGCCTCTAACATGCTGAAATACTTCTAATTTCATCATAGCTCTAGCACTGCACAGTGCTCACCTACCAGAACTATATATTGAACACCCACCCTTATCACCCTACCCTCTTACCTGATGCCATTCCCTCTCACGTGTAAAATCACGTACAGCCATAGGGTTTAGAAAACAGGGTGTCCAGTGCCCTCAGCTTTTTGAGCAACACGTCGAATGATGATTCGAGTAATCTTCCAGTATTTTCACCTTCTGTATCTCAGCGAAGGAGATGGCCGGTGCGGTCTGATCCTATCTATTTGCAAGGGTGTGCGGATCGAAGTTGTAATCATTGTCGGCCTGGGGCAAGGCGGGTTCAGGATCGGTTTGTGGGGTGGGGAGGGGGGTTCATCCCAAAGATTGCTCTCAGAGTAGAGCATGATGCGGTCGATGTTCTAATCGATAGGTAGTTATAAGCTATGAGTTATATGTTTTGGAGTTGCTGGGGATGGATGGTAGCTGCCTGAGGTCTCGGCATTTCCCCTGTTTGTGATGTTTGTGATGTTTGTCAGGATCTGGTTCCACTTCGATGACTAAGACCAATTAGACCTCCAGGGCTGCCCGGCATGCCCAGATCTCTTCTCCATAACCCCCACCATCATCCTTTTTCAGCCTCAAAGAATATTCTTTTAACTGTATACAACCATGCTACAAATCCGTTCTATATTTGGATTGCATACTTAAACTGGGAACTTTAAAAATACGTAAAAACCACATCCCAAACAAGCACAAAACTGGAGGATGAGGTCAAATATCGCCCATTAATGGAAGTAAATATCACGTGAGACGATCGGCAAACCGGTGATCGGCTCCATCTTGACCCCGCGCTTCCCTGGTCGATTTCCGATCTCTACCCCTCAAAAAGCTTGGATTGAATCATCGCCATGAGTTTCCTCGGCCACCACAATCTCCAACCTTTCGCCGAGCCTATTGCCATATTCGAACAATTCATCTCGAATGAGCCGCAGACCATAGTCCTGAGAGAAAAGGTGCTCTCGGTCTCTGGGGATAGCTTCGAAATCAAATTAGCCAATGGCGAGCCACTTCTGAAAGTGCACGGAGCCTGGGTATCGATCTCTGGTCGCAAGAAGGTTGAGGACGCTCATGGCAAACACTTGTTTGATATCGTCAAGGAGCTTCTGCATATCCATGCGACCTATGCAATTGAGGATACCCATGGCGAGAAGATTTGTGAGGTCAAGAATAATATCAGATGTAAGTACTATATAGCGAAATAGACTCCGTATGTGATACATGTTACTAACTATACTAGTGTTCGGCTCCAAAGCCACTGCGAGTTTCACTGATCATAATGGCAAGGCGGTGACTCTCACTATGAAAGGAGGCTGGTTCGATCATACTGCCGACATTGTCGACCATAAAAGCGGCCAAACAGTTGCTCGCATTGATCGGAAATTGCTTAGCGGCCGCGACCTTGTGTTTGGCCAGCAGACCTACGCTGTTGTTGTGGCACCTGGTGTGGACGCAGCACTTATCGCCGCCTTATGTATTTGTTTTGATGAGAAGAACAATGAGCGACGCGGCAAATAGTACTACTGCATCTCGTTGGGATTGCCGCCTGAGGCATGAAATGATAACCCAAGGCACCAACTCTAACAGCTATCGTTAATTAAGTATCATTCTCTTAAATCTTAAAGTAAAAGGCTTCTCATGTGTTTCTTCACTCTGGAAATACACAATGGACTGTTGACCGCATATAGGCCACATGCCGTTGGCTTAATATGGGCCCCAAACAGTACAAATATTCCGAGAATTCAGAAGTTGAACCCCCATTCCTAAGCCTTATTTTAAAGGAAGTATTTTATTAATTTACACCATTTAGAATTAATTACTAGTTATGTCTCTGTATCACGTTTAAAACTGCCAAAAAGCGCGTTATTTAGATAATTTATAAATTACAAGAGTCTCGTTCCAAAAGAAACTTCTTGCTTTGAAGATAAGGCTGATTGAAGGAGTCCTGACAATCCTGGATTTTGCAGGCACTGAGAGCGCCATCGCTATGAGCCACTACTCCCTGTCAGCCATCATGCTATTCTGGGGTGAGGTTGGGTCAACCGATCTGTCGGATCATGCTTCGTAAAAGGGGAGAGTTGAAGATATGCCATGAACAAAGATCCCACTATAATTTTGCTCCTTGCATTCGCGAGAAGATAAGCCGACGAGGAGTCCCTGACAATACCAACTAGATTTCCTGAACCCGATAAGGAAAGGGGAAACAAGGGGTGGTGAATAAAAATCACGGATGGTGGGTTAGCAAGCTGAAAGCGATTGATTGTGTTTAAGGCTGTGTTCTTGGTTTCACGAAGGTTACGTATGATAATGAAGTGGGACAAAATTTATCGACTTGAACACAAACCTCACATATCCCGATCGCTACCCACTCCAGCCCATCTCATTCTCTGTATGCGAGTCCTAGTTCCCACCTCCCTCCTCACGGCTATTCTCATCGTACCTACACTCACGTGAATGCTCCCCTATGAGACTGCGGGCCTTTGTCCAGGTCCAGATTAATCGGAAATCCCTATCACATCCGGGCCAGGCTTGGAAGTGGAGCGCCCTTAACGGCTGAATGGTCTCCATTCCACCATTGAAAATTTGACGCACATTAGTGACAGCACAGTCTGCCGCTCTCAGTCATGTCGATCGTATAACCGTTTTACGAGACAAGCTTGGACGCCCGAGTCAGATGTGCCAGTCTGCCTGCGACTGACGAAAAGGCGCCCCTGAAATGTCGCTTTTTACCGACAACGATACTCCCTTGGGACTGACACACTGGGGAAAAACGCTCTGCAATCTTTGTATTCAAGTGACAAGAAGTCAGGGAGCTATTTAGGCGCGAACAGATATTTAATTCTACGGACCTCGCCTGAGTCGATGATTTTGTCATCGGGACATGGAGGAAGATTCCCGCCGCAAGAAAGGATGGAATACATCCGTTCCGGTAAAAAATATAATTCATTGAGTTCCATACCCACGGTATGACCCAGCAGGTTATACCCGTATACTAAAGCCAGTGGTGCTTGCAAGCTTTCAAGGTTTCAAGGTTCGTCCATCGATGATTTGAGTTCGCCCCCAGCCGCTCCCGTCAATCAATAAAAGTTCAATTAACCTGTTGCAGTCTAACTAGTTGCGTATGACTATGCAGGCGCTTCTTCCAACTCAAGCAAGAGCTCGAGTCCTAACGCCGAATCCAGGGGGGGTGTACAGATGCGGTAAAGAGTGTGGAATCAGCCCGTTCCTGTAACCCGTAGATCTCGTAAACCCAAACCCATACATAAGAAATTTTTAAATGATCGCCGTGGAGTGCACCTTCCATCTTCCAACTCCCACTTCTCACTCTCCCTTCTCGGCCTTTGCTCTCCCCCCTTGCCTCAGTTTCAATCAGTGGTGGTGTTCTTGGTGGCTAGTTCATCGGCATGGTCAGCCGCTCCCGTCGGCCCGAATCGAACCTACATTAAACCTCCACCGTGGTGTGATTCCTACGTACTAATGGTGCGCCTATTAACGGCAAAGTAATCCTACTCCACGATGCGCTCCCAATGACCTCTCGCTTTGATTCCACTATCAAACCCCAACTGACTCCTCACATTATCAAATTACCTAATCTTGATATATACTCCTTAACTGGGCTGGCTGAGAAGCCTATCGCGCTCCACAAATGACATGGAAATGTTTAGGTTGATGCATCTCATACACCGCTCGCAGAGCACTTGAAGTGGCTCAGATTTACAATATTGCCCAGAAAACCTAGGTAGGGACATGTGAACTGTGTGACCCGGTGTCCCAATAACAATCCAATTTATCTGTCCTTTTCCCCAGAAGAATCACTTTTGTGTTAAACTATAAAATACAAATCAAAACCTTGTACGTCGTTGTCCATAGTCTCCCTTTGTCGCATGGATGATGTTCTCTTGGCTCTCATTAACACTGTCCTGCAATAATGTCGTTCCCATTCCCAACCCGATATTCTTCTTCCTGGTAATTCTAGGCTCGCTACCATTTATATTGACAAGCTCGTGAGATTTATGGTCGGTCGATACCTTGTCACGCGAGTTTATGCTAGATCCGAATCGGCGGAAAATGGGCAATGGTCGTAGAGAAGAGAGAGAGCCTGCGACAAGGCCCAAATTGAACTCGATGGCCATCCAGTATAACGATGATGCTGACTCGTCTGTGGTCCATCGTCAGTATGAGGTAGTCACCCAGTGCATAATGAGAACGGTCAGTCTTGTGTGCTTACATGTAAGGTCGGTAGTGCCAATACGCAGATAATCCAATGTGCTAAAGCGGACAACTGGAGAGATGCACGCGATTATACCTGCACTTCAAATTAGTATTTTTGAATCTCGGTTATAATGCAAGGGACAAACCTGATCCAAAGATTATCATCAAAGCAACGATTTTCCTCGTAGGCATCTGTAGTCCACATAGAATGACCAGTGGCGCAATCAAGATGATGACATCGCAAACGAAGATCAGAACCGCTTGGTATAATACAATTTGAAACAGCTTATACTGTGAGTAGCATGTCCCATTCGTGACTGACAAATCATACGCAGCCCTGTCATTTTGTTGGTTAATATATGTAGATAGACACTCCTTGGGATCGGACTTTTCTTGTACCTTGGAGGATCACATTGGAAGGCTAGAACAAAAGAACCAGTTATAGAGAATAGCACTTGAAATATGATCATGCCAATAGTGAGCCGATTCATCCAGGCTAAAAGGGGAGTTATTTGTGGTCAGCGCCGAGTCATCCTAGTATCGGACCTTTGTGACTTACATTTGATGAAGATTCGTCGAAGGAATAGCAACAAGCTAACTTTGACCGACAGTGAGGCATAGAGGTACAGGCACATTGCCACATAATAGAGCTTCGTATGTTCAAGGTCAACGATAGGTTCGGTAACGGCGGAGCTGTTTGAATCGTACCTTGAGCCACATTGCTCGATTTTCAGTGGACAGCTTGTTGAAATGTATCCCTTCTCCATAGTATACGATAGCAACTCCCAAACCGTTGAAGGCCTGTGTGATAACCTGTAAATCAACTCTGTCAGTTTTCACGGCCTGTTTATGACTCCAATGGAGGGCGGGACTTTGGCGTACCAATGAGACGCATACAGCGATATCGTCCAACCCAAATACCTTGATAATGAAGGCTCTTGTATAAAGCTGTAGACAAAATAAGCTTATGTGCCGTGCTCCACTGGATTTCTCGTATTTACGAGCCTTTCACCCGGGGCCTTACTCTTAAGCCACAGACTATCATAGACAGGATTCCTGTACTGATGATTAGACCGTAGATGAGCGACTGCAGGTACCGCTCTTCTGCTGTCACGGTTAGCTCGGCGACAGAGGTAGACATGGTAGGTATTGGAAACAACGACAGCCTCCGTGCACATTAACTGCTGAACATTTCAAGCTAAGTACCAGGAGACGCGAAGTTCTGGGATAAAACTGGGTGAAGCGTGTTTTATGAGATCAAAAAAAAGAAAACCTATATTGTGACTGGTGTCCTTCAATTTATTTCGGTACTTTTGTGCAGTCCTCTCAGGCTGCATACAACATGTGCAGATCGATGAAATCCATTGTCAACTCATTCTATTGTTAAAATTTAACTTCACTCTAGACAATTGACAGGTGCCGATCTATATTTGTCTATCCTGAACAATCTCCGATTAGGCAAGCGTCACTCACTACGGGGTACTCCGTACTCTAAGTTGACTATAGCCGTTAGACTGGTGTGCTGGAATGTGGGTCCCGCGTCCAACCACCAAACAGGAATTCGGCCCAAGCGTCCAGTGTCCACTGGATAGCCCCTAAAGGTGGGAATGAGCTATCTCATTCGCTGCATAATAGGTGCTTCCGTTCTGAGCTATAGGGTGGCGGGTCTTAGGTGGTAAGAAGCTCCGAGTGACTAATGGGCGGAGTAAATACCTATTGTTATAGGTGTCTACTCTGTAGTTAGTAAGAGCCGACTACGGAGTATGTTGTAAGAATATGTACGCCAAGGCTTTTCCAAAAGTCGAGACCATCTAGATTATTGTACCAGCACGGACTCCGGACTAAAGTCCCTATAATACAACGCTCAGGCCCATTTTGGGGTCAGAGTCCAACAGCCCCCTTCATGGGGCGGGTTCTCATGCGCAAGCTTGCAGCTAACCCTTGGCGCTGCATGTCAGTTTCAGGCCACCTGCACTTTGAGAAATGAATATCAAACTAACTAGCTATATATGTAGCACCTAGATCTAATAATAGGATGGTACACAATTGCATTGTTCTGACTTGCAGCAAGAATAATACTGGATTAGCAGTGCTTTTCCGTATGTCAACAACCCCATACTGTCAATACGAATCGTCTCCACAGGCGGGATGGCTCTGTTTCACAATACGTGCACAAACTTTCACCATAAACTTCTAGAAGTTAAGTATCCTTTGTATGGTAGGCCCATACAAAAGGTACATTAGGGTAATTTTTCCATACTCCGGACATTCTTCACTCTCGATAGAATCACGGTAAATACAAGTACATATATATGTTGTAAGGGATATCTATTTTATCTTACGTATCCAAGTTGAATAGAAGCATAAACCGTTATTAAAGTCATAGACCGTTGGCGTATTTATGTTGTACATATGTTGTACAGAACACAGGCGGGGTTGGGAAGACGACTCGGGGTTCGTGAGTATTCCCCACTTTTGGATGAATGGTCGTCGGAATGTGAAACACAAAGGGGTTGTTTGCGGCGCTATATATTGTTGTTATAACTCTGCGACCTGAAGAAACGAGATATTGCGCCGCAGTTCGGGTTATTTTCCTACCTCTGACTAATTCTACTCATGGCGTCGTCCAATCAAGACACGAATCAGTTCAAGGTCCTCATCGCTGGTGGGAGTCTGGTGGGTCTTGGCCTAGCTGTAGCCTTTGAGCGTGCCGGAATCGAATATGAGCTTTTTGAAAAGGGAGAATTTGCAACGCAATTAGGAGCTTCTATCGGAATCCATCCGCATACCATCAGGATTCTAGAGCAGCTGGGGGTATGGAGTGATATTGAGAAACAGGTCGTACCGCTTCAGAGTCGAAACCATTATGACGGGGACGGTCATTGCTTTGAGGAGTCAGATGTCCTAGTCCACATCAATAAAATGTAGGTCTATATATAATTCACTACTGACTTACTTCGAGTGATTAGAGTGGGCGATGAAATGGACGTGCTAATATCTTAACTTTCTTGGGAACATTGCATAGTCTTCAACGTCCCATCATTTTCATGGAGCGATGCAAAGCTTTGGAAGCACTACACAGCCATGTGCAAGACAAGTCTAAGCTACATGCTCGAACTGCGGTCGTTGGATATGAAGAAACCGCACAGGGGGTTATCGTCACCACCGAAGATGGCGAGCAGTACCATGGCCACATCCTTATAGGCGCGGACGGGATCCACAGCAAAGTGAGGAAGCTGATGGCCGAGAAAATCAACGTGGTGGATCAGTCTCTCGCTATGGAAATCAACGAGGGTTAGTCCAGCTTTTCTCTTCCGCCTCAAAAACCTTCTAACTCACATTCTCCGGACTACAGCGTTTACAAGCGAGTACAACTGCATCTTTGGTGTTTCTCGGAATGATCCCGATAATCAGTTTCTACCTGATGCGATGGTCCATAATGTGTATTACGACAATTACTCTGCAGTTGCAGCTGCTGGTGTGCATGGGCTTGTGTTTTGGTTCCTTTTCGTCAAGGCTCCCAAACTCACGAGAACTCCCAACTGCCCACGATTCACGGACGAGGACGCAGAGGCAACGATCCAAAGGTATGGAGGTGCCCTTGTAGGCCCTGGGTACACTGTGAAGGATCTCTGGGATGCTCGAGTCAAAGGCACAATGGTACCCCTGGAAGAAGGTGTTATCAAACAGTGGAGTCATAACCGGGTGGTTTTAATGGGTGACTCAGTTCATAAAGTTCGTACCTTCCGCAAAAGTCCAAGAGCTGTCGGAGCCACATGATTTAACTAGCCTTCTTCATCTCGGCAGTCTACAGTCAACCCGGGATTAGGCGGTAACCTGGCCTATGAAGGTATCGCTCGTTTGACGAACGGTCTCGTGCCTTTGCTAAAAGAGAACCCCATGCCATCCCTTGAACAGTTGACTGGGGTTTTCAATCAGTATATCATTGGTCAGAAGCCTCGAGCAGAGGCAGTCGTTGACCTTTCCGGTCAGATTACGCGATACGAAGCCCAAGATACCTGGGCTCTCAAATTTGCAGCCCGTCACATCGTTCCCTGGGTTAGTGACAGAGTCAAGGCCAAACTGTATGCCAGTTTCTCAAGAGGGGGCCCTTATTTGGAATATCTCCCACTACCTGCGGTAGATGCTGATCTGGCGAAGCCTGCTATGAAGCCCAGTCGTGGCATTTCCCCAAAGCTGATTACAGTCATGATAATGGGCAGCAGTGCTGCTCTTTTTTGGCAAGTGCATAACAAGAACCGCTTCCTATCGGTACTCTCTACATTCATGAGACAGTGGAAGTAGTATGCGTCTGTCGCCATAAATGTTGTTTCGAAAATGAGATTGGTTAATGAAAGCGACGGGGGTACCATCGTGCGGGCCACTTGATACCTCTCTCTACGCCGTCCTATGACTTCGAGGTCCATCAGACCGTTACGACAGACATTGCCAACTCGGAATTTGAAAACTTCAACCTTTCTGTGAAATTGTTGTTGTGATTGTACATTTCTATTAGCTTCAACAACCAAACCCAGCCTTGCATTTATTTCATCATGGATTTTTCTTTCTCTTTTAATGCATTACTATTTTATAGCGAGATCATTAGAACTAAAAAGAATAAATAAACAAAATTTGTACAAAATTTCTGTTCGAAATGGGGTATGATTCCATGTTGTAAATGCAGGTGTTGAAGCTATTCAGTTCCGTCAGTCTCAAAAGATACTTGAACCGCAGAATAGAGGCCACATCGTACTATTCGATTAGGCATTTTTTGTTTATTTTTTACCTTGAGAATTCAACAGAATAGAAATCGAGGGGGAAATACTAATGGAATGTACATTCTGACTTTTCAGCTCGGATAGATAGGCCGGTGTGTGGCGCAGGGTTAGATATGAGGTATTATCTATTGTCTTCCTTCTCGCGAACCCAACGACCGCTCTTGCCCCCTTGTTGTTTCTCTACTAGCCGCACACCCTCAAAATTCTTGACTAGGGAGAGAAAGTATAGCGGTGGTCTACCCGAGAGCTGATAAATGGCCGTGATAGGACCAGGATACCATATATTCAGCTATCAGCATGAATACTAGAAGATCACACCCGAAACAAGGTTTTCTAAGTACGTAGAACCAAATATCCCGAATGTGAATTAGTATTTTCCATCTGGATGCATGGAAAATATACAGGTCATAAATTATTTCAATGACAAGAAAAAATATGCCTACCCACCAATGAGAATCATGGGACGGTTCTTCATGTTCTTCAGCTCATCCATGCCAGCATGTTTCGCTTTCTTGCGCTTCACGGCCATGCCGATAATATCCAGGATCTCACGCTCTCGTTCACTAGCTAGGCCCCTATTGTCCTGTATAGTATCTAGGAGACATAGTCTCTTTAAGGCTTCCTCGTCGATAGGCTGCCCATCATTCTCCTTTCGGATGATATCTCGCAGCGAAACCTCCGAATTGCCAAAAAGACATACCTTCAAATTGCCGTCACTCGTGATTCGGAGCCGATTGCAGGTGCCGCAGAAATTGTGCGTCATGCTCGTAATGAATCCGACATGACCTTTGAATCCAGGTACTTGATATGTCTTGCTAGTATCATTTTTATGATCGTGGAGCTTCACCAACGTCGGATATCTCTCTCGTATCACCACCAGCATCTCCTGGTACGAGAACATCTTGCCCTTATTCCACTTATTCCCCCCAAAAGGCATATACTCGATAAAGCGTACCTCGATAGGCTTTTCGCGACATAGCTCGACAAATTGGATGATCTCGCGATCGTTCAAGCCACGCATTACAACGCAGTTGATCTTTAGCTTGATGCTAGCGCCGACTCGATTCATCTCCAGAATGCGATCTATACTCTTCATCACTGCCTCAAATCCACTTCGTCGGGTCATGATCTGAAACTGGAATGGATCTAGAGTGTCTAGACTCAGATTCACGCCTGATAGGCCCGCTTCTACCATCTGGTCTAGCTTTCGGTGTAGGGAAATCCCATTTGTAGTGAGACAAAGCTCCCGTAGCCCGTCCTGCCGTAACTTGCCGATTTCTTGCATCAAGGGGACAATATCCTTCCGTACGGTTGGCTCCCCGCCCGTCAAGCGGATCTTTGTAACACCCTGAGAGACGAAGAGTGATGATAAGTAAACAATTTCCGGTGATGTTAACAGCTGGGGCTGGGGCGATAGGTCTATGCCTTCCTCGGGCATGCAGTACAGACACCGCAAATTGCACCGCTCCGTTACGCTGATCCGTAGATAATTATGTTGACGATGAAATTTGTCCGTGAGAAAGTCGGAAAATGGCCTAACGGTTTGTTCCTCAAGGGATCTTTGATGCTGAGGTGGCTATAGATGCGAGCTTGGTCAGATTATGTGATAACTAGGGGTCACAGAATAATATAGACGCATGTAAGATACCTACCTCGCTTGGTATTCCCAGACACCGTCTCCCTACTACAGAATTTCTGTAGTTGCCTTGAGTGCGAAAGTTCTGAGATAGCTGGATTAGGGGTGTGATTCGCCTCGCGAGTCCTCGCTCGGCCATGATTCAAATATCTCTTTTGCTCGGGAAAGATGAGATGGTTTAGTGACAAGAAGCATGAATGATTTCACCCCTCGAATGCCTCAAGAACTAGCGAGGTCCGAGCGCAAAACCAACGCAGCATGCGTTCTTTACCCAAATCGGATGCCAACGCTTCTCTACATTCCAGGACGAGGAAAGAGATCAATCAATGTCTAATAATGGGCATGATTTTACGGAACTCCTCAAAACTAAAGCAAAATTGGCCAACAATCGTAGTTAGGACTATATCGATCCGAAATGATTGACAAATCGGTCGACCTAGAAGTGATAAGTCACCGCCATTCTTTGGCGTCCGCCGTCTAAGCAAAAAGCTGTAGCTTGGTGGAGCATGTCTGCGGTGTATTCCTATTCCGAGAAAGTGAATGGTTTCCATATTGATAAAAAAAATAGATTGACAAGAAATTGAGTTTCGATTAGAGTGAAAATACCAGCTAGAACGACGTCGCTATCCACCTACCGCTGTCCAAATAAACCAGATTTACTAAGCTAACACCAATTTCTGGCTATCATTCCAAGATAAAGTTTGTACTTTTTTTTAAAGTGGATACTTGGTTTGACTTTACATGATATCTACTGTTGACAAGTGCGTTTTTAAAGTCGTGAGGTCATTACAATGCCCAGCCATCATTCCCGGGCCACTGCATGCCTTCTCCCGGATGCGTTCTGAACTCTGCATCGGGGAGCAATTCCTAGGTGCCGCTAGGCGCCACCTGCCGGAATTCCCCACTCCCCTCGAACCCTAGCATGTCTAACATATAAGAAGCTGCCTGACCTCACAAAGGTACATGTATCTATCGTACCAATTCATTACATAGCAACCTATCATTCTTAACTAAAATGGAGTTGCCAGCTGAGCTGGATACTACCAATCGCCCTGATGAGTGGATGATTGAACAGGGCCTGGCGGGTCACAAGCTACCTATCCTTGACCAATCTGAAAGTGACACTGTCCACCTTTATCCCCCTCCGGCGACCAAATTGACGAAGGACGAAGAGGCGATCGCATCGGTTGGTGACCGGGCTAAGCTCTTCACCCGGGAACGTAATGGTTGGAAAGGGTATTGCTGCCCCTTGCCTATGACATATGACTACTGGCCAATAGTTTAACGATTATTGCTGCAATATAGATACGTCGAGTGGGAAAACTATCCTGAGAAAAAGGCCAAAGCGCGCAAAATCCTCACTTCGCAGACATTTGCCCCATCCCCTGATTTCATCTTCGGTCCAATTCCAGCAACAAATCCTGTGCTTCCAGGCGATGATTTCAAGGCGTGGCATACTGCCCTCGGAGGTGAACTTGCTACTGCTGCAGATGATTCTTGGAGATGCGTTCTTCGCGAGAAACATGCAGATATGCTGCATCTCCTCCAGTTTCCCTACAATGGGGAACCTCCTAAGAGGCTGGTCACCTCGAAGTCGATAACACCAAATCCTCTCCACTTCGTCCGAAACCACGGCGGCATTCCCATCATTGACAAAGAAAAGTGGGAACTGTCGCTCGATGGGTTGGTGAATCACCCAAAGACTTATAAATTCCATGATCTCATGGATGAGACTAAGTTCCCACGCATGGAGAAAACAGTCACCATTCAGTGCTCGGGAACTCGCCGGATTGAGCAAATTTCCCTGTATGGTGGCCAGGGAGACGAAGTGCCCCAAGCGCCGTGGGCTGAGGGTGCCATTGGGACAGCTCGTTACGTCGGTATCAGCTTGAAGAAGCTGATTAAGGACTGCGGGGGGCTCATCAAGCCAGCTAAACATCTTGAACTTTACGGTGCTGAGACCTACATCAAGGATCTTGAAGTGGGCAACTACCTTGTTAGTGTCCCGTGGTCCAAGGTGAAGGCCAATGAGGTCATGCTGGCCTGGGAGATGAACGGTGAACCTTTGCCCAAAATCCATGGGTATCCATTGCGAGTTGTGGTACTAGGATATATTGGAGCCCGAAGCGTCAAATGGCTTTACCGCATCAAGGCCATTGAGAATCCGTCTCTCGCCCCGGTGCAGAGCAAGGAATACCTATACTTCAACCAACAAGTTGGCAAGTATAATCTACGGCCCACAGACGGCATCCAAATCCAGGAAATGCCAGTCAGCTCAGCTATCATGAGCCCATGGACAAAACAAGCAGTCATCCACACAGGAAAGATCAGATGTAAAGGTTGGGCCTACTCCGGCGGTGGTCGATGGCCCGAAAGAGTCGAACTTTCCGCAGATGGCGGTTTCACCTGGTACGACGTGCCACCGGAGCATCTATCCAAAAAAGGAAAATGGACCTGGCGTACCTGGGAATTCGATTTACCTTGTGACGTTGAAGGATGGATTGAGATTGTCTGTCGATGCTGGGATAATTCTCTCAACACACAGCCACTCAATGTCCGCGCGGCGTGGAACTGGGGTCTACATGTCACGTCTTCGGCTCATCGAATCAAGGTCTATAGCATCAACAAGAGTCGGGAACTTACAAGAAAACGATTGGATAAGTATGAGCAGCAGGGGATTCCCTTGGCCCCTCTTAGTCGTTATGAGATTGTCTCGGGTCAGACACCAGAGGAATACGAACAGTATTGGAAAAAGCATGACCCACGGGATGTTGATGAATAATTCCTGTCAACATGACTATTAGAACCGCCTGCAGTGTGAAGTTGCAGCAATCTTTTTTCATTTTCGTTTCAATTTTTTTTTTTTTTTTAAAAAAAAGCAAACAGAAATAAAGGGACAGGAAGAAGACAAAAAGCAAGAGTTCATTGATGGTCTGGTCTGTGTGTACAACGTTGAAAAATTACCGTAGGTTTCTAGAAATATTTTCAAACATTAAAATTGGTATACTCCTTACATGAACTATACTTTCAGCGTGAGAGTGATCACAACATTCTAGCGGTGTGTATGTGCAGTCGAACTCTGGTCCTTCCAGGGTTAATAGTTAGCCCAAGCGATGCATGCCATGGGACAATAAAGAACTCATATGATGATTTAAAACCTATCACTTCTTCAGTGATATATCTGTAGACCCCCTTCCGCGTACCTGCTATGCAGTAATTTAAACCGTTGATCCAGCTATACCTAGTCTTTCGACCATGGTTGGGATTTTTGTTATTCAAATAATATTTTGTTTTAACACCTGGGATGTTGTGTCTATGAATCAACATCTACTCGCGCAGGACATTATCTAAATCCCTCCGAAAGTCGTATTCGTATATTATATTTTGGCGACGAAGGCTTACCAGTGCCAATCGCTAGTTGATAGATGGTAACATTGCTATCAATTTGGTCGCAAAGAAGGAAACTATTTGAATAATGATACTCGACTAGATAATACAGAGAGCCCTCATGAAACGCTTCGGTCCTTGATAGCTGCCTCGGTCGCCTGTTTGACCTTATTCCCAAGGTCCTGATTAACTCTGCTAAAGAGTGCTGCATATGGGTCAGTGGAATCAGTTTCACAATATTGAACGAAAGCGTGGACGAACTATATACTTCATTACGAAGCCTCGGCGACTTGACCCCACTGATACTTCCAGCAAGGTTGTCAATGGTTCTTTCCTGGTGGCCCGGATCACGGCCAATGACATCCCACAAAGCAGAAGGCTGGACGAAATCGTCGTCCTTAATGCGGCTGCTATAGGCTGCGACTTCACCAACCCACTTCTCGTGCTCAGTGTGCAAGCTCAACGACTCAGGGTTGACTCCTTTGACCTCGGGGTAGAATTTTGTCGGCTGGAGAGAGGAATTCACGTAGTTTGGATCACCACCGTAGTTATCGTCAAATCTCATTTTTCCATCTCTCTGGAAAGGACAGTATACCGGGACCTTAGCTGCGTTAGTTGGAAGTTGCTGGTAGTTGACGCCAAGGCGGTAGCGAGCTGCGTCAGGATAAGCAAATAAGCGCGCTTGGAGGACTAGACAAGACGGAAATGAGTTTTTTAGGTAGCAGATGACGCCGTAGGTATATGACTAACCGGGATCAGCAGAAGCGGCAAACCCAGGTACCATAGTAGATGGAGAGAAGGACGCCTGCTCAATGTCGGTAAAATAATTTCCGGGCTAAAATGGTCAGTCTGCCGAAACAAGCCAAGGGTATCATATAACGAACGTTACGATTCAGGGTCATCTTGCCGATCTTCCTCAATGGAAAGTCCTTGTGTGGCCAGACTTTGGTCATATCAAAGATATTCCAGCGATAGCTCTCGGCCTCGGAGGGATCCATTACTTGGACAAAAACATCCCAAGATGGGTAGTCTTTTCTCTCGATAGCCTCGAACATATCTCGAATCATGTAATCCGGGTCCTCGCCGGCAATTTTGGTTGCCTCTTCTTGGGTGAAATTCTTGATTCCCTGTTGGGTCTTCATTTGGATCTTGATATATTTGAATGAACCGTCCTGTTTTATAACCGTGAGCTAATTATATGCAATATTATGATATAGTCCCTTACCTCCTTGGTAAACTTGTAAGTGTGTCCACTGTAGGAGTTTAAATAGCGGACTGATCGAGGAGTTCCACGATCACTAAAGAGAACCAAGAGCTGGTGGATTCCTTCCGGATTGCCCACATGGAAGCTAGGCCTTATCAGTTATGCTTCGCCAAACGTTTCATGGCTCCACTTACTCCCAAAACTAAAACTTTAGTTAGCCCATTACATGTGTTGAGCTTAGGAATTGACACATACCATATTTGCATCAGGAAGGTGAGTCTGTGGGTGTCTCTTGTGAGAACGATTCATGGAGGGGAACTTGATTGGATCCCGAATGAAGAATACTGGCTTCGCTTTGTATAAGCGGAAGTCTGTTCGTGTGTGTCAATGACTTGCTTACGGTGTTGTTGAAGACCCAGTCTTGGTTTCCTTCATCAGTATAGAGCTTCATCCCCCAGCCATGGACATCCCGCGAAGTATCAGCAGAGCCTGATTCTGGTCCAACGGTAGAGACGCGAAGGAGAACAGGAGTCTTCTTGCCAATCTTGTTGAGAAAGCTGGCGGATGTCAGGTCGGAGCAGTCGGCAGTGGCTTCGAACTCTCCGTATGCCCTTTGGATGGATAGTTGTACACTTTAGCTCACTTGTCCAGAATTGATTTATGTAGGTAACTTACCCAACTGCCTTGGCATGAACGACGCTGGAACAATCATATTGTTAGCTAAAAGAAATTTATTCACGATTTATCACTATTACCGCTCTGGAATCCTCTCACGAGAGAAATGCGCGAGGGTCTCGATGAGCTGGGTGTCCTGCAGTAGACCAAGACCCCCACCTTCTCTGTTGCGCATAAGCACCGCAGTGCTATTGCTTGCGAAGGGGCAACCTTGTTTTCTCAATTAAAAACGTTCAAGTGCCATAAAACTGTTTAAAATAACTGACCTTCGGCAAGAGTATAGTATTTGTCAGCGGACATGATGAGTCCTGCAGCTACACTTCTTGTGGAAATGGCTTTGGGACCTTTGCGATACAGTTTAGTGTTCTTGGTTCGATTTATATATACACCCAGCTCGCAGAGCTAGCTGCGTCTATTTTGAGCTCACTTTCCAGCTAGTCAATTCCGTCATCCTGACGACCCAACTAATGCGGCCTGTCCAGAGGGTATAAGCTGGAACGAATCCACGTATATTGGTCAGTTTTTAGGACGCTTGCACAGTTTATTACCCAACGCCAATATATTAAAGCAAGCGTACAATCGCGTGACGGCCCACCACTGCCATGACTGAAGTCACATCTCAGCGGCACCACAGTCGATGATCGGTCAAAACTCAATCTGCACCATGATTTGAGCCAGATACGGAATATAATGTAAAAGAGCTGAGTTTCAATCGCCCCACCAAGTTTCGGACTACCGACGCTCGTTCTTCCTCTGCGTCAATTCGATGTTACGCGTAATAATTACAGCGATAAGCCAATTAGAATGCCGAGATGGTCGTATCTCGAAACAATATTATACAAGGAAGATGATTGGGCAATTACGGTCTCCAAAATGGGCGAGCAGTAAACAAGATACCAATGTGCGCCACCTTGCACAGACCTTGTATCTATTCTTACATAGCTCCAAAAATCTAAATAAGGAAGCTCCTATTGTGCATTATCTAGTGTGGTAGTTGAAAGTGACGGCTTAGTAGAGACTCGTGGATGAATGCTGGCTCTCGGGACTCTCCCGTTGCAAGGCGGGTAGGCCCGGATTTACTAGACTGGTTGAAATGTTTCATTGACAAAAGGCTGCTCGGAAATAAATTGAGTACATCCATGGATAGCTATGGATCGATAACGATCTAACTTTCCAACCCAATGAAACCGACAAGAAGAATGCCCTGCCCTCCTTCCAGCCGGTGGAACTTTAAAAGTCAACGTGGGGAAACTGCCTCATCGGGTAATGTTCTGATGCGCACAGCGGATCTGGCCCGTCCATCAAAAGTGTTGACATCATGTCCATTGTCGAAAGAACATAATGTCTCAACCTCAACGTTTTGTTCGGCCCCGGGCTATGATAAATAATCCTCGCAATTGATAAAATATAGAATCCCAACCCCCACCCCCGCAACACGAAAATGCCGTGGAAAAGATCTTTCAACATCATGGTCATCACCACCAAAATCTCCGCAGAAGGAGACACATACGAAGGTTGGATGTGAGGATTCTATTAGGTATTTTAAGATAAAACGACGGGTTTCTTGAGTTGTATGAATATCTTAGACGACGAGGAACACCTTCAAAGCCTTTGTATATATTTCTAAATATACTCAATATCAGGTTATTATTGTAATAAAGAATCGACTTGTACATAGATCATTGAGGGTTGTGCAATTTATTATGCAAACTTTAGAGCTCAAATATGGCAACTGTATTGTAGTAATTTGTTGCGGCTGTTTAGGTTTTATCGTCATATCTTTTGTGAAGCTATCATTCACAACCGCCCTTCAGTCGGAGTTCGGCCAGGAGAAGCAGCACACAAGAGTCAAGGCAGGGGTTGGTGTTTACCGCTGTTATTTCTGTACTAGGGAGCAAGAAAGGCAGATCTGGTAAATATCCGATTCAGGGTACGATTTATAACAGCTTTTGAGGTGAATTATCGTAATGCAATTGCACGAGTCACCAGTAACGAAAATCATGAGATGGTCACCTATGTGGTGTACTGTGTCCCGCCTGTCTTGGAGGTATAACAGGTTATAGTAGGTGGCTATCAAAGTCGTGAATATAACTTGAAAGTATCGAAATGAACGCATCAGTGTCGATAACTCTGTATAATTCAAATGGAACGTGCATCGCCCCATCGCTTGGTGATGGAGATATTAGTGCCTGGGAATATTATCGTGTCTCGAGTAAGTTTGGGTATAAGTCGGCAGCTAGTTAGTTCTACCAAGGTCGGGCAATACGAGCATGTCCCCAGGTTAAAAGCCTTGCACGCAACGGGAATGATTGGGATCGGGTTACCCGCAGCTCGGTTGTCCAGCCCAGATATTTAAGTGAAGGACGTTCGGTTCGGTCATAACCATTCCTCCAAGATCTATCACCCGCTTGACCAATCTACTTTCCGACAACCACTATCATGCCTGAAGGTTTGCCACCTGGTCAGTTTTGGACTTGCTAGAATCTAAAAAGAACCCTAAAGATGGTCAGCAACATACTCCACACAAGGAATCCTTCGTCAAGAGGATCTTCGAACACCATCACAACCACGAAAAGGAAGATAATTCTCACAATGAAAAGAAGGACGAAGTGTCTAAAAACAAAGATAGACCAAAATCCTAAGAAGACTACCTGTAGAAGGATGACGAAGCCCTCAAAGAGTATTGTAAAGAGCACAAGGAGTTGGAAGCTGAGGTCAGAGCTATGAAGGATTAATGTGATTTTAATGCACATTTGCATATTGTTAAATGGGATAATGTATTGATAACCCGTTCAAGTGATCATATGTATATGAGTACATAACAAGTCGTTTTCATTGGGGCAGTTGGACAAAGTTGGCAATAAAGATATCGAAGAGATCAGAAGCCCTTTGCAGGTTCTGGGCTTTCATGCCGACCAGTATGGCTGGCCCTAAAAGACAGCCATGGTCAAACGAGGCGACTATGAGTATATTTAGAAGCCCGAGACCAGGGGGTATTTTAGCGTCCAGTTGTTTGGTACCAGAGATGTCTTCCTGGCTGGAAAGAGATTTAGCCACCAGATGAAGCATTTCATTTGACAATTGGGGAAAGCTTGTCATGCCCATGGGGCTCCAAGAAATCTGAAACCGGGCACAATGAGAGGTTTCTAGAAATGGAATTTATACGGGACTCAGCCTCAAGTTGATAAAAAATGTTGGGGGTGGGAAAAGGGGGTTCCAGTGTTACGGAATTTTTACTCCCGGCTTGCCTGTGACTCCTCAACTTAGGTTTGGGTCCAGTACATCCATCTGGGTATGTAATGTATGGTACTAGGCCGAGTTCTAGCTGACATATTATAGTTGGCAAGAAATTGTACCTTGTGAGCAAGTGCATATTGTGAGAAATGAGTTGTATATGGTGTTTTGTCCGGTACAAATATATTCATTGATTGTCGGCAATGCCTACATTTAGGTGGGGAAGTTGATGCTTGAATACCCCGTTGAAAACGGGCCAGCTTTTTGACCCGTTCGGCTTTCCTCCACGACATGACCGCAAAACACCTTGACCACGCAGTCACTCAACATTATGCACTCTATTACCTCCTCCTGCGCGTAACATGATACATACGACCATAGGGTGTGGAAAACAGGGCTTCCCGTCCGCTCAGCCGTACTTAAGCCACACGCCGGTGAGTTAGTAGTTGGGTGGGTGACCACCAGCGAATCCTCACTGTTGTATGTTTTTTTTCCTTTTTGCTTTGTTAGATCAGCCGCGTTTACAGCCTTCTGATGTCTTTTAGGTGTATATGAAGGCGGTAAAAACAAAGGGTACTTGGTGCAAGAGACTTTTCTATGTATGTGTCATACTATGACTAAGTACCTTTTGTATAGGTGTTGAGATACAAGGTAGTAGATGGGGAGATCATAAAAAGACATCAGCAGCATACCGAAATCTAGATTTATCTTATTGAAAGTGTATACAAAATTGTTCTCGACACCATCTAGAATACAGTGGCATCATATGCCAAAGAATAGTCATCCAGAGCAGGGAATTCATATGCCTCAGCGTTCTTCTCCTGTTCTGCCTTCCACTTCAACAAGCTGCCGAAAAGTTTGGCCACATTTCTCTGTACGGACAGATCGATGGGCTGAAGGTTCTGCCCCATCTGTTTGATCTGAAGGCCGGCCGCACCGGCGGTGACACTGAATTGTTCCAAGTCCAGCTTCTGGAGCATAGCTCCCTTAATCTGTCCAGACAAGATCTGAGCGCAGAAGTTGGGTTCCTGACACAGGGGCCGTCCGAGACCGACACCGTCGACGGTGTCCAGAGCACCAAGCATACCCTCGACAGTCTTGAATCCTCCAGTCACATAGGTCTTCGTCTTGGATAAGCCAGGCACGACAGCCTTGGCAAATTCCAAGAAAAACTAATGAAAATCAAGAATTAGCAGGTTGACGGATAGTTTCATCGAGTTGACTTACTGCTTCACGCGCGACAGTCGACTGGCGCTGGGCATCAACTTGCACCCATTTCTCATAAGTGCCACCAGAAAGCTCAACAAAGTCAAATTTATGCTCTTCAAGGGCCTTGCACAATTCTCTAGCCTCTTCTGGTTGGAATCCCTTCTCCTGGAACTCCACACTGTTGACTTTGATACCGACAATAAAGGTATCGCTCACCCTCTTGGCAATCTCATCTCTGACCTCCAAAATCAACCTCATACGATTCTTCAAGTCACCGCCATATTTATCAGTTCTCAGATTCGTTGTGGGAGACAAGAATTGGCTGAGGAGATAACCATGGGCACCGTGCAGCTCGATACCATCGAAGCCAGCTTTCTCAAGGTACTCAGCCGCATGCGCAAAGCCATCGATAACGTTCGCAATATCCTCTTCACTGGCAGCACGAGGCTTTCCAAATTCTCTCCCTAGGGAGCTAGACGTGAGTTGAACATCGCTGGCACTGATAGGGTTAGGCTGGATATCTCCGGGAGTCTGGCGACCCGGGTGTCCGACCTGAGCAATAATGAGGGATCCCTTTGCCTTGCCAGCCGTGGCGAGTTCACGGAATCTGTCAAAGCGGAGGCCTGAAAACTCTGCGTTTCGCGGGATGACGGGGTTGCCGGCTGCCTCGAGGTGATCGGCATCGATCATGACATTGCCAGTGAGGTTGATGCCAATGCTTGACTCTCCCCAGATCTTGTAGGCGTGGATCAGCTCCAGGGAAGGTATGCCACGTGATTCAATATCGGCGAGAGAGAAAGAGGCAAGACGCTCGCTCATTGCACCCTTTAGGAATCGATTAGGTGCTGAGCGTCTTGAAAAGGAAAATGGGAGAGGCTGGGCCAGCGGGTTGGGATCGACATCCGCACATTGGAAGCGTGGGGTTGAAGACATGTTGTGTAGATTTATGAGATCTCTCTTTAAATCAGTTATAATCAACAATTGGGACTTTGCAGATGAACTAGGGTGCCGGGTCTTATATGCAAGCTAAATCTCATGCCGGAGGACTCTAACCACATTCGTCAGGGGATATTGATTTATAAGCTGTTGAGACTTCGGTGAGTGTCCACTGACTGAAGAATGGGAATGGCGGGGCATATCCACCGAAATAGTTGGTTATTCTGGTTGGTTGTGCATTTTGTACCTCGGCTCCACTGGGAGCATACGACGCACCCCTTTAATTTTTACAATCTCAGTTGATGATTCTTGCTATAGACTGCCATCTGGTCACTAAAGTGTCATGTCAACCCCCTTTTTTTAGAAAGTTGTTGAATCTGCAGACATAAATAGCGTCATAGGCTATAGCTGTTGCAGCAAGCCGAAGAAAACATAGAAAAATTTAGCTTATGATATATAACGTTGAACTAGATATAATACTTCGCCCCGGAACCGCACTGTAGATATCAAATATGCCCAGGGCTACAAGGGAGAAATGCATTGATAACCCACGTCCTTCAATTTATACCTACCGTGGTATTGTTCAAAATTTTATGCTATGTGGGGACACGTTGAACGTATTTAATCCAGAGAACAGAATATTGTCATGTGGGTTCCCTAAGAGGATATATTTTCCTCTTCCTACGCGACTGATTCTGAGGATAAAATAAAGTTGACCCGACGGGTGCACATTCGTCTAAGTCACTAGTTGTCGTCGCGGTTAGCTCGGTTGATCCTCCGGTGGAGCTAAGGCCTGATCCGCGATATGAAAACAGGAGGTTCGAGAACGTGACGTGTGCGGTAAACTCTTTGTTCTGCGTTATTATTGAGGATGAGGCGATGTCCCTGGTTTGCTCTCAACACTAGCAGTCTCGAGCTTTATAGATAGCTTCTTTTACTCTACATGTACGGAGTTTCACAAAGCACTCTTACATCCCATCGGCCTTTTCCATAAGTTGAGACTCGATTTCATTTTCCACGGATGGATTTGACTGCCATGTCTCAAAACCATGTTCACTGGACCCGCGTATGGACGTAAGCACGAATATCTTTGTTCACAGGATCTTGTCGAATCGAATGCATACTATCTTCATGTAGCCACCATTTGATGCTAGACTCAACATCTTCTTCTTTACGATTTTTTAAAAGAAATCGAGGCACTGTTTTCTGAGCGCGCAAACGACTCCACCATTCCTAATCTGAGGTGGGGATGAACGCAGTTTTGAAGCTGTTGTCGCAGGTGATGCTGTCCCATACACTCCTGCGGGAAGCGAGGGAGTCACAACATTATGCTAGTTGATCTTGCCCCATGTATAACAATTTTTGTCATTTCAATTCTGGACAAAGTCTCTCGGCTTGTCGTGACGCTCATCGAGGAGTGCAGTGGCCGCAGCACGTTCGATAGGTATGGCTGCAATCCATCCGATGGTAGATGAGTTAGCAGTCTTCGAGGGCTTAGTAGTGGTCGCCATGGTTCGACTCCGATGATCCTTGCTCTCATGGAGGCGAGGAAAAAAACTTCAATGTGTAGCACCGAACAGTCGAAGATTCGATGTAGATGTTCGTCGCGGTGCATGTCGACGAGTGAGTATTCATACCATATTGAACGTATGATACTAACATATCTGCTAACCTAGCTATTCACAGAGGCATCTTCCCTCCACGTACGAAGACTTATAGGACTCAAGGTTCAAACCCCCTTTTGTAGGTGGGAATTGATGCCTGAATGCTTTATTTAGCACCGCTTTTTACACCGCTCTATACAGTGTAAGGTAAATTTATTAATCCTCCAGCTGTCAAAAATGAAGCTTTTGGCCCCATACAAATGAATCTATCTTCATTTTATTGAGCGCTTGATATATATTAAAAATGACAAATCGAGAGATCTGCGTATTTTTGTATGGTGGGAAGAGCATTATTTTTGGACTTGCAAAATCCCCTAGGAATATGGAGATGTATTAGCCAAAAGCTCCATTTTGAACACTTGTAAACCACCCCGAAAAATGGAGAATACCGGGATTTGTATGGGATCAAAAGCTTGAATCAGTGTCCACCCGTGGACAGGTCCACTACATACTTTGATTATTAAGCCAGGTGTAACAGGTGCAGGTGATAATTCAGGTATCTGAATTTTTCTGCCGTTCTAAAGTCAGGCATTCAGGCACCAAACCACCTACAAAAGGGGGTTTGAACCCTGAGTCCTATAAGTCTTCGTACTCCACGCCTGTGCTGCATATGCAGTCATCGAAATTAGCAGCATTTAACGTAGTCCTTGCAACCCATTTCTCGAGAACTATGTAGAAGAATATTTGTAGTCATCCAGATATCACAAAATAAGGGGGCGGAGCCGCACCCTTCGCAATGTTTTGTTTTGCTTCCTTCGCATACCATCCTATAAACGCATCCAACTCAGAATCATTGGTGACTAAGGCTGACTGCCCAGGGTACCACGAAAGGGCTATGCACTGGCCCAATGTATTATCCTTATGTGGCCGCAGAATAAGCCCTGCTTCGTGGACCAGAAGTTTACCTTCACCGTGGGCGACGATATGCACGCTATCATTCAAAATGGGTTCCCACTGTGACTTAGGCAGATTTGAGAGCATTGACCGAGCTTTCAAAGCCGTCATTGGTTGCAAGCAACGATTGACGAAGGATGCAGGAGAAATGAACCGCTTTCCGGTGGTGGAAGATAGCCGATAGTAAAATACAAGATGAAAGTCATCCTCGACCACTCCTTCCAGGAGAAGAGATGATGAGGAGGTATCAGTATTTAGAACGGATAAGTCACGAGTTTTCGTAAACCGCTGGGGTGGATAATTCAGGTCGACCCTATCCGTCGAAGCTCTTTTGTCAAAAATCCAATCATGTACTCTGGAGCGATATTCGATGCTGCCTGAGCCAACACAGAGTTTTGAGTTTGCCGCATAGTCTAAGGATAGGTCTGACAAGCTATTCAAATAGCAATATAGACCGCCGTTGGAATGAGCTGATGGGTAATCAACACTGAAAAGGATTCGACTTGGAGAACCAGTGAACAATGTCATAATGCTGCTGAACAAAAAGCTTGGGCTGGATTGAAAACCTTCCATGGTAAGATGTGAGAGAAGCATGTCTGCATTCAGTTTGGGACCATGATTGCGCCTCTCATTGATAGTTTGGTAAAACAACATCATACCGAGCATTTTAGGTCGTATTTCAGACTTGAACTCGCAGCGGCCAACAAGATAAGTCAACACTAACATAGTCTCCGCGACGGAAAGCCAGCAAAACTTTCTGTAGTTGGAGGAATGGAGATTGAAAGAGGTTGAAGCTGCTCTGCAGTCAAAGCACTCGCACAAGGCCTTAAGGTTCTTCGCGGTCTCCTCATATTCACTGGCTATATCAGTCAAAGTCCTTCTGCCGTCTTGCGTCATCGTTTGTCTTGAAAGAATATAGAAAGGACGCAGTTCTGCTAGCTTATCGGTCACAAAAAGGATATATGCTGGGATGGATTGGAAGCGGCTGATTTCATCCAGATGAGTTGTATATAGCAAAATTCCTAAGGTGTAAAGTTTCCGAAATGGCGCCACGAAAGTTTCATGCTTGGTATTTTCATGTGGAGAATACAGCTGATTCAGCAGTGCAGTGACATCCTGCCCAAAGCAATCATAGAATAAGCTGTCCCAAGAAAGGCTGCCGCCAAGAAAGGGGACGTTGGTGGTTTCTGGCATGTCTTTACCGTAGCCGTTGAAGATTTGTTGGATGAAATCATGTCCGTCTCGGACAACGAATGATGTTGCAACATGATCGAGAGCTCGGGAAGTCTCAGTGTCATCCACGAGATTGAGACACAATTGAGAATCCACAGTTCGCTCATCGTAGTTCTTCATCAGGGGTGCCATGTTAGAATTTACTTCCACTCGGAGTCCAAGGATGAAACTGGAATACACTGCAAGCCAGCAGCATGTAGGGCCCCCTCGAACAGTGATTCTCTCGATTTCTCCTCTGGTGATTTGACCCAAAACGAGGAGAATTTCGGCCAAATCTTGTGGATGTCCCTGATGATACCAATCTTGTACCTTGGTATTTGAGTGACCAGCTAGTCCTAGGAGGGTCTGAACATTGAGGCTGAATGTTGTTTCCGAGAAAATGCAGGAGGATGCTTTGACAAAGGCTTCCCACTGAGCAAGTGAGGGGGATAGGTCTCTCGATGCTCTGACCAATTTCGACATTTCATATAGAATAAGGGCAGAAGTCTGAATGGAAAATGTCTCACTCATGGCCGCACACAGAGCGACTAGGGAAGCACCTTCAGAACTCTGAACAATATCCCGTAGGACGTGGCGGACTCCCACTCCAAACCAAATTAAGTCACCAAAGCTCGAGAACGCCTTTAGGTTATTGAGGCTTTCCATAAGAACCTTCTCACCGTGGGCACCAATACAAACTCTGCTACACATGGCTTGGCCAAATGCCACAGTAAGAGGCTCGATGCCTGCTGAAGAAAGGCGTGAAAGCAAAGCAATTGATGCCGAGAACTGCATCCGTCCAAGGGCAGCCCAATCTAGCGACCCTTGCTGGGCAAACGATAGGGACATTGCTGCAAACCCAACTAGATATACTGAATGTTGAGAGACCGGATCCGTAAGATTCTCGGGCGGCTTTTAAAAGACAATAGACGAAGAAGCAAGGCGACCACTAGAGTTCGTTATAGTCATTCGTTCTGCTAAAGCGAAAGTCACGACTGTAGTGAGCAACAAAGACGGAACTATGTAGTGGAATGAGGGGTAACATTGTGTGCGTGGTAAAAGGCGCCCAAATAAGGCGAGGCTGACAGGCTGTTGGCACGGTGATCTAACCCTGTTCGGGGTAGTATGATGTATCTCCTGGCAGTGATTTTGGCCCAACTACCGATCTGTCGGTGTATGGGCTAAGTACGGCTGAGCGGACGGGAAGCCCTGTCTCCCATACCCTATGGTCGTACGTATTGTTTTACGTGTGAGAGAGAATAATAGAACGAAAATAGATAGGGGGTTAGAATACATATATGACATGACCCTTTGTTGCACAACCGTACTGACCCAGCTGAATCACAGTATAAATTATACGATGTCATGACGAGTATGTAAGAATGAACAGTGAATGTGGTATATGATCAGGTGGTAACTCCATAAATTCTGAATGAACATCTTCACGGAGAATGATATACAAAATGGCTGTCATTTTGTTTTTGAAATGATTCTCCTATCATGCGATGGCTTTGTCACTATCGAAAACTATGTTACAATACATGGTGAGATGAAACCCTCAGAAAATTCATAGACCGCTACGGCTGCGGCTACCACCATACAAAAGTGCATATTAAGCTTAGTCATTGATGTCCGCACAAATAGTCAGAAATGGGGGATTTTGTCATTTTAGTTAGAGCCATACATATCCGTCATCTATACCATACCTTGCTGTACACCTTGATTTCTGTCAGTCTCTAAATACAACATATGTTGTAGCTCGGTGCTCGGCTTTCTATGGCCCCGACCCCGAGACCCTGAGCCCCGCTGACTCATCGGAGCTCGGCCCCGGGTCGCCCCGGGCTGCGCCCCCCTGGCTGTTGACAGCTTTCTAAATTCTGAAGCTTCAGACCCTCGATTTCAACTGCTTAACGATTATCATGGCTGAACATCCTTCCTTTACCCTTGCCGCTCTTCGTAAGTCATGGGCCCAATGACACAAGTCGCTCAATGTTTCTGACCAAAACCAGTGCCTATTGGAGGTACCGTTGGGTTCCTGCGAACCCGATCCGCGCCTTCCCTGATTGCCGGTGTTGGACTCGGCGTATCATATGCCTACTCCGGTAAGTTTCAACGTCCTCATTTTGGGTGTGCTCAAATGTTCCCAAACTCACCATATTGCCAGGGTATCTGATCAAGGAGAACAAGGACTACGGCACTGAGCTCGCCTTGGGAAACAGCATCCTCCTTCTGGGCTCTGCAATCCCTAGGATCATTAAGACAAAGGCTAGAGCTGCTATGCCTCTGGCTCTCGGTATTACTGGGTTGTTGGCATCTTTCTACTATCAGAAGAAGGTTCGGGAGTTCCGCTTCGGAGTCTAGATTGCACTATTTCATAGGTATCCCTCCATCAATAGCATAAATGGGTTCAGTAAAGTGGTAATACTTTATCTAGCAGGTGTTGTATACAAAAATGGCTGTTTGTTCCAATGTGCTGAATGTATAAAAAGATGAGAATTCCATTGCTGATTCAGATACATCCGGCGTTCCTGTTTTCAATAGCTCCCTCGTTTCTCCCCTATCAACTCTCTGGGGCTTTCCTGCAAATTTCATCAAGAACCGAAGCGCACGAAATAATTTGACCATGTTGCGGCTGTGCTTTTGCTAGCTCGGGAGTAAAGTCTCTAAGATGTCATAGCCAAAAGATGCGTCTCGCTCCTTGAGAAAGTAATACAGTGTATAATTAATTTCTATTGGTTACCTTAGCCTTGTTTTGCGTGCGGCAAGAAGCAAGTGATCCCACTTTTCTACCTCATAGTAAGGAATCCATTTTTCTCAATTTTGAATGACCAAATTGGCCGAATTTTCATGATGTTTTATCTCTACATCGCTGCTATACCATAAGTAGGAGCTATAGTTCCTTTCTCCACGGCTAGTGTCATTAAGACTTCCCAAGTAGAAGTTAGTGCGCTTCCGGCGTTTGCTCTACATTCAAACGCGTCATTCTTCTATGTTGTATAGCCCGGGGCTAGCTATTAGCGCCGCGCCTCCTCGGATTATCCGAGGTCTCCCTGTGAGATTAGTTATCCCCGCGCTAGGGGCTCTCCCCGATGTTATGATGAGTATCTAAGTAGGACTAAAACACACCTACAAGATAGGATGGATTATATGGTCGAATACTATTGTTTATAAAGCCTAACCACATGGCAGCTTATTGCGGTTTAAATACTCGGAGCCACTCTTCCAAGTGGTGCATGTAGCAGGGATTGCAACGGCGCAGTTCCCATCCACGCCATCTTGTCCTCCTCCATCACAAATCCCGAGTTCGTGTCACTAGCCTTTGGCTATTAAAGAACACTCACATCATCGAAATCCTATGCCACCTAAACAGATCACTTGAGGAATGTCAGAAATTGATTTCGCGGGTATATCTTGGGACAAAATACCTCGCCGTTGTTGTAGCAAGGAGTGCGAGTCTGCGCAGTGAAGATTGAGGCACAGGCGAAAGAACCGCCCGCATTGCACTTGACTGGAGTATCCTCGTTGCCTTGGAGAATTCGGCTAGCGCCCGCACACAGTTTTGTGCAATCGTAGTCATCGCCGGTCTCTTCGTTCTGTAACCTATTTTAGTTCCCAGGCCGACCAAAATCATCGAAAAACATACGGATCCGTAGAGACAGCAGTGCGAGCGATCGGGGAACAGACATTCGCACTGTCTCGAGCCCTTGCAGGTAGCTGCCAAGCTAAGTCCAGCAGTGGAAAGCATCATGAATAGAGTGAAGACCTTCATTTTGGAAGTTGAGGGTTGGTTGAAGATATGAACGATGTTTGGAGGTGATGGTTGATATTTTCGAGGAGTATGCTGGGGCTTTCTTGCTCTATTTATCACTCACAGGGTCTATACTGCTGTACGGAGTATACGGATAGCAGTTAGCATTTCTCCGAGATCTCTCCGACAAAGGATGCCACCTAAATTAAAATAAGCTAGCGTGAACTTGATTAAATAAGGTAAATTCAGGCAGATCAGTTAGGTACGAGAACGAAGGTTTCACCCGGAAATTTAATTTGAGAAGGTACCAAATTTTGGGCCTCGATGAATGCCAGTGCCATTGTGAGACTTTGGTTCCTTATTGACAGTTGGAACTTTGGCTAACATGTTTCTATCTTTAGGCAATTTTTATAGATCACGGTAACAGTCTGTCCCGCCTACTTGAAGCCGAACGGGCTTCTTGGCTTCCTTGGCTTGCTTCTTCTTCATAGATAAGCAATAACGGCCCGGTGATCCACTCTGTTGAGAGATGTAAAACAGCTCCACTAGAAAGGAATCAGGTCACAACTAATGAACCTAACCATTGACTAAAATGAGACATTTGACCAAGGTGTTGAGATAACGCAGATAGTATGATCTTTTTGGGTTCTCAGCTTATGCACTTACATTACCACAGGTGCCGTATCTCATGCATTCTTGTTTTCCATTTAGTTTCTCATCTTCATAATTATGGGAATACCAATCGGTTTTATAAAATGGCTGTTTCTCCAGGATGCATGGAGCGGAAGTCTGACGAAACGACCATGCAAAATGCAATAAATTGATCGACGGAGGTGTGGATCCTTCAGACAACCGGGCGTCCCCTTTCCCTTGCCCAGAAGGGAAAACGCTTGTAAACCTCCACTTTTCAACATCGTGGCGCCATACTAGATATTAATTGGAGATTTCCTGTGTCTTAGTTGAACCACAAGTATTGTATGTTGTATGGAGACGACTAGACACGTGGCTGAAGTGCTGGGCTATAGGCACTAGTTGTTTAAACTCTATTTGAGTTAAAGCGACAGAAATATGGCTGTACAACAATCACAATGTATGCTCTAGATCAATGATATGCATCCTCTAACTAAAAATGACAAACACCCACAATTTTAACAATTTATGCGGACATAATGACTAGGTACGGGTGCATAGGTATGCATCCGTGGACCCGTGGACTTTTCAAAGCTTATATAGAACTGGCCAATCGCATTATTTTCCGAGAACGAGACCTGTAACCTTTGTATACGGAACTCCATCCCTATAATCTCCCCCTGGCTGTCGAAACAGTATTAATTTACCCCCAATATTATACACTACATAGTACTATCACAACACACCCTCCTCTCTTTACATTCATTTCCGCATTATAAACTGTCGTGGTGGCCTTAGGCCGCGACTGATGCCTCAGGCATCAAACCCTCAGTTTTCTCCTAGAATGGCAGGCAATTTGCTCCTCCTACATTGTAGCCCAAGATAAACTGTCAAAGCTCCAGTTAAGAGCCTTAGTGCCTTCATGCCTCGGGGCCTAGGAGCCTTAAGATGACCTTGGTAACAATTCACTACTAAGACACAGTAGTGCGATATCTTCCAACATTATATCTCAACAACCATGTTGTTGTTTGATTTTTTTTACCACTAGATAGCTATTGATAAGAGATTTTAACGCTATGTACTAATTTCCAAAAAATTCAACCACTGCATTACCATACTAGTGAGCATTATGTTGCGTGAACCTCGGAAATATATATCACATCAAAAGCACAAAAATACAATCAAACACCTATATAGACTACCATTGTTAAGATATCAAGTTTGTTAAATAATATACTATAGGAATAGTACACTAAACAGCATATAATAACTGGGATTTAAATCTTTTACAAAGGAATACTTTGTAGTATAAAAAATAAATTAAAAACTATCTAATCTTCTTAATTACCTAGGGATAAAGCTTTATTTATAGCTTTATCTCCACCCCTATAAATCCTATCTTCCTTTCTAGTTAGTATATACTTTACAACGAGAAATATGATATAGAATCATAAAGAATTAGTTTAATAAGATATGTTAGTACTAAGTACTAAATTCTTTAAGATCCCCTTAACTAAAAGCAGTTTAAACTGGAATATAGGCCCAAACCTCGAGATACTCGAGTTTTGTATGGTAGAGTGTATGATAGGGGTGTCAAACTGTATCGTTGCCGCTAATCTCGATTCCGTAGGAGCTCTGCAGGTTTAAGCGACCGAGGGATCTTTGTATGCGTAGAATCAATTAGGGTTTAGCGTTGAACTGGAACCAATTGCATGTTAATTATGACAAATTAACTTGGTTTTTCAACCAAGTTCTAATATATCACATTTACTATGTGTTTTGTCGGTAGTTAAATTATGTTACCTACATAGTCACATTGAAATCGTCCTTAGGCCGCTACGCCCCAAGGCCCGAAGGCTCTCAACTGGGGTCCTGACATGTAACTAGCCAGGTTACCCTTAACGCACTATATTATTGAACTAGGTTGTCTATCATAATTGGTCTTCTCATAACTTATCCACCACCTCAAGCTCAAAACTATTGCAGCACTACCTCCGCCTTCTTAGCGTCGTCCTGAATCTCATTAATGTCCTTGCCCTTAGTATGCAGGAGCCCAAGCCGCTCCTCATGCTGGCAAGCCAGCACAGCAAGGGTCGAAGACTTCCACAGAGGGACACGGCGGCTCTGGCGATTGCTGAAAATACTTAAGATGGCGAACAAAATTGCGAACCCCTCAGTCACAATCGGAACAACAAAGTACCCCCAGCGGATGAAAACAAATGGCTCCCTCTGAAGCGTCTCTCCATTTGCAGGTTGGGTATTTGGGCCATACCGCAGATAGTCCGTCATTGCGGTCGCCATTTTGTTGAAGCGGTCGCCAAGGTCCACGTCCCCGGATAGAGTAGCGGCAACACCGAGGTTCGTATTAGCAAAGTTTCCTTCTACCCACTCGGTGGCCATTGTCGTGGACTGGAAGAAATTCACCAGCGCGGAAAGACTGGCATAACTTATTCTAAGCGCAGGAATATGGATATCGCCACTCGTTGACTCGTTGGTGTACACGTGCTGGAAGAGGCCTTTACTTATATTGGACGTGATCCCCCAGGGATTCTTCATGCCGAAATCGACCTCCCGCCTCGAGGCAAAGGAGAAATCACTGCCGTTGGCCTGAGCACCTGTGTACTCGTAGGCGGTGAGAAAGAGCGAGCAGTCTGTGATGTTGATGTCGCGCATTATGAAATTGCCGTCTGGGGTGGATCTATAGATTGCAAATCGGGAGATTTCGGGAAAGGTTTCTGGCAATCCAGGTTTTGATGGATTGATAATTAGGAGTGAGGATGCATTCATGTAGTATGCTGTCGCCAAATCGGTAGCCCAATAGCGAGTTGCAACGTTAACCCCACCGGGTGTTGTCATGTTGCACCGCTGTAGCCCATATTCACCACCCGAGCAGGTTGCCGCTTGCAATGTTTCCTCGGTGACGTTCCTGCATTGGGCCTTAAACCCAAGTGATATGTATGATTCGGTCCATCGGCATCTCCCGGGACAGATGAAAGGTTCTGTGCGGTTGACGCCATATAAGCCCTGGAAGATGGCGGACTGCATATCGGGATCCTGCGGGATGCTCTCTAATAAATAGTATGTTAGCTGCACTTGTTGCTTTGATTGTTTGGAGTGTCGATGCTTACGGATAACAGAGTTGAAAAGATTATTCTGTGCACTCAGGGTGTAATCGTGCGCATATCCGAAGGTGGCGGTTTCTGTAGAAGAGATGACGTCTCGCTGGTCGATCAGAACCACCTGTTGTGCAAATGGCGAGAAAGAAAGACGCAAGATGGTGATAAATGCGCCGATGGTGGCTATATTCCACTTGACTGTGGTAAGTAGCAGAATGGACCCCCAAACACCGCGACTCGCTCCGTCAAATGTTTCAAAGTCAGCAAGCTTACGAGGCCCGTTCTTAAAATGAAGCCATTTAGATTGTCCGATGAATGTGCTAACTCCGTGCATCAACGCCGTGGTGCATGCAGTTGTCAGGATAGAAACTGTCGCGTTGAGAGAGATGCCGCCGCGCCAGGCAGAGAGAGGCTTGTTGTTCATATACCAGAAGATAATGGCGATGCCAATGAGGAGCCCCAGGGCCAGGATCGAGCTTATCGATTCCAAGAGCCATTCTCTGGGGGAGTACACTGGATGGCGCTTATATTCAGTCGTGGCCGGAGGTTGTGGCTCGGAGTCTACTTCGGAAATCCGAGCAGGCTCATATTGGTGAGCTTTCGGGTCACTGTCAACTCCGGCCATGGTGACAGCCTGTGGCTATTGATCTGTGATTGGGATTGCCTTTGAGCGAGACAGTCAACATGAATACGAGACAATGTGACTAACTTGGGAGTGCAATGGTGAATAGTTTGATTTATGCCTAACTTTTGGCTTTGACAAAAATTCACCTTTCAGGCCTTTGGGTATTTTGACGGGGAATTGTAATGAAAACTTCCGTAGATTTTCCTTTCGTGGGGACCTGCTGGAACTCGTAAATTTCTTCATAGTGGTCTTTTAAAAAAAGGAAACCTCGAAATGCCAAGGACTAGGCTACTCGTATTCCTACGGGGGTAGAGGCACTCCACCTCCAATTGGTGATAACGACTTTCGAGCCCACAACACAGGCCGCGAAAATCAGGTGGAAAACGAGAACTGCGATCACGATTGCGGCTGAAGACAAGCCTGGGAAAATACTTCCTGTCAGTTCTCGTATTCCCCCACCCAGCCCCCACAACGTTAGAGTTGGCATTGCTGGGCATCGCTAGGTCAACCTATCAGCGACGGTATATTTACCCTTGAAAGGGTCCAAATGGTTTCGCCAGGATTATCTGAGAGGTTCACTCTGACATTTCTGATGCCAGTGAGTTGGGTCGAAAATGCATCTGCCAAGTCGGGCCTTCATTTCGCGGGTGATCGAAGCAAAGAAAGCTCTTTATGGGCGATAATAGATGGCACCCCTCCTGTTAATTCGCGTTCCATAAATGATCTCTCAGTGTAATAATTACGGTATTAGAAACTGAAGTTGAAATTGGCTGAGCTTTGGTGTGCTTCGGGTGCTCAGGCACAAAAGTATCACTTTTGAAAGGGTCTAGGGTCATGTCATGCACAGCCCCTGAAGGATGCGGAAGATAAAGCCCTGGAGGTACGGCTGGCTGAGTAACAATCAGACCTGCATTAGTATGCACATGGGTTAACTTAACTAAACTCAAAATTGGCGCTATAGTTAACTACTTGGATATAGTTAGGTAAACACTGGTAAGCGAGGCCTAGAGGGGCCGGGCCGCTTTGTCCAAGCTCAGTCCTGATCTTATTATTGGATAAAATCCATTTACACTATTCCTTCTTAATCTTCATGCTTTGGACTATCCTAATCCAGATTACATTATGGAGGGTGACTAGGTAAGCAGTGCTGACGCCATTCAGGGTCCCGATAAGCGTCAGATAGACTCCTGTTTGCTTTTTGTGTTCTTAACTTGTCTACCGGGCTTCTTGGCATGGATGCGGTAAGCCGCTTTTGCTGGCCGTTGAGGCTGAGCATTTCAACAGAAAGGGTGCCCGTGTATGGATAATGATGAAGTCCCCTCAAAAAGGTCACATTTGAGGTTCTCTTTTCACTGTATAGTTCTCACATTCTCCAGAAGCGACCATGCTATTCCTTCTGCACTACATCGTGGCCTACACCCTATTATTTTTACATGGTGCTGCAGCACTACCACAGGGAATGACCCCATCCAAAATCTCGAGCGCAACTTCAGCTACACCCATAGGAACGTCCGTTTTGGAGAAGGAAAGGACATGTGACTTTGATACGATGAACGAGTTCTTCGACTACACCAAAAATAACGGTCTAAATATTACCGTGGAGGTCCAGAACTGCCAGAATCTATGCCTGCTCACATACGGGGTGGGAAACCCCGATCTTTCTGGGATCGGCGTAAGTTCGCAAACATAGGATTTCTCCATTTTCACCACCAACGTAGCTGATTGATTGTTCCTCCTTGTAATTCAGATGATGTATGCATACAGCATACAAACCGGACTCACTATTCTCATCGGTCCTGTTTTCCGTATAATCTACCTCACCCTGGCGCCAGCTAGCCACTTTATCAGAGACCTTAGAGACATCCAATCGAATTTCTTCTCCTCGAATGGTTTCTTCGTCGGCTCCTCCGCTCTAGCTACGCTCGCAAACTTATCACAGAACCCATCCACCTTTGAGATCGCCGAGATGCAGGCGATGGCGTTCCTACAAGTTAACAGCATCCTTGTGACCTTCTTCTGCCTGGTTGTTGCGCAACCAATTTCACGCTGGGCTGCGCGAGTGCTACTTTATTTCATAGTGTTTGTTCTCGTGGTGGTCGCCCTAGGCTTGAGCCACCTAGGCAACGACAGTAGGGCAAACTGGAGACTTGCCTCTGATGGCTGCGCACACAGCTCAACAGACTATAGCGTCATAAACCCTATCCCGTATCCATCATGGACTGTCGCTATTTTTACCGTCGCGGGTACTATTGCGTTCTGGTTACAGTCCCTGAAGGAGAAATTCCAAACAGACAAGTTACAGAAGTCGATGTTTAGACTATTGATGCTGTTTTGGGTCATGTTGATTGGACTCTTGACCGCGGGCATGGTGGTTGGCCTAACGATGATGTGGCGACAACGAAGGCATCTGCGAAGTTTGGCGAGAGACCAATTTGAGGATGATCAGTGGGGGTTCGGGCAGATTGCTGCATTGACAATCTGGGCGCCGATCCCGGTAGAATTAATCTATATTTTGAATGGTGAGTCCCTCTTCTTACTTATTAGTGCTATTTGGTCAAGCTAACACGTGCAATTTGTTACAGATTTGGCCCAACGGAAGTCCGAAAGATGGAATCGCTTGAATCAGACCATCAGCATTTTCTTCTCTCCAAAAGCTTTGCAGGAAGACCGAGCTACGCCCAGTTCCAACCCGGAACACGAAATAAAAGACCAGAGTGGAGATGGAAGGGTGGTCGATGTTACTAGTAGCTAAGCAAATTATGTTGCATGTGTTATGATCTTTTACCCCGAGTACCCACCTACAGCTAAACGAAGCTATAATTATTGAGAGGGCCAACAAACATGACAGGCCCTTGACTAAAAACACTTGAGGAGTATAGGGATTGTATCAATTCTATGGCCTTTCTCACCAAATGATCACACGGTGGCTTCAAGATATATTTGCTTCTATCTAGACTTTAATGTTAGTGTTAAATGGATATAATATGTACAATTCGTAGGGGTTATATAGTCAATTTTAGGAGCTCGCTAGCGGACTTGGGTTCTAAGCTTAATGCAAAACAAGTCACATATCATATGCCATGCATTGCTATATTTATTTGCCATTTCTGTACAGGGGTGGAACTGCGTTATGATGGCTGCGTCCTGGCTTACAGGCCCACCCCTGAACAGGAGACTATTGAAACTTGGCTCCTTTTGTGCAAAAGCTGGGTAATCCATGCTGGTACCAAAATTCTTATGATTCTTCTAGAATATAGGATCTTCATCATGGAATTCCAAACTAGCACGTCCGTCGAAGGAATTCCATCCGGTTGATTACACGATGGTTTTGATGAGTTCAACATCGAGTTATCAGGTCAAACTTCCAAGTCCCTACCCAGCTCCCATTATAGTCAACATGTTTTGAAAGAAGGTCAGTGTATCAGGACTTTACATGGAATAAGGTATGGTACCGCTAGGAAGAATGATTGGAAATTGGCAATCAGTTTCTCCATGTTGTCTAAGTTTGCTGTAATAAGAGAACAGCTACCCATATTCAAATCTCGAGAACTGAAATATCAACAACGTTCAGACCGAGCTTGCGATTGGTGCATTCTCTAGGTTGCTCCCATAAAAAATGGCTCACTTGCCTTCAAAACTGCAACTTTAAGAAGCGAAACGATAATTGCAAGCTCCGCGTCTGTCGTAGTGTAGGCCGGACAGACAAGGACATGATCAACCTGATATTCACCAGTGTGGCCTAAATTTCCGAGAATATTCAACCCCATATTGAGAGCGGTCTTGACAACATTGCCACAAAATGTGTCTTTGGGCGGGAAGGCAGACTTTGCGTTCTTGTCGAGCACAAATTCGATGGCCCAGAATAGACCCCGGCCACGGATATCACCAACGATTGGGAGAGGGCCGATATCTTGACGGAGAAGTGCTTCGAACTTATGGCCCATCTCCGCCACTCGCTCAATCAAATTATCTCGCTTGATGATCTTCTGGACTGCGACGGCAGCAGCGCACGCGAGGGGGTGAGCCTATAACAGTGATTTTAGTCTCGAAAACCAACTGTGTATTCAACAATACCATACCTGGAATGTGTGACCATGCGCGAGACCACCTGAGCCTACAGACAACGCATCGAATATCTTCTGGTGGAGTAAAATTCCCGAAAGAGGGACGAAGCCTGCACCGAGGGCCTTACCGATGGTCTGAATATCAGGACCGCGTATATCCTCCTGCTCCCAAGCGTGCATAGTGCCCGTTTTGCCCATGCCACAAATGATCTGCAAAAATAGTCAATACTTGAAAGGTATCAACACCTGGATTAAAGAGTACATAGGGCCATACTTCGTCCAAGATCAACAGAATTTCATATTTGTCGCAGATATCCCGGATAGCTCTGAAATAACCAGGTACAGCGGGCAAACAGCCGAGAGTTGTGCCACTGACGGTCTCAGCGATGAAGCCCGCAACGCGATCGGGGCCAACACGTATTATTTCTTGCTCGAAATGCCGAGCTAATCGCTGCACGAACTCCTCGTTTGATTCTGTCTCCAACTTCATGCGGTAAGAGTAGCACGGATCGACAAAGGACACATTAGATGACATAAAATCCTTGTAGAATTCTCTACGCAATTCGTGGCCTGAGACACATAAAGCACCGATAGTGTTACCGTGGTAACTCTGCTTGCGAGAGATAAAGTGTGTACATTGAGGCTGGCCGCGTTCGTGTCAGTACTGGATAGCTAGCTTGAGGGCCGCATCCGTCGCCTCACTACCCGAATTGACAAAAATTGCCTTAGATAAACCGCCAGGCTTCTGAGAGAGGAGAATATCCGCAAGTTTCTCGGTCGCACGGTTTGTGTAGGGAGAGCCGGAGTAGACGTAGGCGATGTCGTTTTTGAGGTGATTCGTGATAGCGTCGAAAATCTCAGGCTGGGTGTGACCTAGACAGGACACCGAGGGGCCACAGCTCGCATCGATCACTTTCATACCATCCTCCAAGAGAAGATTGATACCCTCGCCACCCACTACCTTTGCAGGCCTCTCAGAGAAGGCCCGGTGTAGGATATGGGAACGTGCAACGAACTCGTCTGTAGTCATTTTAAAGAGGATAAGCAGTGCGAGATCACTAGAGAATTCCAGTGTGACTTAAGAAGAGCTTCACGATACCAAGGTAATTTGGATGCTTTTATAACAAAGGGGTTTTCCATTATCTTGAAAGCCAAACTTTGACTTCCATTACAGACGCTAGAAAAGGCCGCCGTTGACGCTCGGTTGGAAGGCAATATTTCTCTCCTGCACGAGATGACCGAGATGCCGGTGACCAAGAATAATATGAACTACGTCTCTATCGTGTCGGTCGGTCTGACGGTAGCCATGCTTGCACTTTATATATTTTCAAAAAAAGGTAAATATCCTGGGCCTCGGCTACCGAACGAAAGCTTTGCGCAGGAAGTGTATGAGGTGGATGAAGGGCTTGAACTTGACAACATTGCACTGGAGGATTCTAGCAAAAATGCCACTAAGAATGATTGACTGTGAGCTGTATGGCGCGGTCAGGGGATATATGTTATTGTATGCGGATATCACCGTTGTCAGTATCTTGCATGCGAGGGAAGAAGAATGTACTCATAGTCTGTTGTTGAGTGAGCTATCGTTAGCCCACAGTAGGGACCATAGTGTCGAAGAACCTAGGGCAAGTGGCTATTCACTTCTTGTATTTATTCCTTTCTCAATATAGGAAATCGGCGCGAACTACTGGGTTTTCTAAATCGGCTTCTTGAATCATCAATCAATCCCCAACATTCACACATTAGGTTAGCGAACGGTGGACGTTGCGGTATTTGTCTTTCGTAAATATACGCATCCACTATGCCAATCAAGTTTCGCTCGATGGGCATGGACAAATGAGCTTCAAACTGCGACGGTTGACTCGTTTGAAGCAAAATAACCGATAAATAACGTTCTGGGGGTGGTACATTAGGACCAAGCTCGGTTTGCTTCTACAATCGGGCGTTGGTTCATACTTCTCTTCCTGTCCCTCTAAGACAGATTCGGCACCCAATTGGGAGTAATCAAGCTTGGAATAGAGGGATATTGCATGATCTGACCAGAAGGGAAGAACAACCCTAATTCGCCCAGCCACCGCTATTACTTCACGGGAAAGGATTGGTCCCCATGAATCGGCATTGAAGCCGTTGTGGACCTCGGGACTTAGTTCATATCCATTAACCATAGGGCGTATATAGACATAATGAGATAGAGTGGTCAAAGGATGAGCCTTCCTTTTTTGGGCTGGCGCCTGGCTACTATGGAAGTGTAAATATGAACTCCAGGTTAGATCAATAGCGAAAAGGTAAACTGCAGTTCTTACATATCCCATGATTTTGCTTGGGTGGACATGTACTATTGGATATGAAGTAGTTCAATATCGAACATTGAGTCAGTGCTGTATACGGTAACAAAAAACACACCTAGATTTCCTCATTTTATTGATCATCTAATTCCATTCAATGTGACTTCCCCATAGATCAAGTAATGTAGTGTCTCCCAATAGCCTTCTTTCCTCGCTTTCCTCCATAAATATATCTAGATAATCTGCAATTTATCACATATCCTATCCATTCTCAGAGGTGTTCTCTCACTTAGAGCGCAACGACTGACACCTCCGGATACTGTGAAATGACCTCTTGAAGTGGAGTCGGCGATGTTTGATGAAGCCCAAAACCCAAAAAGGCAACGACGGTTCGGTGAACAATTTCAAATGCTTTGAATCCATCCAAAGTCCCAACCATTGTTTGGATGGCTGGGACCTTTTCAACAGGCAGACCCAGGAGCTTCAGTAGGAACGGCAAATCGGAAAAGGTGTAATGCTGAGCCTTGGCCAGTTCCAGCTCCAATTTCCATCCTCGCAAGTTTGACCAAAACTCCTTCCATGTTGGGTCTGTGGCCTGGGTCTTATTTTCGTGGCCGAACAAGAGGAATGGACCCCGAAGCCCGTGTTGAACCACTGATCCAAACATTGACCCGTCGAGGTTCGCTCCAGCGACAATTCGACGGTCCAAATGCATGGCTTCGGCGGTGGCCGCACCCCCGACCGAGTGACCGTACATCGCGACTTGGCGAGTTCTCAAACCCGCAGCTCCGGCTCCAGGGAGCAGAGCTCCTACGCCAGCCTTTGTGCTCAGCTGATCCAGGATGAACGACACATCTCGCGCTCGGGTCTCGACATCCAGTGGAACCTGCGCGTCGCTGATGTTTGCAGCAGTCACAACGCTGCCGTCGGGAAACTCCAAGAATTCGGTATCATAAGGGTGGTCGATAGACACCACTATATACCCGGCGCTGGCCACTGCCTGTGCAATAGCATTGTAGAACAACCGTGTCGTGCCGAGAGCAGGCGAGAAGAGTACAACAGGAAAGTGGAGGTGATGCTCTTTTGGTGGCTGTGGGCATGCCTGGAAAGAGATAGATTGAAGCGACCCGTTGGGAAGTCCGTAGGCGCCGTATAGATCGGAGTAGTATGCGGCTGTTGCGGGGGGCAAGTAATCAATCTTCTTGAGATCGACATTGCAGTGGGTGGGCGCGAATATCGAAGTCATCACTGCACGCGGTCCGTGATGGGGATCGAAGGGATCGACTCTGGTCTTTTCAACCATCTTGGCTGTGTTGTAAAATACATCGTATTGTCCGGGTGGGTTGGGGATCACCACTGCAGAGACAGACACGGCCACAATGGGCAGCAGATGAAGAATTTGAAGCATCATCGATGACTGGAAGATGCAGTAGGGGATGTAAGAAGGATAGCAATAAAGTCTTTGGAATCTTAAATAAGTAGATGATCGGATTCCAACAATACTTAGAGGACTGCCCTGTCCTTTATACCTGTAGGAAGGAATGGGTGGAGTGGAAGAGCCTCATTCTGTCATCTCTAAAAGCACCCATAGGAACCATTCTCACTACCAAAGTAATTGAATTTCCCGAATAGGAATTTATAGAGCGTTAGTTCCACCGCAAGATCAGATCTACATTAGTCACCAAGAACAATAGGGCTTGGAACCTGGAACCTTCCCAAAGAGGAAGTAAAAGTGGGTCCTTGTCTCGCGACATTACTTCCCAATCAGGCTAGCGCCATCGGGTACGTCGCAGCCTGCTGACGGACCAGCCAGGTCTCGCTCTAATCTAACCATATTCATCATAGTGCTCATATGAGATACGCGCAATTCATGTGTTTGAATAATATTTCCCCCAGATCATGTCCGCATCAACACGGTTGCAGGGGAGAATTGTCGGCCCCCTGGATAAGCGAAGGCGGATGACGCGCTGCCTCGGGTGCGCGAAACGACGCATCAAGGTCTGGGATATGGAACTCCGATTCCATGGGATCAGTGCAGCTAATTCTTCTTAGTGTGAAGGAGGATTTCCATGTGTTCATTGCATTCGACAAAACACGATGTGCGTTGCCCAGCAGCAATCGGGACATGGTATGACTAAGTTTGTCAATAAAACTCAACAAGATGATTTCGGTGGTGGTCACCGACGCTCTGATCAGAGTAGCATGGTGATTCAAGATAGGCACGGCTCCGGGATTCACCCACTTGCTTTTATCGGGAAAGATAGAGGAACTTGCCTTCTTGATTGTTTTGTCTCTTTTATTGAGCAGAACATGTTCACGATGAGCTTCTCGTCAATAATCCCGGACCTGCTTCCATTAATTTCAACTTCCCCGGTCCTGTATAATGCAGTGATTGCGGTTGGTGCTTTGGATGCGAACCGACATGCGGGTGGACGCGCGTTACAGGGAGAGAAATCACCCTATGTCGATGCCATGACCTCTTACCATAAGTCAATGGGTATTTTGCGGTCATGTCTGGGAAATATCAATGTGATGCAAAAGGAGGACGTTCTCTGGGCCACATTTTTCCTCGGCCTGTTTGAGGTATGTTTTTATGAGATGCTCTCCTCTATCGGACGTACAAAACTCGTATTCGACTGACATACTTACACCTAGTTGCTGTCAGACGATTCGGGCGAAGGATGGGTCAAGCACATGCTCTATGGAACATCCAAAATGCTCCAGCTCGTAGGACCAAGCGACTGCATGTCATCAGCCAGAAGGATATTCTACGACCTGTTTCGTGTCCTCGAAGCCAGCCGAGCATTGCTCTATAATGAAGAAACTATCCTTTCTCAGGACTGCTGGCTCGGACTCCAACAGTCCCTATCAAGCAATACCACTCGATGGGATCCCATGCAAGAGATTATAACACTCATGATTGAGATATCCGCCTTCAGCTTACGGTAAGTTACCACCGACAAATGTGCGAATTGTTCTGTTTTAACAAACCAAATCACAGAGCCGGGGCTATAATTGACATGATTCCTGAGGCAGAACGGTTCACAGATCCATCAGTTGCTCTGATTGCGGCGGAAGGACTTGATCTCCAAGAAACTATCTATAACTGGCACACGAAGACGTTGCTACACCTGGTCCAGGATGATCCTAATCAGCACTCAAACTTAGCTTTGGTATACTATCACGCGCTGCTGATCTTTCTCTCTGGCAACTATGACTATTTTGCATACTGGGACAATATCCCAGCCCCGGTACTATCCCCTGCTGAAATTTCTGAACACCTGACTACCATCCTGTATCTCTCGGGTGAGGTGTTGCGCAACTCCAAGATTCCGGGAGTGATGCTGTTTTTCCCGGTAACTGTGGCAGGAGCTCGAGCCTGGACGACTGATCAGCAATCGGAAATATTGAATCTGCTCAACCTGGTCTTCCGTAAAGGATTCGTGGTCGCAAACAAGATACGGGATGGTTTGCTAGAACGGTGGGCCGAGAGAGACCGGAAAGAGAAAATGCATCTGGCCACATGAAACATTACGATGTCTCAACCTCCCGGGGGACAAGTTGAGTGGAGGGGACGCTATGCTATTCACAACATGCAACCTTACACACCCTTAAATTGGCGGGCACTACCCTCTAATTTTGTGTATTGCAGGTGGAAGGGCTTATTATTCTTGCCAAAAGCTTGATTCTGTGGCATATACTTCGTTAAAGTTTAAACGCAACCAAATATGCTGATCCAGGTGACCACCTAACTGCATTCAGTCTGACTCATGCTCGAAATGCTGCCGGCCCAAATCTTCCGTCTCCATAGTCAATTCCTTCATGAGAAACTCAAAAAGCCCAATGCTCCAAATGCTACCAACTCATACCAGATTGTGTGCATAGCATCCTTGTATGCATCCCGAATGAGGTCCCGTAGAGCAGGGGAGATGTCGGCTTTTCGTAGATAGGGAATAAAACTCACAGCCTCGCTAGGGTCTTTTAATAATGCCAGAGAAGCAGGCAATAGGATACCGTCAATCCTGTTAGCGAACACACTACTAAATACAGTGGCACTAACAGCAAGACTAATAAGCGCACTAAATAGCCTGAATGCGACTATTATTCCTATTATAAGACCCTAGTCATCTGACGTAGCGCTGGCTTATATTAGGATTAGAGGGACGCTAAATATCGTACTGATACTAATCCCTATAATAACCTAAAAACTAGCAGTTATAGCTATTAAGGATAATTAGTCCTATACCGAGAAAATACTATAGCTAACAGCGAGAAATACCTATCTGGTCCAAATTTCCTATAGGTATTTTTAGAAAAAATTGACAGTAAAGGCGGTAATTCCTATAAACACGAAGACTATATAGTAGAATGGTGGGATTAAGATCGATAATCTAAGCGGTATTTCGAGGTAGATAGCTTAGAAAAATAGTAGGAGATATTATAAAAGAGTATATATTACGAAGCTGTAGATAAAACTTCTAAGCAGACTTATCTATACCGTTCTCGAAGTAAAGATATAGTAAGGGAATATAGTATTAGTCTAGTAACCCTTATAAAACACAAATCCTACTAAGATCAAAATACTAATTATCAGCGGGAAGATAGTTCGCTATGAGCCCTAAGGATATATATTCCCTACCTAACTTAAAGGTAGGGCTAGAAGAATATAACCGGCTATAAAAAGTAATATCCGAAGCCAGTCTATACGGCTAAGCTAGGATCGAAGAGATTATTTAATCGGCCTCAGATGTATAAAGAAGATAGCCAGAAAGAGGGTAACAGCGATTATAGGCAGATTAATCCAGCCGATCCAGCGCTAGGTAAAGTACTCGCTAAACATTATACCGAGAATCGGACCTGCGATACATCCTGCAGCCATTAGAAGAGATAGTAATCCGATATACACAGCCCGCTCTTGCAGAGTTGTGAGATCAGCGACAATGACTTCACTAAGAATGTCGAGTCCGCCTCTGCCGAGTCCTTGCAGTATACGTCCTACGATTAGGACTACCATACTATGGGCGACGGTAAACACAATTGATCCAATACCGAAGACCGTGAACCCCGCGTAAAGTGGAATTTTACGGCCGAAGATATGTGAGAAACTGGTATAAATAGGCTGAATGACCACGACTGCCACTGTGAAAGAGATGTTGGCCCAAAAAGCGGTTAAAGTCATCCCCGAGAGGTCATCGGTGATGGCCTATTGAGAGAAAAGAACTAGGTCAGCTAAAGCATCGTTTGACACAAAGAAGTGTGTATATAATTACTGGGATTGTAACGGCCAACGTGGTGGCATCCAACGAGACCAAGAAGACCATCAATAGCAGAGATACAAATGCGAGAAAGAATGACAAAGGCTTTTTCTTCCGGCGTTTCTCTCCTGCTTCTGGATCCCTCGGTGGTGACGCATTTGACACATCCTTTTTCTCTGTATAGTCGCATTCAGATTGGCATTCAGATTGTGGTTGACATTGAGAGTGAGATCGAGTTTTGAGATCTCCGAAAGATGACTGGTCAGGAATTTCTTGTATGTTACGTGGTGCGGTTTCCATTAGTACAGATTTCCTCTGGTATTTTTGAATGAGCGTATGGCTGATTCTCGAATTTCTCCTTTGGGGACAAACGGCTACATATACGCCCATGGCTTGCCCTTGAGGTAGGGCTCCAGGTTCGAAGTGATTAATAATGAGGTAGATTTGTAATCGACGATCGTCTCCAGGAGTAGGCCGTTGTTGCATTTCAAAAATTCGAGTCCTCAGATTGTAACAAATAGTGTGACATACAACATAATCCTTGTTATTGTGTGGTATCTGGCTGTCATCCAGAAATAAAAAAACAAAACTTTAAGCGGGCCACCTAAATGCGGAGATAAACCGAACCCCAAATCGTAGAAAGCTGAGATCTACCAAATCCGCTCATCGTTTGTACTCTGTTTACTGTTTTTTACTGATTTTTGTTTAAACAAAAGCAACCGATCGCGAAGTCGGAATGATAAGCATGGATGCACTCCTGAAGTAGCCCCCACCGTATGTATAAGCTGAGCATGGGGGCTTTTCTCACCGGAGCTCCGAGCACCCCTGGCGCCTTATGGATTAGCTCCAAGATTAATAGTTCGTTCCAATATATATTATCCAATTAGAGCAATTCTGTACTTTTGTTCACTCCACATGTAGGAATAGATTTCCCATCCGGTAGTAAATCCGATAGTAATTCTATTAGGCCCCGATAATCTGCTCATAGTTTCACCGAGCAGAATACTGTGTGATTATCTTAGGCGCTTTTATGCTTGCAATATCTAATTTAGATACTTCGAGCACGGAATGTACACCATTTTTTACGAAATGAGTCTCAATGACTAGCTTGGTAGGGGATGGTATACACATATCTTTGGCAACTATTTTTATGCGCAGACATTTCAAACTTACGGCTTGATATCGGCGTTTTGGAAATGAGGGGCAAAGGGAAATTGGATGTGCTCACTAAATATGCAACAGATAGAGTCAGAAAAGCTCGGAGTAGGGTCTGCGGTATGAATTGCGCCCATTACTTGTCGAAAAGCTAGATTTCAACATTAATATTGGTACCAGTGACAGAAGGGGAGCGTGTATTTCTGATATTTGCGGTTTTGCTCCTGATCTGCGTAGGTTGCATAGATGGTTACTCGTTGGGAAACGCTAAAAAGATTGTAATCTGACACTAAATAGTTGTTGTTGAAACAAAATACCTAAAGCTAATATAAATATATACAGATATATGTATCTAGGTAGAGGGTGGAAAACATAGAAGAGAAAGTACAAGACCGGTCTATCGCAACTCCAAGAAATATTTCCTGTGAAGGTACACCATCAGATTGGATACGAAGAAAAGTAAAAACCACGACGATTTGATGTGTGCTGTGTCTGCCATGTTTGTGTACTTGGTGGACATGCCACGATGCATGAAAGGCATTGAGTGACGAGAGACAATCAATTCACGGTAGCATTATAGTCGGCGAGGATGGCTTCCGAGACCTTCTGTGCCATGCCGTAAAAGACGGTCATAACATGAGACGATAATTGAGTAGGAGGAATTGAGCCGTCAATTACACGCAGACTTTCAACACCATAGACACGAGCAGCAGCGTCCACGACACCACCAAGTTCTTTCGACATCATAGAACATGTGCCAACACCATGGTAGTTGGCACGGAAATTCTGTTTCACATGGTCGACCCAGTCGTCGAGAGTAGCGTTGTAAGCTAGGTTGTTTCCGGGGATGGCCTCGCCGTTGAAATACTGTGTCATTTCACCGGTATTGGAAATCTCACGAGCCAGCTTGGAGGCCGCTGCCTGACCAAGTACATCAAGCTCATTCAAGAAGAACTGAGGGTCATATGCAAAGCGACGAAGATAGGGGTCACTATCCAGGATGTGGACATATCCTCGGGTGAAAGGAATCAGGTCCCACAAGTCAAGGTTTAGCTTGCCAGCGGTATCAATGAAAATTTCGGCAAAAGACACGTCTTCATTAACAAGCCAGTCGCGGTAATTTTCATATTGTACCAGGAGCGCGGTCTCGTTGTGGAAGCCGCCCCGGGAGACAACGTCCTTGGCCCACTCTTCCAGTTTGGTGTTTAGCAGTTGGTGAGCGCGAGGTGCCTGATCACCAAAGGTTTCATTGAAGGTGGCAAAGTAAGCAGCCTGGCCCTGGCCCGCACCAATCGAGTTGATGTTAGAGCGGACAGTTGTAGTAGTTTGATCTTGGAGGTTGAGACCAACGGGCAGATCAACAAGCTGTTCAACGCCGACGTTGTCGAGGACAGCCTTCAAGCCAACACCAGAATGCTCCAGGATTTGAGGGGAGACAGCGGATCCAGAGGCCAGAAGTACCTCATGACGAGCATGGACATCAAAGTTGACCTTTGCATGGGTGCCAAAGTTGACTCCAACAGCTTTCGGGGTGGTGGTGGTGGTATCGAATAAAACCTTTCCGACCATTTGACCAGTCAAGATCTTCAGATTCGAGCGCTGGTAGTTTGGCAGCAGCCACTCTCGGGCAGCGTCTGAGCGAGTCTGATCCTCATGCACATCGTTGAGAATCATTGAGATACCGTGAGGGACGCCACAGCCTAGGTCCTTCTGAACGGGAATACCAGAGTTATTCGCATTTTTCATGAGACTTTTGATCATGGGCGAGAAGCTCTCTCCAGTGTCTCGGGGACCGACGTGAACAATGCCATCTGTGCCGTGGCAGGAAGGATCATAGTAATGTCCAGCAGCAATCTGCTCAGCGTTTGGTGCACGGGCGGCCTCGATTTTCTTCATGTAGGGGAGTAGGCTGTCCCAGTTCCACCCTTCCATTCCAAACACACTTTCCCAGGAATCAACCTGTGCCTTGTGTGGGCGTGTCCAGGAACCTCCGTTCACCAAGGTTGACCCTCCCAGTCCTTTGCCTGATCTAACAATCTCGGTGCGGTTGTGAATGGCAAGCGGGATCGTTTCGAAGGCTTGATCGACGGAAGTGCCGAAGATATCACCATAGTGATTGAGGTTTTCAATGATAGGACCGATGTTCGATTCGTAGAAGCCTCTCTCGATGACGAGAACTGTGATGTTCGGGTTCTCCGTGAGACGCGCCGCGACAGTCAGGCCAGTCAAACCTCCACCAGCAATGATATAGTCAAAAGTTGTGCCGGCCACCTTCGTTGGGTCGGTGAGCAGGCTTGACTGGAGATCAAAGTCTGCCTGCGGAAGGGCCGTGGCTACAACAACGAGCCCGGACAGGAGGCCAAGGAGCTTCATTTCTGAAGGACGCTTTAAGAATTGAAAAAGAAAGATAAAAGCCTTGAAAAGAATGGATAGGAGAGTTGGAGAAGGCGATACATCAAAGCTGTAGGGCATGGGAGTAGAGCATATTTATATCTTCATCCCCTCGATCACAACACCGTATCCTCATTCTCAAGTACTGCATATGATACACATGACCAAGTCCATTCACCTGCAGGTACCCAAGCAGTACAGTATGCTAGTAACAATCGTCATTATCGATAGAACCTTGGAAGTTTACGAGTTTACGTATACAAGATAACTATCTTGGCGCCCAGAAGTACAGTAAGATACATACATAGTTTGCCAACGCGGGACAGTAACCTTATCCACCCGGAAGGAATCTATTGATGATGCCGGTGAATGTAAGATTTGAAGAAAAGTACGCATGCCCAACGATTCTAGATGCCTTTCTTCATTGGTCACAGGCATTGTGTATTTGTCACTGGCACATAGTATCGATCCCGGACATATGGTCTCGATCACCGAATATATCCTCGGGTTACCGAGACACTCGGCATGCCGATCAGCGATATTGCCAAGACTGCTAACCTTCAAGATTATGAATGATGTCTACATACCTTGTGGGACACGCATGTAGCTGTAGTTCGACCAATCTTGTTTTCTAAACTTAAAATTGTGGGAGCCAATATTGGTACCCCACCGGTTATTACCCCAACAAGCTAAGCCCAATGTACCTCGTGTTCCTGCAGATATTCGGACCGAGTAATCCTTGCCACTAACGACCTCCCGGTCAGCGGTTGCAGATCATCCTCTAAATCCGCCGTGCTGATAGCTGACGTGAAACAACTCTAGACTTCGCTTGCTTTGAAATGAGTTTCAGTCGACAAAGTACCACTGATCCTGATGACAAAATTGGCAACCTAGATCAGTCTTGCTTACAAGAACCCACCATTAGCCAAGAGAATCCCTCCGAAGTGGCTGAGCATTCATTTAAAACACCGCATAAAGGTTAAGCTGCATTCGTACTAGCATACATTTGGTCTGCACGTCCTTATCTCTCTTCCTCCTTGCCCTTTTTTTTTTGTCGTTTTACAACCCACCCCGGCTTTCCAAAATGCGTGTTGTTCTTCTGTCCACAATTCTGTTTGGTGCCGCCTCCGTGGCGACAAAGATATATGCGGCATCTTACTCTGGCACCGTGACTACTCTATCGCCAAAGAGCAATAACGGAAGTTATGGGCTGTCAATTGTTGCACAGACGAAAGACTGTGGGATTAGTCCATCGTGGTTGACATTGGATGCTGCCAACAACTTGATCCTCTGCCTCAATGAGGGAATAGGGGCTCCAAATGGTAGTCTGACTTCCTTCAAAGTCAACTCCAATGGGTCCCTGACTACGCTGGATGTTCTCGAAACTGTTTCCGGTCCCGTTATGTCGGCTATTTATACTATTCCTAGCCAACCTGGACGGCGTTTTGTTGCTGTTGCACACTAGTGAGTATCACCTAAAGAGCATGAAGAATCTATGGTTCAATGACATGCTGATTCGGCTCGATTTTTTAGTTCAGGCTCTGCCGTCACGGCCCACACACTGGACCCAAAGTCCGGTGCTTTAGAGCAGACTCAGAAGTTCACCTATGAGCTTGCTGCTCCTGGTCCAGTGCCCGACCGGCAAGATGCTCCTCATCCACATGGAGCCATCGTTGATCCGACAGGTCGCTTTGTTCTGGTTACTGACTTGGGCATGGATCAAATTCATATCTTCAAGATTTCTCCCTCAAGTGGCCTTCTGCAACCCCAGAAGCCTTTCATGGTGAAACCCGGGTCAGGACCACGACACGCCGTCTTTTGGACACCCAAGACCGATGCTACCTCTATCGATAACACGTTCTTGTATCTTGTGTCTGAATTGGGCAATACCTTGAGCGCATTCAAGGCTGACTATTCCCGCGGCGGCCTGACATTTGTTAAGGTTCACGAGGAGAGCACCTATGGCGGGAAGGCTGCCCCAAGTGGCTCCAAGGCCTCAGGAATTCAAATTTCGGTATGTTGACCCTTAATTCATTGCCCAAGGCGAACACACAAAGAGAACTTTACCTAACAACTCTCGCCCTCAAGCCTGAAAATGATCGCATTATAGTTTCCAACCGCGGTGATGTTACCTTTGGCAAGGACGGTGACTCTTTTGCTGTCTTCACCGGCATCAACACCCACAAAAACCGTGCCACGAATTTCACATTCGTCGGCTTGTTTCCAGTTTACGGTTCTTTCCCACGTGAATTCACAATTAATGGCCATGATGGAGCGATGGCGGTGGCATTGCAAAACAGCCACGAGGTGGCTTTAGTTCAGTGGGATGAACAGACGAAGAGCCCAGGAAAGCTTCGCACTAAACTGACCTTGGATGGAGAGATTCCTGCTGCAATCTGGGGCCCCTGAGTGCAAGAACGGGTCAGCCAGAATAATTTTGGTGCTCGAAATCAGCCATTGGTGTTTGCTTTTCTTTTCGGGCTTTTTTCGGAAATTCTCACACTATCGACAATGTTGACCTCAAGAATGAAAGTTCCCCAATGTATGCAATATATAGAAATATAGTAGTCATAGGATCTAGCGATTTTAGAGTTGAAAAAAATCTAAAAATGAAATTGCTACCATAAGATCATCCCAAATCTCTTGCAATTACTCCGTAGTATCTTCGACAATAAGTTAGCCAAGGCTGAACTCAGCCACTGGATTGAGGAATTTCTCCGGTGAGATGTTGGAATCTGTCACAACAGGCGGGGCAGATGATCTTTTTGTTTGCTCTGTTTGCCTTGTTTGTTCTCATTTGGTCATGTTGGCTTTGCATGTTTTGCACTCTACTTTGCTGAATTAAGGGCACCCTTGCAAGGTTTGTTCAGTGACTATACTAATACTGTCGACAAGACATTAATATATCACGGTAGCTTGGCAGCGAAGTATATATGTTAGGGATTGAATTCACATTGTCATTCTGTACCGTGTTGTCGTTCTCGATAAGAATATTCAGTCATAGTAAATTTTTTTTTTTTCCTACAAGATACCCCGCCGGTTTGGTAAAACCTCAGAATTGCAGATCTTCACTCATCGATGCCAGAGATCATGATATCTAGGAGTTCTCCCGTTCAATGGACGTAGTGCCATCAAAAGCCCCACCCACGCCAGTGCCAGGAAGGCGACCCCCTTCAAGGCTCTCAGCTGTCGGGGCTCAGAAGGCATCCGGTCATTTGCAGGGTGTGTCGAAGTGGACACAAAAAGAAATTAAGAAAATTGCCCGAGCTACAGTAAAACCTATTCATAACAATATATTAACAGAAAGAATGTCGTTGAGTCAAGGTGCTATATATCGAATATATATTTCTGGTTTACATACAAATCTAAGGCCGAAAAGCTCCTGACATCGCTCTGCTCTGAGCGTTTTATTTTCCTTGCTTAAATTAACCTCCCATGTCTATCAAGCGTACCAATTAACTACTCTCGTAAAGCCACCTTCTAGGAGGTTGCATTTTAATTGGTCGAAATCAGGCGCAAGCCACGTGATAAACCAACGAGGCAATAATTGGTTAAAATTGATTGAAAATGACGCATGAATCCCTGTATATAACGATGTTTTGGGTGGGAGGGAGGGTGAATTAAGGACCATCGTAGTAAAGAGGTTTTAAGGATTTTTGTATGGCAGATCAATTCGAGCACTGGGCTTTGATCATTATAACCAGGGTATCGTTATATCCCGTATCGTTATAACGGGGTATACTGTACCACGTTTCAATGAACCAAAGCTGGTGCACCAGTTACTCCGCGATAGAACGAAATTCCCTCCTTACTACGAACTTCATTAATTCACTATTTTTCCCATGAATAATGCGTTACATCGAGGTTTTTGCCTCCCCGATCGATCCTAACCTCCTGGAAAGTGCTGCTACGAGAGAAGCGCCGAAGCAACGCTTCACTCTCTAGTAGAAAGCTCGTTTAATGGTTTTCTAAAACCTGTAGGTCAAGTTAGGAGAGAGGAAACAGACGGATATAAGCAAAGATTTTGGACTATGAATTTGTATGTAAACTAGGATTGGACGAACATAACCCCGTGTCTGAATTGATTCGTTATAACTGGAGTTTACCGTATTAGCTTTGAATAGGTGAGACGATCGTTGATATGATTGGTCGAAGATGCTTCTCCTGCCCCCGCCTATGTGCTAGCTCGGTAGATCAGCCTATAAGACATTTCTCTTGGTCATTGCTTGGATCCCTCAGGGGCGAGATGCGACCCCTCTCACTAGTTCCTGTACTCCGTACGGAGTACTCTGAAAGATCCTACGATTTCCCGGTCTTCAAAAGACTGGGATCATTATAATTATTGTTGCATTTGATGAAAACCTGATCACTGGTTTCAAAAAACACTATCAAAAATGACGTTGATCAAACCTTTTCTCCTAGCGATAATGCTTTCTATTGCTTCGAACGCTGCAGGAACCAGCTGCCCAGTAGGCTGGCTCCCAAACACCTTTCACGGCACAAAATGCTGCCCCGGCACTATGGTCATCGACGAAGAAGGCGCCTACTGCTGCGTCAATGATATGAGGGCTTACATAGAGGCACTCACCGACACAGCCGAACTATATGCTACCGCCACGACGACTGGCGACACTAACTGGTCCACAGTGGATAACTCTTGCATCGCGGAGGTCCGCTTCACGGCCACCGACTACTCGGCCCAGGTCTCGTCGGCGTCGAGCAAAGCCGAGGCTACCCCCACCAATGATTCAACCAACGAGGTCACCTCCACCAGTGCCACGACTTCTAGGACTACCTCTGGTGCGATCTCGCAGACTTCAAATTTCACTCCGACTCTCACTTCGACTCCGACTCCTACTTCGAATGCGGCTATGCCGCTAGCTACGGCCAAAGATATTATGCGGAGTGGTGCTGTATTTGCTGCTGCCTTTTTCATGCTCTGATTGAGCGTGGTATTCTTGCAGTTTTGCCCCCTATCGTGTTTCGGATTTGGAAGACGCCAACACTTGGCACACTGGAGTGAGCGCCGTTCGATAGTTAAACATAGGCTTTGCAAATAAATTTGATCGCAAGTATATACCGAAACTTCCGCTACACTAAAGCCATACGTTGGGTATGTAGATAGGGGAATATCTTAGCGAGGTGCAAAGGGCTAAAAAGGAGACCGTGCGCAGTGTTAGTGCCCAGTGGCTAACACTTTCATTCCTTGGCATACGGACGCCGCCGGCAGGCAACCGCAGGCTCCTGGGCTAAGCACTAGCACCAAGCTAGCATCTTGGCATTTTGTCTCTCATATAAGCTCTCTCCGGGGGAAACTATGAGCGGTTCCACTTTTGCGCTTCATTTTAATCATCTCTTCCCCTCAATGCAAGCGGTGAGCCTATCCAAAAATTACAATAACATCCCGACAGAATCATAATATAACTATACAGCTGCTTAGACCCAAGCGTGACAGCTTTGATCTCGGAGTATAGATCCTGAACCCACTAAAATATCGGGACAATTGGTCCCTAGGCATCTGTGTCCTGGATCTTGGTCGGTGAAACTTGCGGGGGCTGTGCTGCTATAATAATAGGCATAGGCAGAGTTCGCCGGTGAGAGGAACCTCGCGTGATGTTTCGCGTGAAAGGTGTTTTGAAGAATTAAAATGTGAAGAAATGTGGACCCTGAAAGTGTCAGATTCGATTATTCAGATGTTTCACCAGATCTCAAAACTATGTGCAACACAACGTACAACCCGTTAATGAACATTGGGTGAACCAATGACAATGCTCATTCTCGGGGGATACGTGAACTAACCTGCCATTGCCTTGGGCGAATCAATGCGCGCCTACACCGGTAATTATACTAGGTTCAAGAACAGTCGAGAGTTGGCATCCGTCGCCAACGAGGTAGTCGAACTAGCTGGGCTATAGGTCATTGTTTGGATCATCATTGGTTTTGCGAATGATCTTCTGCAGGAGCATGTGGGACCGAGTGAGCTCGGGGTTCTTCGGATGGTGTTCAGTTATCACTGGAAGAAGCTGTACTCCGGTGATACGTGATTGATTGTACTTGATTGGTTTACGGACTGGTTCGGCGGTTTCAGGTAATGACGTGGCATTTTTCAGTAATTCGGACTATTTCTTCGGAATATCTACGTTGGGTGCAGGTTTCTACGGCTCGGAAGAGGAAGTTTGTTTATAGGGTGAAGGGGCAGATGAGGAGGGAGTGAAAGGTGGATGCGAAACTAGTGTTTGAGACATATATTATAAAGTTAGATACATACTTTGATACCTAGATGGGGATAACGTTGCTGGTTGTTTGTTGGTGGTACGTGGTAACAATGTCAATCGCTTAGTTACTCTATCTAAAAGCCAATGATGGTCCAAACTATTGACGTTGAGTTATTCCAATCTCAATTCCTCTTCTTCATACTTTATACACTTTGTATTTTGTGCGTGTGTCTCCTGGACAAATACCAACGTGCCATATCCTATCCAAATACCACTACGAAATGCATTATAGCCAATTTCCATTTCGAATCCGAGTGGCAAAGTGAGGATATCAGCATTTCATGCATTCGTTTTGCTGATTTGATGCTTCAGAACCTTTCGTTACACCCTGCATAGTGCCATTATCAGTCTATTGATATGCTACCAAGCTAGTGTACACTTTTGATCCTGTGGTTTGACATACGTCCAAGGTTTTCGGAATTTCTCATGTTTCCGAAGGAGACTACGGGGAAACAATTACTTCGTTCCAAGCCGTCACATGGACGAAACGGCAACTCCAATGACACACCACCCATGTTACTACACCGAGGAGGAGGCCGAGTATTCTCAGGTATGCGAGACATTGATATTATTGGGTGCCTCCTCTAACATAATTTCACGCAGAGGCCGGGGCCTTTCCTATAAAGCAGGACTTCCCAACCCTCCATTCTCCAAATCATTGATCGCATCGACGGCACTTCCTCCTCGGCTACCGAGTTCATAATTTCTACCACTTCAATCTCCTTCAAAAGATTACCATCTAGCCCTTCATTATGCAGATCGCCAAAGTTGCCATCTTTGTCTGCGCTGCAATGGGCGCGGTGGCCACCCCAATTGAGTCCGAACCAAACCACATCGATGCCAGAACTGAGGATGGCACCTTAAAGAGCTACCCAGGAGTGAGTAACTATAAAGATCGCATAGCTTGGGTACTCAGCTGGGAGTCTTCACTAACCACTCAAAACTACTCCTCAGGAATGCTACACAGCCACCAACGTATGCATATTCCCCTACCATCATAATAGGAACACGTTCACAAAATGCAGTAACAAAAGAGTAAACTTCCACCCATTTCCAAGTAGTCACCTGAATTGAATCCATGCTAATGTCGCTCTTTATGATTTTAGTGCAGCCACAATGGCGCCCCTTGTCAATTCGACTCCTACACCAGACAGGCTGAATGCGAATAGATGATCGATACGATCGTTGTTTCCTTCTTGGTATTTTATGAGATGCCGTGTGATTCTCGAAAGCTACTACCATATATACACATGGACTGAACACACAAACTGCTCGGCGACGGATACAGATCTATGTAGTATCTATGTAGCTTGAATTATTGGTGAAATCTGATGTCATCATGAATAGACTCGCTGAACATTTAGTCATGTATTTGTGCTTAGCAAGGAGGCCATAATTTCCTCCGTACCACTAGATATCCGTTAATCCGAACTTGGGGCGCTGGACCAACTTAGGACTTGTTTATGGAACGCACTTGGCCTAGATCACCTGGCCTCTCTCCCTATCTATCTTTCTCCCCTACACATGCCTAGTACGATCGTCCGGGAAATATCGTCAAGCAAAGATTAATTTTCATAATCATTGTTCATGCCTTATTGAAATTGAATATCTCAACCCAATGAGATCTTGCAATGATGGTGATATTATATATATAGTATATGAAAAGTGAATTTTACAGCTGCAAGCTCTTCGTAGTTCATAGAAGCCCTACTGTTTCTTTTGTGATAGATTAACATTACTGGTGAGCCTAGATGCCAAAGTGAGGTTGTCATTGATGCCTCGATTTCATGTTAATCATGTACTGATTAACCGTGGTTGTCAACATATTTCATGCAGAAACTTGGTTATTTCTTAGACCCAGTAAGATCCTACAATCGTGATCTCTACTATATCTTACATAGGCGTGTCATTCTGGATGTCATATCGGAATTTGAATAGTTTTTGTTATCGGCGCATTTTAACGTATAGAGAAGAATAAAGATGCATGTAGTTGATGATGAATCACGGAGTTTGGATTGCCGCTTTTTTGGTTTCAGCACGTCAAGCTGAGCAAGATTGGTATTCAATTCCCAAGACCAGGGGTAAAGGGGAATGAATTGAGTCCGGGCACTGCCAAACGCGAGAAATAAAACGCGGGACGGGGATATTTAGTTGCCATGGTTGATCTCCTCTGTCTTTTTGGTCTCCTCGCCTTCCTCGCTCTCGTCGCCATCTATGAAGTGCGGGGGGAAAGGTTCTTCGCCTTCCGCAAGCTTTTTCAGAGGTAACAGATGTTTATCTTCATAAATGAGATGCCCGGCAGTTTTGAAAACCATCACAATATCAGAGTTTAGTGCTTGTGCCCCGCTTGGCATGAATTCAATGGCCTCGGTGGCCAACCCTTCCAGATGTTTCTGGCTAGCGTCTTTTGCCGCCTCCCGAATTTCGTGGAGTCGCTTGAGCCAGTAAATCCATCTCCACGGTCTGAATCCGGTGGGTGATCGCTTTCCCAACTCCGAATCTAGGAAGCAAGGGCCACCCTGACCAATTGTGCTAGGGCAGTCATTCCACGAAACTTCCGAGAGTTGCATGAGATTGTGAGATGCCTCCTTGAGCCACGCATGGGCTGCGGGCAACAAGTGCATAATGTTGAGTGACCACATGCTCCGTCGTGGATTTTTTTCATCCTTGTCTTCGTTGGTGCGAAGCTCTTTTCTCTCCTCGAACGTGCAGCGGAAAATGATAAGCGCGACCTGGCACATTCTGTCCTTGCAGACGCGGGTTGATGCCAGCTTGGCGAGGTAAGAGGCAAAGTTCAGGCGCTGGGTGCCCGAAAGTGGTCGACAGTTGTTGATCCAGAAGTCAGTCATGTCGGTGACCAAGAACGGCAGGTCATTCCACACTGTGCCTTCCGTCATTCGTGCGATATCGATCCCGAAATGCCCCCTCACGGGCCTAGTCAATGGCCCCATTCCCTGGATTCGGAGGATATCGAGGACTAGATGATCGTGCTCGGGAGTCTCAGGCGACGCATGGAGGCTGAGCTGAAAGTACGAGTACCAAATATTACGAGTGTACCCCTCGAGGGAATCTACCCCGTCTCCACTGTTGCAGTATCTGTTGGTGACGATCCCGGTGCGATTGTAGAAGGCTGCTCCCCGGACCTCTTCGAATTCACCCCGAGCGAGGCTTAGCCGCACATCCTGTTGATCATGAGAAATGCTGTCTAACTCGCCGATGTAGGGGAAGCCCTTTGGCGAGGGGCTCAATAAGGAGTCACGGATGCGATGCATCTTGAGATTTTAATCTTTCTATTTGATGGATCAGTCAGTGAGTCGTGGTATGAGAGAGGGAGTTAGGTAGGAAACGTACCTGTGTGACAGAAACCCACAGGGCTTTAGACCGCAGAAGGAGTCGTTCAGGGGGGGCCGCTGGTTGTAATTTTCAGGTCACGCACTAGGCAGCAGAATAGTAGTTACAGGGTTCTCCCAGGCCGACGAACGATATGTCGATAAATGAGTTGTACTCAATGTGTTGTAAGGCTGCGGTTTCCTTTTTTGTCTTGTCGATCACCCGATTCCCCGGACCCACTTGGTGTCGCAGATCTGGAAGGTGCGATTGGGTTTGTTTACATATGTACGGAGTATAAGACACCCATTCTCACTTATTTTATCAATCTCCTTCCAGGGCTCTTTTAGTATTCCTTTCGTGAGAGTACACAGGTCAACTTCGTAGCTTAAATACACCAACCCCAGCCCCAACAGGATGATACGACATTGATGTGTCAAACAAGAAACACATAGAAAGTGGCCGTCCAACTTCCAACAGCGACAACTAGCTTTTACTCGGGGGTGACATGACCTATGCCATACCAGGAAAGCGATTTCCTGTGAAATCAAATTCTTTCACTGCCACTTGAGACCGACCCAAAATAAAGGTCCTGAAGTTTGCAAAAGGCGCAGCGAACTAACATTTATATTGACAGGACGAATCTTTGATATCCAATCGACAGCCAATGTAGTATCTAAGATGGTTTCCCAAGAAATTTATCTCAAACGCATTGAAAGGCGGCATGAACATGACATGTGAGATCCATGAGGAGATTGATGTCGTCGGTGTCGATAACGGCACAGTGGAGGAACACTAATAAGATTGCATTCCTGTGGGAAATGGAAAAACTAAAACCTATCCTTATTATTTCATGTCCAGACGTCTTTGACCATCTCGTTCCAGGGTTCTGCTTTTTCATTCACATATCAACACCAGGCTTCATTCAACTCTTCAACACCAAACCACGGGCCAGAAACAAAACGCCGACTCATCTCCCCCCATAGCATTAGGCAAAGCAGCGGAATACTGTGAATGCGAAATCGTTGAAAAAATGGAAATCATCGACGTCGCTTCACATTATTAGTAGCCGTTATCAAAAGAAAGCGCGGTGAACATGAATGACCATGTACGCAGTTCACTGCTCCGTACTATCTATGCGACTTCCTCAACCCTTGGAAATCTTCAGCTCTTGCTACTTGGGGTTATGTTCGAGATATGCTTCTATCTTTATATTCGATCTATGTTTAATTTTCGTCATTTTAATCACCATGCGCTATAAATCGTTAGAAGAACCTGTGGCTACGATGCAGTAATTATATATGCTCTTAGGACCCTCTACATTATACTAAGAAGAAACACTAGGTCTTAGTCTATACTATCTGAGTTATTTAAATGCCTTTGTCGTTTATGGATTCTTGTTTCTCTTGTATTTCGGACGATCATCTACCCTCCGTCTTACCAGTTTCCCCTATGAGGGAAAAAAAAGCGCTTTAACCTAAACCCAAGCTGCCATATAGCCTGGTGCCCACGGTGAAGGTATTACCTGGTATATATTCAGGTACCTGGATTAAGCGAAAGAAAAGAACTTGAGTCACACCCACAAACTTCGTCGACAGATTGTCCATGTATAAAGGAGCTAAAAGCATGAAAGTGGTGCAATCAAACGGAAGATTATTTTTTGGTTATATGGTGACTGTATTATTACCTTATCTCGATATGAAAAGCAGAGTGATTCAAAATAGAATATACTATAGTTGTTGCTAGATTTCGTCAATAAAGGGTCATGGTTTAAGATCACTAAGCTTTCTGTCCGTAGATACTTGGACCTGCGAGATAAAGTGTACTCGCATGACGAATTCATGGAACACTTTGGGGAATATCGAGAGGGACACAATTTGTGGAAATTGAATAATGGGTTGATCTCTCCGAGATCTTGGGAATAATCAAGCATAGGGGTGGGTTTACTAGATGTACCTCCAGTCTCGGATATATGCTAGCATTTCCACCCATGAATAAGTGGTTAGGTGAGGGGGTCAATAGTACATGCTGGGATTTGCTGGACACCGTAGTCATGCGATCGTGTTTTTGTACCACATATGGAGATTTGTCAGTCTGCTCCATTTTCTCTCTTGTCTTCATTTTCCCAGTCACGTCAGATAGTCAACGCAGTCGTATTGCTCCACCCTCTTCTCATTTCGTCCACGGGCGTTCTAAGACACCCGTGTCCCCACATCGAGGCCCCACCTGGGCGGCAACATCCCGGATCACGTGCTCGACGATCATTGAGCCCCCACATACTTTCTTTTACTTCGCTCGTCTTTCACATCACCCAAAATCTGACCACGAATCGATTCTTTCCTGTCACACAAAGCGAACATGATTCGGCGCCCACGAGAGCCTCAGCCTGACCCGATAACATTGGAAATAAGCCAGCTCCTTTCACCACTCGTTATCTTTCCATGGGGACCACTTGCAATGAACTACTTGGGCGTTCCCATCGTCGTAGGTGTAAGTTCGGTTATCATTCATTGAAATTCTAGCGCGTACTAATCAAGCGATACAGAATGCTATGTTCACCGTCCGTGACGAGGACTATCGGCTAGCATGCCAGAAGCTAAAGGACTCGGCATTTTATGAAATAATCCCCGATCGCTCGATTCCCCCCGAGATATTGGCGACACTCCCAGACCCAGATCAAGCAATTGAAGAGGTCGAGAAGGAGTACCAACGCCTTGATAACTCAACTATGACGTTCGAATACCCAATCAACCACCGCCTGTCTGGGAGTCTACAGTTAACGCTGGCCCCAAACTCTTTCGCAAATCTTCCAATACCGGATATAACCGGCGACGTCAAGCAGGATACTATCTCCACCAAGGGGTACGACATATACGGCAATATATGTCAACCACTTGAAGAGGCGTTAGTTGGAAGTTTTGCGAAGAGTGTTATTGACGATCAGAATGATGAGAATGCCGAGTTTTCTGGTTGGGGAGATAGATTAAGCACCTGGGTCGCTATGATGTGTGGATATCTTGAGGTAAATTACGATATTCTGGATAACTGCTCTGATGAGCGAGCAGTAAAATGGTTTAGTGTGACCTACGGTCGAATACACGAGGAAAGGTTCGGCCCCTTTGATAGACGTGTCTCAAAGCGACTCGGTTCCGGAAGAGAACTACCCGTGGACATGAGGGGGAACCCGTTGCCTAAGTAAGGTCTGCGGTGGCCCTGGGTTTTGCCTTTTCTGTATAATATGGTGTGGGAAGCATATAAAAGAAGTCCGTCTATATTTTATCAAGGTCCATACAACTCTTAAAGAGTTTATGAAATCGAGCTATGTATGATATTGATGTACTGAATTCCTATGATACGACTAGGCCAGAAAACCCATTTTTTGTACCAAAAGACCTTCATATCAAAATAAAATGGGAGCCCCTAAGAAAAGCATGCAAGTAGCGCTAATATTCGACGCAAAGAAGATGCCCAGGATCAACCTCAAATCCGCCATGCCTAGGAGTATCATTGACGCGTGGATCGAGATCGGGGAGCATGCGAGACAAGACATCTAGAGAAGACAATCTCAGTTAGTTGACTAGTTATATAGAAAATGGAACCAAATTGAATTTTACCAATTGCCGAAGATTTCCCTGCATTTGATGACTCGGCGGAGACCATTTCGTAGCCGGGGTCTTTCCTCCAGAAGCCTCGACAAGGCAAGCTGCAATTGCTGATCTTGGTCGAAGTTGAGCTCTGGTTTCTGGGGCATACAATACCTCATCAGACGGGACAGGTCCTCGATATCCGTCGCATGCTTGACACCCTGGCGCTGGTATTGTGACAGTAGCTTCTCCCGTGTGAGCCATTCAGCGCTAAACATCTTCACGGAGTACCCGTTGACGGTTTTTGTAACTCGTGTAGCAGTTTGAAGATTGTACTGCGGTCGGTTTGGCCAGCTGGGGAAATCAAATATTTCGACCTCCACAAGCTGTATGGAGCCTTCAGGCAAACGAAGTTTGTATGCGGGGATGACATGACCGAACTGGCTCACTGGACCGAAGTCGGATGGGAATGAATTCATCAATCTCTGGGTGAGTAGATCTGCAGTGATGGCTCGTTGATCAACGTGAATTACGAGGTCAACATCCTCCGTTCGTCGACTGGGGTCGGGTGCCGTGAGACATACAGCCGCGCCTCCCATGAGGGCATAGTCAACTTGCAATAAGTCCATGCTATGGGCAACGGTTGCAACGACATGTTCTAGCTGCGGCGGTAGTAGAACGGGCATCTTGAAAGCCTTCTATAATTTTTTGTTAGGTTTGGGGTGACAGAGTGAGCATATGCGGTGTGTTGCTTGATGTACCTTTTAATAAGATGAATCGTGGTGGTGCAGGTCGAGATGGAAGACGAATAAACGATGTGACCTCAAGTAAGGTGCATGGATGGTAAAGAATAAAAAGAAGCATGAATTGCTAAGTGAGAAATAGCGATAGAGAGTGAGAAAGAGGCGAAGGATAATTAATACTTGTTGAGAGCGGAGGTACATGATCCGCCTCGGCCCTTAGGCAAGGAAGGCTGCCACTAGGCCCCAGAGCCTCATCACCACCGGGGCCGTGACATCCCTGTTTAAGTGATCATATTTAAAGCGCCTAACCCATTAAAGTGACAATACATCCATGTAAAGGACATCTCCACCCAACCATTATAACAGACTAGCCAATGATGTGTGGTTTTAAGCGCTTACTTCCCGAGGTCGCGAACACCTTAATAGCCAATCAACTTCTTGGTCTACACTTTCTAGCTATGTAGGCTAAAATAATACCATATATAAAATTAGAAAGTCAGGGGAACAACATGTATACTATGTACGTACACAGTGTAGTGGGGTATAGGTCCTCACTACGTCTCTTTATATTTTTAGCTGTCTTATCATTGATGTACAGAAGTTACAACTATCAGGTAGTTGTACAGATTGAGAATATGTTACCAACGCTTTTTAGAACTCTTTAGGGGTTCTCAGAGGTCACTTTTGAATATCCTTTTCGCATAGCCTTTTTGAAATATTTTTGAATTCGTTTTGGGCATCTTTTTGTATGTTTTTTCAGGTGCATTTTTCACTTCTTCAGCCTATAAATGAATGAGTGTGCAGGTTCCTCGACTGATCTATCGCACATCAAAGACATACTCCATGCCCAGTCACACACACGTTGCTACAATCCCTGGCGGCAACTTCTTGATCAATCAAATCCTCATTTTATAAAGTGGCGCTATCCCTGTTTAAATCGCCTAACGCGGGCGTAGCTAGAGCTCCGCAAAGCCCATAAAGCCCATAGCCCAGCCCAGCCCACTTACGGCTTACGCTAGGCTTTAGGCCCGGGGTGAAAGCCCACTAGGCTTTAATGGGGGCCCAATAGGCCCCAAACAGTACAAATATGCCGATAATTTAGAAGTTAAACCCCCGTTCAGGGATTTGAAAATTACCTATCATTTCACCCCCGTTTCTAAGCCTTATTCTAAAGGTAATATTTTATTAATTTAAATAATTTAGAATTAATTACTAGTTATCTCTCTATATCACGTTTAAAAACGCGAGAAAGCGCGTTATTAAGATAATTTATAAATTACAGAAGTTCACTTAGAAAGTAGTAGTACTCCTATCTAGATCCTACATTCATATCGAGTGTTAAAATATTAATATTATACTTTTTTACAGTATCTCGACCTCTCCTGATCGGATTTTGTTTAAATTTGAAACTTATACTTATATAGCTACTACTATTATAAACTCTGATTTTAAAATTTATATAACTACTAGAAGGGTTAGAATATAATATTGTATAGCGACTATAAGATACCAGGTAAACCCACCTTAATGGGCTGTGGGTTGGATTAGGCTTCGATGGTTGGTCCCAGAGCCTACTGCTGGTTGGGCTTTGGGCCCGGGGTTCGGGCCCATTTATGGGCTTTGCGGAACGCTAGGCGTAGCATGCAAGGGTGCTGGTATCTGCTGACTTTCAAGTAGAAGTGTAAAGAAGGAATCTTTTACAACCTTAGCCCGTTATCGCCTTGGGGTCTAATTTCTTCCTGATTAGAGGTGTTAGCAATATAGCGGAATTGTCATCATTATGTGCTTTACCCCAAAGTGGATGAATACATCTTAACATCACTCCAGTTCCCTCTTGTGTTTCGCATGGAATTAGTCCCTAACCTGGCGAAGCAAGAGAACCGTTAGATCTTGTCTCATGGGTCTACATACCTAAGTACTAGAATGTACTCTGTAAATTTATGAACATTGAATCTTTCAAAGCCTTCTACTAGGCATTGACTTGTCACTCACCTCTCACAATCAAGCACTGCGGCTGGATGATTTTAGTATACATCTACAAGCAGTTTCCTCGTCACTACAAGCTACATTTTGTTTGCAAAAGAAAGATATAGGGCAAAAGGAAGAAAGAAGGAAGGGGGATTAATCCCAGACACAGCAGATACAGAACGCAAGTGGGGTCAGATAACATCCCCGAACTCTCACAAGATCCTGAGGACATAAATTGCGATTGTCATATTCCTGAAAGGTATGCCAAGTGGTCTAATTTCAGCAATTGGGGCCAAAAATGAGGAACCAAGCCAAAACTCTACGACGAAGGATCGCTGAAGGTTTGTTCCTGATCCACTCCGGCCCGCTTAGGAATTAGATCCCGGCGCTATATTCCATCCGCCAAGGTGGGGGGTCAAATCGTTGGGAGCGTAGCCGAGAAAGACATTTGATGTTTGCATCCGCTTCACGCGATCATGATTAAAATGCATAAATTTAAGATATAATGAGTGAAGAGGACTAGATTCCAGAGGATGACACGCGGTTGTATAAGATCAGAAGGGCTCACAGTTAAGGCTCACAGTTAAGGCTGACTTGCAGGTCAATCTCCAATTAATTAGCATTTTAGCACAACGGTGTGACGAAGTTTAAATTTGCAAGAATGACGACGCTTATGGATTTAACTCAACAAAAATCAAGTTGAAGTAAAGCCACGCCCCGCCGACCTCTTATCTATGTACCAACCTTCGAGCAACAGGTCTTCGTAGAAATATTCGACCGAGAAATCTGCTTGATAGCTTACCTATTTTTAGAAAAGGGTATTTTTGCCCAATCAAGATAAGTAAGAACAGTCTACGTAAACAAATTCCGTCAACGCTGCTAAATTTGGCCGGCATCTTGAAAATATGTGGAGAATTATTGTTATATTTGCCTAGCTTACCTCGGTATCAAAATTGACTTGGATAACGAGAGAAGCGGCGAGAGGGCGAGATGTACTAGTGTCTTGGTAGCAGGAGCAGTACTACGGAGATGTAACTTGTGCTTCATAATTATTGAACTCGATCTCCTTGGAGATTCGGCTCTGGGCCCACGCACATGTTTCATATTAATCATCACATCTGCGTCGTACGGAGTACGGACTACGGAATACCTATATCGCATAATTTTCGGGAATTATTGTGTTTCAACTTCTATTGGCTACAACTCACAGCTGTCTATTGAAACCAATAATGAGCATCTTGCATCAATAGCAAGTTCGAGCATTCAAGCGCACGTCCTCCCGCGGGCATCCACGGCCTCCCGCTCAGGACCAATTCCAATATTTTATCTATATTTTATACTAATCAGCAGGCGACTATTGCCTTATGAGGTTACATTGACATCGTGTGATCAGTCCCCTTGGCCAGGCTGTTGTGGTAACCCCTGGACTCCCACATCAATCACGATACAACCTGACAAGCCACTACACACTAGCATGGATACTCAATGTATCTCTTGCTTCATCAGGAATGGTCCACATGGGGTGGGGAAAAACATCCGACCAAACCCGCGATCCACCTTGCCACGTATGGATGTGTGTGCATAGACACAGGCAATGCGCCCCGCACTTCGATGTTCTATGCGGTGTGCATTTCGACCGAGCGGAGGTAGTCTCGTCCGATGGGGGGGAAGATTTACTTCGCATGGAATGCGAACCGGGATTCATGCGTCTATGGCTTCTCCCGAGAAACTGTTAGTTCTCGCGCAGGTAAACTAGCCCATAATATGACCTATCACACTCCGAGAAATTGATGAGGGAATTTTTCCACGTGCATACTGAAAACCAGTTTAACGTCATATCTGAACAAAGAAAATGACTTGGCTGATTAGAAGGATTCGGAGACTCGCCGATTTTCCGTGTTGTCTGTGCTAGATCCGAATGGACATATAAATATATAAACTGTGTAGATTGTCGGATGTTACACATTATTCAAACCTCGGAATTCAGAATGGCTACATGCGATTATACCGTTTCGCAGCACCATGGGATCGTCTCTCCTACCAGGCGGACTCATCTTCCAATCAATGTAGCAGGCAATATACCCAATTATAAGCGCTTCAACGAGGAACCTGTGATCAAGTTGTGTGAAATCACTCTAGGAATACGCGATGTATCCCTCCAGGTTAGCAAAACACCATCATGCTCATGAATCGACGACTAAATATGTTCAATGTAGCTCAAGATCCCTCATTATGATATTGTCCCCATCAATTCAGCGTCCCCATCTGCTGTGATCTATTCGCACGCAAATTTCAAGGCTTCCATCCAGCCAGAGAAAGCTGGAGACACCAAAGACTTTTATGAGAGATGCTTTGCTGAAGCTGCAGCAATTAACCTGTTCTTCCCCGACGTGCGATCGGAAAGCATCCGCATATGCATGACTGCGTGGCTAGCTGCAAACTGCGCGGCGGATGACATACTTGAGACCATGCCCCCTGCTGCTGCCACAATCGCTCTGAAAGAAGCAATATTGAAGCTCCAAGGAAAGAAGGCAAATGGTACGTATACTAAGAGCAACTACGGATGATTTTCCAGAACTGAGATTAATTCTCATGAATAGTCTCTCGAACAAACAAGGTGGCGTCAATCCTTTGCTTCTTCCAAGAATATTGCATCCAGCAACTTGACCTCAGTGAAAGTACTGCACGGGAACTCGGCAATGATATATGCGATATGTGTGGGGGCTTGCTTGACGAGCTCCTATTCCGACAAGGTATACTTGCCAACAACCTCGCAACTTATTTGCAGTTCCGCGGTAGGACAATGGGAATTCACCCATTTTTCACTCTTATCCGAACACTACACGAACCAATCGAAGGTCAATATCTTATCGGCCTCCGAGAGCTCCAGAAAAGTGTTAGTTTGGTCCTCGGGCTGCAAAATGACCTTGTTGGCTTAGAGAAAGATCGTCGAAATGGCGAGACCATGAATGCAGTGTTGGTATCCTTAGAAGAACAAGCGGGGATGGATATGGATCACATGGATATGATATTGCCAAGGACTATTCAACAGGTGTGCGATATCCACAATCTTTGCCTCTCAGCTGCAGTGGATATGCATGAAGGGCTCCATGTTTCACTAAACGGGGATTCGCACGATCCGATTCTTGAGACTGCAGTTCTGGCCTTTGCGGAAACCCATCTGAAATGGTGTGCGTCATCTAAGCGATATCAGGCAAAGGTAGAATAGATAACTGATTAGTCGAGTTAGTTTGATTGGGCTCAATATAAACATGGCGTTTAAGGTATGCGATTGAGTTGTCTCCACTTTGTATGTCACCCCGCAGGCGCCACGATGTGATAGGCAGGAGCGCATACAGTGCGTAGTGTAATAGACCCAGTCGGACGTTGGACTAGGGAGGCTCGAGCGATGTGATGAGCCACACTCGAGCTGCATGTATCCCACAAAAGTGGCGGTGAGAGATGTGGCGATGAAGTCGTGATTGGACAGTGGTACGTTGAACGCATGTTTTTGGTAAGAGTCAGGGGTTTGTTTTCACCACTAGGGTACTGCTTAAATTGCAGGTAGACCGTTTGAGATGGTAAGTCATCATGATCCAATATTAAATCTCGGACTCGAGGCATTGAATAACGACGCATTCTTCGACGCTACTGCAGATGCAGGATGCACCTCTGGGACTCCTCATGTGGCTTACGTGTTCAAGTATGTATGTGTAACTGTCCATGTGGCTTTCGGCAAAGTTCACTATCGAAATGCACATGAGCACACATACATGTATGGTTGTAGCGATGAGTTGGGATCTAGGTCGTCACGTCATTGAGCTCGGAAGCAAGAGCGAATCGGGAAAAGATGCCATATTTTGGGCTTGGTATGACAGAGAAACGTTTCTTTGAGTTCATCTGAAAATAGGTGCTATCCCACAGGCTGTTTCCTCTTTGGGTTGTTTTCTCTTGATGTCCGTGTCCAGTTTGGGCCAGTTTAGATAGCTCGGTAGAACTTTCCGCAACTGTCTTGATAGTGGAGCTTGAAGAGACACAAATACCTCGCGGATCTTGGCGAGGAGAAATATCCCGAGTTAGATAGGGACGACTTTCGAAGAATACAACTAGATCAGTCAAAACTACGCACACCAACCTCGAGTCCCATGCAGAGGAAAAGGCTACGCTAAAGGGCAGTGTTTGAATGCCCCTAATATCAAGGAACCGAAACAGCAAATTCAAAATCTTAAGAGAAAGCTCTAGGATTCAAGTGTCAAAATCTCAGCTACGAACATGGGTCCAATTTTTTCACCCTAGTCTGTGCAGAGAGTCTCCAGAAAATGGTGCCACCGCCAAAACTTCGTTCATTTTCCAGCCAGGAGGATAAGGGGCTGAAGATGGTTTCCGTTCGGAATATAAGAATCCCAGTAGGCTTAGGTTTTAAATCCTCTCACTTATACACCTTCATATATGTACGTGGCCCCGGGTATGATACGTACATACATAGTCCGTAAGTGAGCGACCGGCCCCCGAGGCAGGAAAGAAGAAAGCAAATGCAGAAAGTACAATCAAAGTGGGGTTAGACATGTGACAGTCACGACACCTAGACAGTTCACAAAACAACTTCCAGAAACCGCCTATAACGACAAGACACAGCCACGTCCAAGGGTGCACTGAGACGAGAACTCATTAGCTCCCGGTATCGGCATCATAGTGGACCGTATTTCAAAAATGCCGAGATCTGGATCAGAACCATCGGCAAGCCACATTGAGGAATGTCCAAGATATGCAACTGTCATTCAGAGACAACCTGGGATCAGTACGAAATCAGTAATCAACGAAGCCCTGAATACTCCAGAAATTTTGGAGATGATCCTGATTGAGTTGGATATGCGCACACTTCTCACATCCGCTCAACGAGTCTGTCACACCTGGGTCAACATGATCAGCAACTCGCCGTCAATCCAAAAGGCACTTTTCTTCACTCCGATCAAGGACTCAGAATGGGGAGAAAATGTGGAAATGCTCAACGCGCTATTGACGGCCACTTTTTCTTCTATATTTCCCGCCAAGGGCAGACTGGATGACTATAAGCTCAACTTTTTCGACTTGACAATGGCCAAAGGCTCAGCTATGAATCAATTCGTACGAAGGAGCGCAAGCTGGCGCAGGATGCTAGTCCAACAGCCCCCTATCTCGGATATCGGAATGTTCCAGGTTTACCACGGAATGACCGGCGATAGGTCTGTGAGCTCTATTATCTGTCAGTTTCCAACCCAAGTCGCAATCTGATTTTGAACCCTCGGGTGGCTAATCTATGTTATGTAGACCAACGGATACATACAAGGATCCAAATACAATGATCTCCGGATGGAAAGGCTCTTCGATCTTATGCTCTTCATTCCCATGGTCGAATTGTTGAGTTTCTCCAAAGTACGAATGTATTGGTCTACTGAAGAGCCGATCGCCTTTGACGAGACCTACTATAATATCAACGATGAGTTCCATCGGGTGATGAGCAAGTTTGGTTTGGTTCTGTTTACACGGGAGATGGCGAGGCGCTCCATGGGCAGGAGGGGTCGTCTAAGTGAAGAGGAATTTATCAAAATGAGCCTTGTCACAGCACATAAGGATTGGGGGTTTAATGTTAATTTAAAGAAGATAGATATCATAAAATCGATAAGCGAAGTAGGTAACTTAAGCGGGGTCGCCGGCAGGCGCCTCCCCCCGCGCGTCCATAATCGGGAAAGTGCACAATTTGTTAGACATTACGAGTGCAAACTTTTGATATGATTGAATATTGAATATTTAGTTCAAATTGTAGACCTCGGTGCTCAAATATCAGTCAAGCTCTGCTCTCTCTATCGCATAGTTGAAGATGCCAATGACTCGATGCGGACTATCTCTAGTGACTTGTCTCTGATTTGCGTGTCAAAGTATTCAACCGAAAATGGTGATGCAACCCAGTGTTTATCTGATTTCAAAAAAATGGACAATACTGACGCAGGCAGAGATGGGGATAGATGTGGAAGAGAAAGTGCACGAGAACAAGTGATCCTTGGGAATCAGTTGGCACCTTTTTTATTTCTTATACAGCTTTCTTGATTGAAAACTACCATTTTACTTGACTTCAAAATATGCGTATGTTGTATGTTGTAGATGTGTCGATCCTATCCGAGTTTAGTAATAATCAACGGTGGCGAACATCAAAGTCTTGCGTGTGCGGAGTAGATATAGTAGAAATAAGAGGAGAAAGATAGTAATTAGTCTCGATTGCGAGTGAAGTCTAGATTTATTATGAGATTTAGTAAATATTTATATGTTGTATATTTCGCAGTGTTCATCTAAGCACATATTTTTTCAAAAAAAAAAGGGCACGATGCTGTGGTTGGATAAGCACACCTAGTTATATCATGGAATATATATCTAGGTTCCCCGTGTTCTACTATATGTAGTGCAATACCATCAAACAATATAGAGTTGATCGATGCCAAGATGTAACACTAGAGGCAAATCTTGATTTCGGAAGTTGATAACCGGAGAATTTCCACCGTGTAGCCGTTGTAAGACTTACAATATACTACATTGTAGTCTACAATTAGAATAATATGAGAAGTTGACATGATATTCCCTGAATTTGGACGATGATATCAGCCAATGACTTGTGTGGCTGAACTCTCCACCCAAATAGATTAAAATGATCTCATACCCACTCTACGCTCATACCTCTACCCCGACCGTGATCCGGTTCTGCTTGTTAGTACTATCATTTCTGGCTTCTAAATATACAATTCACGAATAGCAACAGAAATATCATTCGTAAAAATCATTATTGAACAATATGTTTACTGTAGGTACATAATCCTTTGTATATAAATTGTTTACGTGGAGAAACATAAAGTTAGTGGATTGTTGCACTGTTCAAGGGTTTTCATATAACTTCTGATGTAATGATGATTCGGATTGCAGCTGGCGAACCGGAGTTTTTCTTTTTGAATTTTTCCTCAAACAGGGACATTGACAGACAGGGACAGGAAGTGACAGGTAGTGGAGGCAAATTGCACAGTGGACACCGTATGTGGTCTCTGTGATAGATCTCTGATTTGTTCGCCCACATTTTTTCAACGTGTGAAATAGCGTGGCCTCGGGTGGGCATCCATGGAAAGGCCCAGCCCTAGACCAATCATGTTGCTTTTTGAGATTTTAATTGTCCGGATAGTCTAGAACCTTGGGACTTGACGTATTTCAGGTCAGGAACATGATATGGGTGAATACGGTATCGGAGTTCTACTCGGAGGAGATCTCATCGGTCGTGCAATGAATCCAATGTCTGTACTTCAGACAATAGGCGTGTGCCGATGTAGAATATCGGGACTTCTGAATTGTACAGATCAAAACCCCAGCCATGCTAAAGAAGCACAGAGCTCCACCTCCACCCTCCTTCTACACCCCGATTGAGCCACGCTCCCCCCAGTATCCCAGTCCCGGCACTCTGATTCGTGCGTCCACCCTGCAAGACTATATGGATCAACCATCTCCCAGACGAGTCTCCGCTTGGCAGGTCATCTAATCGCCCCACTCCATGATGCCGATGATGCTACTAACGGCCCTACCACGCTCTAGCCGTACATTGTATAGATTAACTCTGTGACGATCCCCCGAACAGGGATTTTAAGCAGAAATAATATTACCCCAAGGCCGTTATGATATCAACGGTCCATGACGTAGTAGGCTCTGCAGGTATCGTGCTTGTATAGACAGCTATAATGGACTTGGTTCGATGATATCAGAATCATTGAACTCTTTATATAAACACCTGAGCTCGTTCCTGAAATTGTTTTTTTTTTTCCATTATTCAAACATATTCTATTTCTATCCATCTAGAAAACAAAACTTACCTACACCACTCGCGAACTATACCCTGTTCCCGAGATTTGTATATTATCATTCCAACCGCATACGTTTTACGAAGTATACCTCACGTTCTTAACGGATACAACTGAATAACGCTCAATTTTCAATCATCCAACTCGATTTCAATTCTCTACATCAACAAAAAACCAACTCATCTCAAATACCATCCAAAACCAACCCAGAACAACAATGTCCTCCCCCGCCGTGAGCAAAGCACCCCCCAAGCTGGGCTCCAAGGCCGGAACCCCCGCAAAAGCTCGCAAAGCCTCTGGCTCCAGCGCAGCCAGCAAACCCAGCACCACTGGCGCAAGCCCCAAAGCCACGAAGAAGACAACCACACCCCGCAAACTCTCCCAGAAAGCCCCCGAACCACTCGACGACGATATCGAAGAACAGTCCATCCCAGAGACACCTTCCCCGAAGTCGAAGAAGCGCACCGAGCAGCGTCGCCCCATCTCCCCACCCGACGACGCAGCCTCCCAGGCTCCTTCCGCCTCCGGCTCCGCAGCCCCACTTGGCCGCGCTGCCTCAGGGTTGTCTGGTAAGGCCAAGGGCCTCGCCGGTAAGACAAAGGAGACAGTCCAGCAAGGTTCCGAGGGTGTGCAGAATGGTGCGAAAAAGGCCACCCAAACTGCCACCGATAACCTGCCCGTGCCATTTGACTTATCTGCATTGAAGGGTCGTGAGGTCGCCGAGGGCGGGAATATCCTTGGACAAGATGGGAACCCCATTGGCAAGGTTGTCGAGGGGGATGCGGAGGATCTTGTCGGACAGACTGTTGGCGACGATGGGGAGATCGTTGATGAGGATGGTGATTTGATTGGTCGCGTTGATATCCTACATGAGGTCGCCGACCAGGCTAAGAATGCTGCCGACGACGCCCAGGAGAATGTTGGAGACGTTGACCTGGAGAAAGTTGTTACGGATATCGCTCAGCTTGAAGGCCTTCCTGTTTCCGATGGTGGTGTTATCAAGAACGCTGCTGGTCAGATCGTCGGCCGGATTGTTGAGGGTGATCCTGAAGACCTTATTGGGTATACCCTTAATGAGGATGGTGAGATCGTTGATGAAGAAGGCGATGCCATTGGCCGCGTTGATCTGATTCCTGTGGATGAGCAGAAAAAGGCTATCGAAGATACTACTGGTGATGCCGCTGATAAGGTCGGTGGCGCTAAGGATGACCTTGAGGATCAGTACGAAGATGCTCAGGATGGTCTCGACACCGAACAGGCTAAGAGTGCTGTTGATGGCGTCGCTGATGAGGCCAAGGACGATGTTTCTGACATCGAAGGAAATGTCGACAAGGCTAAGTCTACTGCCGAGGATGCTGCCTCCGACGCCGGGGACGCTACCGATGACGTGGACGGTGTTGTCGACGATGCCACGGACGCCGCCCAAGATAGCAAGATCGACCTCGAAGATAATGTCGAAGATGCTAAGACTGCCGCCGACGACGCCGGTGAAGACGCCACTGATACTCTCGATGACAAGCTCGAGAGTGCTAAAGACACCACCGAAGATACCGCCGAAGAGGCAAAGGACACCGCCGAAGACGCGGCTGAAGACGCCAAGGACACCACCGAGGACGCGGCTGGAGACGCCCAAGAGACCGCCGAGGATGCTGCCGAAGATGTCGAGCAACGGATCCCCGGGCTCGAGACCCTCGAAGGCAAGGTCTGTAACAAGCTCGGCTACATCATCGACCAAGCGACCGGCAAGCCTGTTGGCCAACTTACCGAAGGCGACGCTAAGAAAATCTCCAAGCTCGGCGCCACACTCGACGACAAGGGCCAGTTCTGGGACAACCGCGGCAACGTGATCGGTCAAGCCAAGGCACTCCCAATTGAGGAGGACGAAGGCGAAGAAGGCCCCTTCTCCGGTCTAGAAGGTCTTGTCGTCGGCGAAGACGGCTTTGTCGAAGACGAGAACTCGACTCGCGTTGGCCGCCTAATTGAAGGCGATGCTAAGAAACTGAGCGGCCGCGGTGTTGACGAGGATGGAGAAATCCTCGATCGCAAGGGTAACGTCATCGGGCGCGCTGAGCGCCTCGAACCCGAGGAGGAAGAGCCAGAGGAGGAAGAGGTCGGACCTGATTTCTCTGCTGTCAATGGTCTCACCTGCAACAAGGCTGGCTATGTCATCGGACCCGAGGGGTATCCCATTGCCCGTATTGTCGAGGGAAACCCCAAGGAGCTTGCCGGTAAGAAGATCGAAGACGGCGAGATCTACGACGGAAAGAAGGTCGTTGGCCGTGTTGAGCTCATCCCTGAAGATGAGCTTGAGAGCAAGCCCGAGGGTCCCTTCGCTGGTATGGATAGCCTCTTTGTGACCAAGGATGGATTCGTCGAGGATGATGAGGGATCCATCGTTGGTAAGCTAATCGAAGGCGACGCGAAGAAGCTTCGTGGTCGCGCTGTTGACGAGGATGGCGAGATCACCGACAAATACGGCAACGTCAAGGGTCGTGCGGAGCCTTACGAACCTCCCCAGGAGGAGGAGCCTGCCGAGGAGGACCTTTCTATCCTCGAGGGCAAGGTTGTTAACAAGTCCGGTAACGTCGTTGACCCTGCCACTGGTGCTGTCGTCGGACGCATTGTCGAGGGTGACAAGCGCCTCGCTGGATGCAAGGTCGATGGCAAGGGCCAGATCTGGGGTGACAATGGCAAGGTTGTTGGACGTGCTGAGCTCATTCCCGGCGCCGAGAAGCATAAGGATGAAGGCCCATTCTACGGTTTCGACAACGCCGTTGTCGGCAAGGACGGAGTCGTTCAAGACGGTGAGAAGATCATCGGACGTGTGATTGAAGGCGACGCCAAGCGTCTTCTCGGTCGCAAGGTTGATGAGGACGGTGATGTCCTGGACAAGAACGGCAACACAATCGGCAAGGCTGAGCGCTGGGAGCCCGAGGAGAAGAAGCGCGATGTCAACCCCATGTCTGGGCGCAAGATCACCAAAGAGGGCGAAGTCCGCGATGCGGATGGAAACCTCATTGGCAAGCTGACCTCGGGTAACCTCGCTACGCTGGTTGGCAAGACTGTCGATGACAACGGCTACGTTGTTGACAACGATGGTAACAAGATTGGCGAATGCACCTTGCTTGAGAACATCCCCGAGCCTGAGCCCGAGGAGCCCGAGGAGCCCCAAGAGGATGAGGAAGAGGGACCCACGGCCGAAGAGCAGGAGGCTGCGGCTAAGGCCGAATCTGATCGTCAGCTCGCCGAGAAGATGATCTCCATCCTCAGCCAGACCCTTGATCGAGTCAAGCCTGTTTGCAAGCAGATCGAAGAGGTAAGTTACAATCCGTATACGAATCATTTGAACCAAACGTACTAATATAACATCTAGGCCTGCCAGAAAGCTGACCGCACCCCGAAGGAGGAGCTCGACGAGGAGAAGCTTGTTCAAACCGTTAAGCCGCTCCTCGAAGAGGGAGGCCGCATTCTGCAAGAGTGCAACGGAGCTGTCCGTGCACTCGACCCCGATGGACGCATCGCCGCGACTGCTAAGGCGCGCGCTGCTTCTCGTGATGCCACTCCTGAGGAGTACCAGCTTGCCGACATGATCAAGGAGCTCACTGAGACGGTCATCAAGACTATTGATAACGGCAAGAGACACATCGCCGATATGCCTCATGCGAAGAAGAAGCTGAGCCCACTCTGGGGTTTGCTCTCCGAGCCATTGTTCCAGATCATCGCTGCCGTTGGCTTGTTGCTTAACGGTGTGCTTGGACTGGTTGGCCGTCTGCTTGATGGCCTTGGTCTTGGTGGATTGTTGAATGGTCTGCTAGGCAGTCTCGGATTGGACAAGTTGATTAGTGGACTTGGTCTGGGCAGTTTGACTGACGCTCTTGGACTTGGTGGAAAGAAATGAAAAGTTGGAATGAACTTGGTTTGAACTTATTGTTGGCGATGCTTTTGTGATTTTGTCTTCTTGATGTTTTTGCCAGCGTTGATTGCCTTGGTTTTGGTGTACTTTTTCTAATTTCCTGTACTATCACTTCTCTCGAGATTAATGAACTGAACATGACTTTTGATTTTGAATTCATTTTAATCTATTCACAAATATTAATAGTCTCGTAAGTACAGGTATGCAGAATAGCAGAGTACAATTTCCATGCTTGGTTTCATCAAAATCCACCCCTCTGAGATTTGTTATATCTCTCCTCAGATCAAGATAATAACACACGTAGAAGGAATGGACATGTTCATAATTACAATGAGGTTGAAAATTTCAATAATGCACCTCTCAGGGCGCTTTTGTGGCAACGCCAACGAGGGAACTACCCAATTGAACTAGTGTCCATTGTCGATTGTTCCATAGAAGATGGCGTGGCCCATACTAAGTCAATGTGTCTTGGATGTGTCAGTCGAAGTGCGAGACTGATTTATGTGGGACGATTCACCGAGGTTGCGATAGGCTCTGTCTCTCTCGGCAGCCTTATCCTTTCGGATAGTAAGGCAGTTAATACCGAGGAAAGTGGTGATGCGGTTGATGACCAGAACTGCCCAGTGCATGTAGATAACCAGTGCGAAGAAGAAGTACACCCAGAGATAGAGAAGTTCCAGCCACGGGGCGACTGCCGGGAAGCCAATCATGGGCAGGTTGATGAGGACCGCGCCACCAATGAGGGGAGCCTGCATAACAGTCCAGAGGGGGAAGGGCTGTCTCAAGAGATGGGCCAAAATGATCATGGTTGTCATGCGTCCGAAGACGAATGCGATGACCCAGCAGAACAAAACAAGGTGGTTGCCGGAAAGGACAGTCGAATAAGGCGAAAACAGCCAAGCAATGTTCGAGACAGTGAAGATGATCATAGGCACCCACTCCTTAAGCAACGGGGCGAATGGCAAGCCCTGCTTCTTGCGGGCCTCAGCTACATTCAAGACACATCCTGGGAGATGTCCGAGGAAGAAGCTACCGACGAGAATCACGACCCAGAGGTCTTTGATGGAGTTGTTGCCGAAGATTTGGGGGAAGTTAAGGAACCCAACAATGGGTTGAGACCACATTCCAGGGCCCCAGATTCCGGAGGCAATCATAGTTGCACAGGCGATGATCAGGCCCTCAGTCGGGCCATTGAAGTAGCCGAGGTAGAGTGTGTGGGTGTGGAACGTCTCCCATGTGGAGAAGTACATAGCCAAGCAAGGCACGAGTGCAGTCCAAGCACCAAGTTGCGAGGCTCCGAAGCCCATTGCCGCCGTCGAAAGCAAACTGGCCAGAGTGCAGTTCAAGGAGTCGATGCCGTGACTGTACCTAATTAGTGATCCATCCATGGGTATTCGGAGGGCGGTACAAACTCAAAAAGTTCTCCGAGTCCACTGGACGTCCCGGTTCGGCGTGCCTGTTTACCATCCACATTGTCGAGGGTAGAGTACCTATCCATGTGAGTTGGAGTCATATAGATAGAGGGTAGCCGGTCACTCACATCCACATGCCGAGAGCGAAGCTGTAGTAAATCCATGAGGGGCCCTAAAATGTCCGGTTAATTCGCCACTTCCGATAAAACACCGAGTAGGGATCAGGATCAGGAACACTCACGGGTCCCACCAGATCTGGCACGAAAATCTGAATGATGAAGATATTGGCCACGATCCACATGAACCCAAGAAGGGTCACCATGTTCGGGGCCATCCACATCGGCACAACTTCGACGAAGGCATTCCACTAAGCAGGGGAAAAGTCAATTGTTTGTTCTGAACGTAACTCGCGCAAGGCTGCAGGGTTTTCATACGTAGTGCTTCAAAATATACCGAGAAATGAACGACTTGTCGACACTCGAATACTTGTAGGACTTAAGGGGTAGGAGGGCATCGTCGGAGAGGGAATCTTGGGTCTCTGTAGGATTAAAACCCCCAAAATTAGCAAAGTATTCGGAATAAATATGCTAGTCGCAGTCTCCATATCACCAACCTTGGACCATTCGATAGATCGCGTTCATCTTTGGAGATTGGGCCGTGTCATGCGCGGAGTTGTAGTATAGTCGGGGGGTAAACACCAACACCTCAGTTCATAGCGAGGCGGGCAAACAAACGGGTAAAATGGACAAATGCACAGCAAATCAAATCATGCCTTTAAATACAAATGTCGACTCTCAAGAATACGTGGAGAAAAAGGAGAAGTGGAAATTGTTCCAGATGGATTTTCAGGTCGGAATCACGTGCTTTGCTCCGCATCGGGAACGCGAACAAGGGAAGCTCGACTTGACCGAGACCACACGGGATTTGCCAGGGCATTGTTCGGACTTGAGTCGCATCGTCGCAGCTAATCGCGCCCTCGAACCCGTTGATTCCCCTTCACTTAAGTGTTCGCTCAGCACTACGATCTACCTCAGCGCCCTGCTGATACTCCACCGTGATAATCGCGTAATCGCCCATCTCGCATTTCACCGTCATCTGGAGCTCGAATCTGCGCAACGCGAACTGCTCTTAGATTTTTTTTTCCCCTCACTTGACACTACAATCACATATTGAGTCTGGTTGGATATGACGGTGGATGGTCTTCAAAGCGCCCCCCGCGCATCCCGTCATTGAGGAACCATTCCTTCACGATGCCGGGTGTTGTCGAACTCCCCGTTGGCACCGCGGCACGCCCGTTTGATCTGGGATTCACCGTGGGACATCAGAAAGTCGAACTCGAGATTGATCTAGCATCGAAAAGCCTCAAGGGACGGACGGAAATCACAATTCACCCGCGCCGCAGAGATCTAGGGACAATCTGGTTGAATTTTCGACAAGGTGAGGTCAAGCAGCTGAGTGTCAACGGCAAGCCTGCAACAACCAAATACACCGACCATTATGAATCGCTACAACTCTACGGTGTACATTATCACGAGCGGTTGACGCCAAAGATCCACACCCTCCTACAAACTCCCCCAAGACCTACCCTGCCCATCACAATTCCAAAGGGTGTCCGCATCGATGAACTAGATCCATCTTCAGCCGAAGCACAGGATCAAATCGCACTACAGTCTACGGTCGAAAATGTGGATGGCCCTTCGAGTGCCAGGGCGCCAGAGGCAAACCTCCCACGATTCATGGCGCTAACAGTGAACATCGAATTTGTTATTGATCATATTCGGGATGGCTTACAATTTGTCGGTGTCGAAAATGGAGATCGACGGTATCCTCATGCCTACACCACCAACTCACTCGAATCTGGTATCGGCTGTCCCTTGTTTCCATGCGTGGATGATATGTCCTCGCGATGTACCTGGGAGGTTTCCATAACATGTCCTAGCTCACTTGGTGATGTTTTCGACCGCAAGAAACAAGAGGCGTCCAGTGCAGCAACCTCATCCCACTCCAAAGCGCCGAACCGCCAGCTTTCTGCGGACGATGAGGGCCTTGATATGTCAGTGGTGTGCTCCGGCGACTTGACCGATGACATTGTCGATCCCAAAGACCACACCCGCAAAACAGTTTCGTTTGCCTCGTATTCACCGCTGGGGGCTTTGCAAATTGGGTTCGCCATTGGTCCATTCGAGTATGTCAATCTGGCCGATTTCCGCGAGAGTGACCAGGATGAACAACTTGGCCAAAATGCAATTCCTTTGCACGCATTCTGCCTCCCAGGTAGAGCCGACGAAGTTCAAAACAGCAGCTTTCCCATGGCTCAAGCTATCGACTTTTTCTCTTTGTCGTACGGGTCGTATCCATTCGGAAGTTACAAGATGTGTTTTGTCGACGATCTCCCAACTGACAGCCTTCCCACTGCATGCCTGTCAATCTGCAGCAGTCATTTGCTCTTCCCAGCCGAGATGATCGACCCCATGTACGACTCCACTCGGGCTCAAGTGCATGGTCTAGCATGTCAGTGGACTGGAATCAATATCATTCCTGCCGAGCCCTCGGATACATGGGTGACGGTTGGTGTGGCATGGTACATTACAGATACATTCATGAGAAAGCTTTGCGGAAACAATGAATACCGTTTCAGACTGAAGCAAATGTCTGATCAAGTTTGTGACCTGGATTATGAGCGCCCCTCGATATACGACATGGGCAACATTCTCAAAGTTGACCCATCGGAGTATCGCTTTGTTGCGTTGAAAGCGCCTTTGGTCTTGTTCATCCTGGATCGCCGACTGACCAAGGCGAGTGGCAAGGCCACAATGTCTCGCATTATTTCTCGACTTTTCTTGAACTCTCGCATGGGCGATATTCCTAACGGAGCTGTCACCTCTTCCCTGTTCCAAAAGACATGTGAGCGACTCGGTCACGCAAAATTAGACGTCTTCTTCCAACAGTGGGTATACGGCGCGGGCTGTCCACGATTCCAAGCGACCCAGCGATTCAACAAGAAGAAACTGGTTGTTGAGATGATGATCAGACAGGTCCAGTCTGAACCACAACCCCCTCGCGATCTCGACAAGGATTCCTTCTTGCGTGACGTGAAGGAAGAGGTCCGGCACGTCTACGCGGGCGCAGTTCAGCCGGTCTTCACGGGGTCGATGACCCTTCGGATTCACGAAGCAGATGGAACTCCCTATGAGCACATTGTTGAAATCAAGGAGGGGGTGACGAAGTTCGACATCCCATACAACACGAAGTACAAAAGGCTCAAGCGCAACAAAAAGCAAAGAGAAAGAGCCGTCGCCTCGGGTGATGCTGAAGTTCAAGAAGAAGTTCTACTCTACTGCCTAGGAGATGTGCTTCAAACCGAAGAAGAGACACAGGCTTGGCGTTTGGCTGACTGGACGAAAGAGGACGAGGAGCGAATGGGACAGGAATCTTATGAATGGATCCGAATGGATGCAGACTTTGAGTGGGTCTGTAAACTGTCTCTCGGTATGCCAGGGTACATGTATCTCTCTCAGCTTCAGCAAGATCGAGATGTTGTAGCCCAGCTCGAGGTAAGTCGTATTGCTGTTTTCACCGAATGGATACACGATGCTAACATTTTCAGTCATTACAATACATGACTGCTCAACGAGAGCACCCTCTGATTTCCACAATCTTTGTTCGAACACTCATGGATAGTCGATACTTCCATGGCATACGTACCACGGCTGCACGTGCCTTAGTAAAGCATGCTAAGGATGAGATTGATTGGGTTGGACTGCATCATCTTGAGAAGGCGTTTCAGGAGCTTTTCTGTCTCCCAGGATCGCCCATGACTCGCTCAAACGACTTCTCTGACCGAGCGGCCTACATCCTCCAACAAGTCATCCCAGACGCAATATCTAAAGTCCGTGACAACAGTGGCAAAACTCCATTGAGGGTGAAACGATTCCTTTTCGACAAACTCAAATTCAATGACAACTCAAACAATGAGTACTCGGACAACTTCTATGTTGCCTCCTTGATGAAGTCCCTATGCCATGCCATGCTTGGTAAAAGCGAGGCGCGGACGGATGAAGAATTAGACCATTTCGATATGGAACGTGTCCTTGAGGCTCAGGCCGAAGAGCAACTGGACAAGGATGCTATCGCCGAGTTTGATCGCTATCGACGAATGGATGAATGGTCGAGCTCTTTCCAGAACCTCTACTCCCGAGCTGCACTCCAATGCCAGGCGCAATTAATGCAAGCCAAGATGATGGACCTGGATTTGATGCGTTTCATCCCGTATACGCGAGCAGGGACCTACGATCTTCTCCGGATGCAAGCTTTCCAATGCTTGGTCGACCTTGATATTTCCCAAAGTCCGGAGCTACTTCGATGGCTCATGTTCACATTGTCGGCTGACTCCTCACCCTGGATACGCCACCAATCTTTACGTTTGCTCGGTCAGACCCTGGCACAGATTGCTTTCGGTCGTCCTCAACAAACCGAAGCCTTCCAAAATGACGGTTTGATCATCGAACAAGAATCCTCCACCCAGATCCGCCGAGATGACATCGCACGACGCCAGACCATTCCTGGCGCTATTGAAGCCCTCAAGCGAGAGCTTGCTGCTGACGCATCTATGAAAGAATGCATGTGGGCAGCTTGTAACTCGCCATGTATGGGTCTCTTGGAGCTCTCGGAGCTCACTGACCTTTGCCGTACTCTGTACGACCCAATCACCTCTAAGTTCGTGCGGATGAAACTCCCGCGATATTGGAGTGTGCAAAATCAAGGCCATGGCAAACTGCGTTTCTATCGATCTACCAAAGCCCGTCTGGGTCCATCTTCCAAGCGCAAACGCGAGGATCAAGGCGTGCACACACCCTCATCAACCCGTATTACATTCAAGCAGTCCAAGACCGGCCTGGCTTCAGGAACGCCCACTCCCAACCATCTCCCCAAAATCCACATTCCCAGACCATCCCCTGCGCCAGGCGCAACCCCCAAAGCCCCTGCAACGTCTACACCCAAGCTAAAGCTCAAGTTTGGTGGTCGACCAACATGAATATCCAACGTTGTTCCTTCGAATATCACATGTATTTTACCCATTATTTCTTTTATTATTTCCGTCCGTTGCCATTGACTCAGGCAGGAGGATGGAACCAAAGCATGCTCCTAGGCGCGATGTCTATTCAGCTTTATCTTCCGATTTCAATACCAGCTAGCTATGCATTATGTTGATCCGCCGAATACACAGTATAGGTGTAGACAGTCAGAAAGTCATTGGGATAGCCATGGTAGTCTAAAATGCGCCCTGGCAAACGAGCAGAAAAAAAGATAGAACAGAAAAAAAAAAGGTTTTGATTGTTCCCATAAGAGAAACCGACCCAGAAACTCCCAGTAGCATTAGATCTTTTCCCAGCACTCGGTGATAGAGTGGTGCCTATGTGCGTGCCCCTTCAATCAAAAGAAACGTCGTAGATGGTGTGTGTGGATGTGTTGCTTATTTATCGGTAATGCGCTCAAGGGCCTCAAGCATGACGACGGAGTTACCGCGAATGACCTGAACGAGTATCCGTTAGCGGGGTCCTTGACATCCGTTCATAGAGATTTAACGTACGATCATGCCAATGGAGACCTTCTCTCCGCCATCCTTCTCCTCGAATGCCTCATCCAGAACAATGTTCATGAAGACCTGCGCAAAAGTATCGTCAGTTATTCCGCGCTTGATCGGTACCGTCTTCCTCCCGGCTTCCACGGCGCGCCAGGGAGCAACCCGACATCGCAAAGACAAAGTCATGGGGTGTGAACATACATCGTAGCCTCGAAGGATACCGATAACTTTGCGGTTGCCGTTCAGTTGGCAGAAGACCCGCTTCTCCATGTACTGCAGAAAAGACACGACGTCAGTTGAGATCTCGGGACAAAAAAGACCGCACATAGTAGGGGAAGCACTAACCTTCTTCAATTCAGGCTGAGCTTGAGGCATATTGGGCGAGTTGGTGGGGTATCTTGGGGTTTGGCAAGATTCAAGTCACCGCGGTGGCTTTGGGAGTTTGGTGCAAGCTGTGTCGGAGAAACGATATTGCGGATATGAGATACGCGATAAGAGCTCTCAAGTCCACACTTTCACGCCACCAACTTGCATCGCTTTGTTTTCGCGTCGTTTGATTGCTGTGTAATTCCAAAGATGAGCTCTAAGTTTGCCAATCGCAGAAAGCCCCGCAAGGTTGGCGGGGATGATGAGGAGGACGATGGAGGTGCTGCGCCAGGTATGTGGGCTAAGATTACTTTTTTTCTACCCTAGACATTCGCCTACCAAGACCGAAACTAACACGGAGATATACAGAGCCAGTCGTTAAGCGCCCAGCCGCCTTTAGGCCAAAGCAAAAATCCAAATTGCAGTTATCCTTTGGCCCCGAGACGTCAATGAACGATGAAGACCAAGAGAGCGAAGTAGTCCTACCGAAACGCCACGGTCTGGGCCGCAAGGCAATAGAAAGGAGTGGTCAAATCCCCTCAGTGTCGTCTGAGAAACTTTCCGCTCGAGTCAACCAGGACCAAGACCGGCCTACCTATAGCCATGACTACTTGAAGGAACTTCGCGACTCCACACCCTCAACACCAAAGACAACTACCGACGATGAAAGCAGCAAGGCTGTTGATGTTGCAGCTAAGTTTGGGGAGATTATGACTATTCCGGGACAGGCCCACATCCCCAGCGAAGCTGAGATTCGAGAGAAAAAGGCCCGACGCGCACGTCTGGCTATGGAACACGGCGCGGGGGAGGACGAATTCATTTCATTGGACGTTAACAATGCAGCCAACACCGATGACTGGGATGCGGTTGTACGAGGGGAAAAAGAAGTCGAAGAAGACACAAGACTGGTTCGGGATGATGAGGACTTTGCGGAAGGGTTCGAGGAGTTCTTCACAGAGGATGGCAAGATGGCGCTTGGGCGAAAAGCAGAGCGCGAGAAGAAGCGGAAGGACCGTGAGGCAATGCGTGACCTCATTGAGGATGCCGAGGGTATCTCCGATGAAGACGACTCTGACTTGGAGGAAAAGGCTGCTTATGAAGCCGCTCAGGTTCATGCGGCCATGGGTCATGGCAAGTCAGCTGGCATTGATCGTCCGAAGACTCCTCCCAAGGTCACATCTCTTCCACGACTGACTAGTAGTTTTGAACGATTGCGCACGTCTCTCGCGTCCATGGAAGGCTCGAAAACACAGATGATCAGCCGAATGGAGGAATTGAGGAAGGAGAAGGCAGATATCGCGATTCGGGAGGTGGAGATCCAGGCGATGATAAAGGAAGCTGGCGACAACTACGAGCGACTCAAGAAGGAAGCTGCTGTTGTCTCGAGTGCAAAGCTCGATGCCTCCAATGGAGCTCTAGAAAAGTCTCGAGGATTGGAAAGTATCGGTGCTCCTGTGCCTGTACCAAGAAGAGGTTCCTCAATGTCGGATTCCTCGGATTCCAGCTTTGAGGATTCTTCATAGTGCTTTCCTGGCTGCACCTGTACCTACCTTCCAGGCGGCCTGGATGCTCTTGCTACTAGATCCTCTCGCATCGTCTTCGTGGAGTCACTCCTTGTTTCTTTTGATACCCAATGAACGAGTTCTGTATTATATCTCTATCTTCATTCGCCCACCCTTAGGTTTATCCACCCTTCTTTTATCCAGAGCTACACACTAGATTCCCGACTACGCTCAAAGTGCTAATTAACATGCACTATTGCAAGACGATCCATATCTATCTCACAACTGATTCGACGCCTTACTGACCGACTCCAACGGAGAAGCCCAGCGTGCCAATCAATAGCTGAAACTTTGATGTGACACTGGACAGCTATGTACCTCATCGTGTTGTCAGACAGCTGGGGATCTCCAGAAAGCAACCTTTTACACCTTGAGTGAGTCTGAGTTCGACTTGTCTGGCTAAGATTAAGCTCGTTGGGCACTCATGCGACCTGACCGTTTTATGTGTCTTGCCGTGGGCACGATCAAGGGCCATTATCAAAGTGCGGTCTGCAAAACACGATGACTTTGCTACACCCAATTGCGACATTATGTCTCGGGTCGCTCCTTGTGAACCGCTTACACCTCAGTTTCAACTTAAAACTCCAGACCCCTCACTGTTGACAAACATCACGCCTTCTTCGGTCATCCTCTGACCAGTCAGATCCTCTCGCAAGGTATTTGGTGCAGTCGGCCGTGCGGCCCGTCTGGCCGTTTGCCTATGGTTTTCTCCTATTATGTATTTTAGCAGTGTCTCACTTAACATATGTACCTAGTGTTTTTAAGGTTGTTGGCTTATTTGTTTTCCATATCCCCTCAACTCTCCTCTGTTCCCTCCAAGGACTGCTGATACACTCGAAGTAAACATACCAACAGTAAGTCCAAAATTGGTTGGCTAAGATCGCAACAAGGGAACTACCGAGTTACAGCAGGCGATTGAAGCCCGGGCAAAAGTAGTAGAGGGATGAACTGCCACTGAAGAACAATATAATAAACTTAAAGAAGAAGCAGAGAAACGCGATCACAAGGCAAATATAGAAGCTATCAAGTCAGACATGCTGAAGTGTCCAAAGAGATTAACCTGGTGGTATATCCAAAGATTCATATACATCATATTTAGTATCGACATATCCAATCACGTTTGATGCGGATTGAAAATTTCTGTTAAGCAGAATTCCAATTATTAGGCAAGGTTATTTGCCTCCAATATCTCATAAATTTGCTAATGGTGGAAGGAAGTAGGATGAATCTTACTTCTTCTTCTCTTCCTCCCAAACCCCTCTCCCAACGGCATCCATCACAAACAGAGTACAATCTACATTGCCAATATGGCCATCTAGTCTGTCATATTGACCTTCTCATAATTGCAAATTTCACGAGATAGAGAGAATATGCTGGTAGATTTCCTAGCTACCCTTGCTACTCTTCTGGATGCTTGCGTAACCAGCTTCCTCTGCAACATGCAGCTCCGGAAGAGGATCAAGCTCTTTGTACAAATCAATGTATCCAGCAACGACACAGGTACGAGCAGCATGATAGATCATATTTGGGTATCGTTGAACAAGCGCCCGCAGAGCATTCTCGCTTGGAACATCTGGATGCCAAATACAGTAAGTCGCCTCGTCGGGTTCGGAGATGGTTGGAGTGATACCGCCCATCGTATCACGGGCATTCAAGGCTCGCGTCAACTCTTCAAGTCACCCCACGAAGCTCCTGGGCGTAGCCATAGTGATATCTGATGCCGTGAATAATACACAGCTGACGTACCCAGTCGCCAAAAGTCTTTGGAAGCTGTTGCCCGTGAACTGTCTCTTTGCAATCCTCTGCAATGTACTTGACAATTGAGATTCCCCTTTCAATGAACCTGGTGAGGCAATACATACCGCTAAGTGGGGGACAGTCGCCCGAAGGTTCGCGGTGGGGAGCCCATGAGAGTTACAGTCAAAGCCCGTTGAAATGGAAGGATCAAGGGCAAGGAAATCCTTCTAAATTATGAAGGTACACAACACAGTGAGGGCTATGTTATCTTTGAAGGTCCCGAGGTGAGGTCTTGTTGTATTATCTAATCGTATTCTAGCATACCTAGCCCTGGAGGTAATTAGGTAGTCTTGGCATGCTTCATCTATTAAATGATGTAGTTCGCTGACACCCTCTGGATCAAAGCCTGGTACCTAAAGTACTGCTCTTGTGCCTTGCAATGCACTATTTGGGATAATTTCCGTTTAATTATGTCTACTATACTTGTTCAAAAAGACAAAAAGGAAATAGACTTAGAGACAACCAAATAGCATTGGTGGTGCTACCATCTTCTAGAAGAGACATATGTACTGATATATATCTTCCGATCTCCCTGGAAGTTGGGGGCGACGGCCGACTTCATATGTCCCGCTCTCTCTGATTATAATTATAAAGAGGTCATGTATTGTCGCTAATACCCAGAACTGTCCCTCCATTTTGAGGTTGTTAAAGGATTGAACCCGACAACTGCACCAGCAGGCATTTTTCCTAGACACCTGCATGGATGATATGATCACAAAATTGATAGATTTCCCAGTCGCTTGCTTTTTTATTCTGTAGATAAAGTGAAGCAGAGGTAGCTGTGCTTAGCATCCACCAGCTTCTAGATATATATTCAGCTGATTAGGTTTATGTATTTCTCGACATTGCTGCTTGTTATTAGCTGTTCCATGTCCATTTTTAGTCTCTATGGAGTCATCGAGAGTCTTAGTAAAGGTTTATCTATGTAGCTATTTCTATCCTACACTCTATTGTCCCAGTATCCTATTGCCTTCCCCAGGCATTTTCCAACTGCCTACTCTGTACTCTACGCTCTTCAATCCTCTCCCCGACAATATTGTACGTTTCGATCGTGAAACTGCGAGCTAGCCATTCCTTAGCCTATCCACAATCTAATTCCATTAGCATTCCTTCTTGCTGACCGACTCTTTCACTAGTTGATATCCCGAGACGACGCAGCTGGCCGACGGAAGCGGGAACGCGACGGGGAGATCAAACGTCTGGCCTTTGCGCCGAGGATGAACATTACTGACTCCTTCTCTGTAGCATGTCATATCAATGAATGATATCACCATGAGCTCTGTAGGGGTGTTAGATCTACTAGATAGACACCATGTTCTTCCATTACCTCGATATCTTTGTGTGTAGCATCCCCCCCTACTTTCCATTCCCCCCCTGGTAAGTGGGCATGGATTTATATTGTATGCTCCTTATCAACTTCAATATTTAAACAAGCATTTACCTGATTGAGAGTAAGAAACTAATAACCTTGTCTACCGCTCAAGTTCCGATCCATGAGTAAAATCTCCCCGGCACCCCCATGGAAAACTAGACAAAATATTACCAGTTCTAGGCGCCATATTTCAAAAAATCCGACTTTAAAAATGCCGCATATTTCCCGAAACATCCAGTAAGAGGTAAAATATTATGAAACAAAAACCAACACTGTGTCACAATCGGCCCTTTTAACTGGGAGTTGTTAGCGCACTAGCCGCGACAGTGCATAGCTACATGCCAGCAAGCCATGGCTTGGAATGTGGTAGGCTGGATGTTCCTCCCAACCTCTGAATTACCCCCTATGTCTCATCTAGAAACCCAGATTCCTGGTCTGCGACAAGTCTTTCTCTGTTAGGAAGGAGCCGAGTCCCTATATGTGGATGAAGAAGAATCCCTCAGCTTCTATGTATCAACTCCAAAACTATTGTAGGCTTTTTGTTTCTGTTTTTAGCCAAACAGCCGATGTCCTTCATTTCATTGATCTACTTGGCGTATTTTAGTGCCAAAAATCAGAGATAAACTACACTAAAGCACACACTAAAGTACCTACCCACAACCCCGGTATCCGGGATCCCCGTGCCCTAATTCAACCAATCAATCACCAAAACACAACCAACGCACAAATAACAGGCTGCTGAGAGACTCCTTTCAAATTAGACAACACCAACCTCTTTTTGCTTTTTTGGATTCTTTCCAGCTTTTGATTCTCCACTGATCATCCCTCCCCTGTTCGTATCAACACAACTCACCGGTCTGTTTCCATCCCACCCATTCCCCAGATTTGTTTCACCTTTTATCTAGCTCTTGATGCTGCCTGACATATAGGATACATCACCGGGTAATAGTATCTATGAAATGATTAATGATAAATTTGATCCGCGAATATGATCTGCATATGCGGGAAATACAGTCTAGGAGCACCTAGAACCTAGAAAGGCAAACCCCGAACCCACTAGGGCGGCAACTCCACAGACATGTAACACCAACACAACATTGCTCTAAAGAAAGAAATTTCCTCGGAGCGTTACCACAGGATCAGGAGCTGAGGTTCTCCCCCTAGCTAGGGGATCGGACGGAATTTTTGCGCGTTCGTGCTGCTGCAGGCTCGTTTTTGATCTTTCCGGTTTCAACACCACCTAGGCCATCCCAGCGGTCGTTAGAGAAGCTTCTTTTGAATATGGCTGTTTTGAGGATGGTGGATATCTGGGGAAAAGGGGTTCGGAAGATTTTTTTGTTATGGTTCGCAATGTTTATTTACATTTCTCTCGACATTTGTAGGTTCGTGGCCTATATTGGTTTGATCATTCAATTTTCTCAACTCTAATTTTCCTCTGTTCTAAGAATAACCCAGCATAAAAAGTCCTGGCTAGGACTTTGTCGATCTTTAATCCTTCATCTCATAGGGTCTTCCATGAACTCATGTTGGCACAAGGAACTCTTGTATTGGACGCTAGAGCCTCAACAGACTAGATAGGTCACGTCCGTCGGCAGAATCTTCTCCAAACACCCTACAACCAGGAAATTGCTTCTACCGGTATCTTATTACTTTGCTTTTTCTCTTTTTCTCAAGCAGGTTGGATTGGCCCACTAGGTCTAATTGGCCCGGATGCCACTTAGCTTTCCCCAGAAGCTCTCTGTGGCTACCCGCTCAGGATGGAACATTCCAAAACTGCCCGAGCCACCGCCAAGTCATGGATATTTATACAGTTTTTCGATCAGGTAGACCTGCAGGCGGGTGCATAGCCCTGTCCAGGGTTGTACATGGTGGAGACCAACGACATCCGCGGCATACTATGCTGAGACCGTTGTCAACGGGGATGCAGTTCCGGGGCCAATTCACCCAGCACTCGGGATGAGATTAAATGTAGATATAGAGTGTAAAGAAAAAGAAATATTGAACGGAGATATATTGACTTGGACCTAACGGCCGGGAGGGAAGATTCTCTTCGGGGAGCCGTCGAGAATGCAACTCATCCACTATTCGCTCCCGTTTCATACCTTTCCTAGACATACATTTGCCTCCCACAGGATCGAGGCTAAATCAAGACATGACGCTAGACAATAGAGAAAAGATCTGAAGCGCTCGGTAAGTGGATCATGGGCATACGACCGGGGTTCGTTCAGCTGATTTCCAGACCTGGGATTTCTGACCTGGCTAGGGCTCAGAAACTCTTGAGTACTAACCCATGTCTATATTTCTCTTTGTTCCTCCCTGTCTCCTCTAGAAGCCCAGAACAGGCCGAGATCTTTCTTGCTCATCTAGCAATGGCACGGGCCTCGATTAAGATTAAACGGGCCGAGAGGTTGAAATGAGCTGGCGGAATGATAGACATGGTTCATGTGCCACTGGTTCGATCAACTCATGATGTCTATTAAAAGACCCGGGAGATATCTCTCCCTCGCCTGGCTGTGTCGCCCAGTACATTGATATAAACTTGATATGATTCCATCCCCTATCCTCGACTTCCAACTTTTATATTTTATACTGTCTCTCAAACAATCTCCCCGTGTTCGCAACCTGCAACCTGGGACATTGACGTTACAGCAATACACAGCTTTACCTCCTTTCTCCTGACGGTTGAGTTGCCGACAGATCTGAGACCGCATTGCATTCAACGGCTCGACGTACAGCCCAATCTCCTCCAAGACCGATCTCTCAAAAGCCACAAAGCCGTGCCATTTTGAAGCATAGCTGCTACTTGAAAGTTACTGCAGGCTTTTGTCTTCTCATTGAACTCACTCAAAGAAGCTTTTGCAATACCAATCACTCGTGGCATTGCCTCCTAGTAGTAAATTGCGTGCTATCGTGTGCATACAGTAAGTGATACCCAATCAGTTCTCACCGTTCTGGTGAAACCTCTCCATATGTAGAACATATCACTAACCTCTTATAACGGTCAGCCCTGCAGTTCTCCTCAAATTCTCCACACTATATCCAGTGTGTACTGGTTTCCAAAAGGGAAAATCTCCGGGATAGCGGTCTTCCACACCCAGCGACAACCCGCGTACAACACTCGCCAGCAATTGCGGTGAAGCGTGGAAGACAATAACCCCTCTATCCTGCTCATCATACTTTTTGTAATTGTTTTATTTTAATTACTCTCTGTGGTCAATATGGCAGATGTGCTGGCTATTTCTGGGGTGCCGAAGCCATGGATGGACCATCCGAAGGAGTACAATCATGTGTCGCTTGAACATATATCCGCCTACTCGTCAAGTTTCCTTGGGAGTTCGGATGATCTTGATAAACAGCTTTCCTCTTCCCGCACAGATTGGTACTCAGCCTTCTACCCCTCCACAAAAGATTCTCCCTTGGACTTTCATTTGCTTCACTACCCTTACCCAACCATTCAATCCCAACAACGTCCTCGAAAGCCTGTTGAAGCTATGCTAAACCAGCATCGTTTGGCAGGACATTCCATGCCTCCTATCGAGGACAGGCGCTACATGCCCCTCCGAGTGGAAGAACCACGCAGCGCCGCGTATTCGCAAAACGTGTCTCCATTCACGAAGCGGCTGGACCTGAGCAGCACTCTTTCAAGCAACGGAAGCACTTATTGTGAATCCGATCTTGATTCGCTGGACCACTTTGACGAGCCTTTCACAACTCAGCACATGGAATCACACGCAGGGCTAGTTCATCCAACACCACGGAGCAACATGTTCACGGTGGCTAGCAATTCATTCCTCCTGGGCACTGAACAAACGCCTGGTCTCTCACCCTTTGGGGTCTCAGATTCCCCACAGAACGAGCAGGCCATTTCCAACGCTCAGTTCAATCTCCCAAACCCAAACAGCGCCAACTATCCCATGAGCTTACCCCTCAATACTCACTCACACAACGCGCATCTCGTGTCATCATCCATCACACCTCCAGATGCAAGACCTGTAGATTATGGCGAGGCCATGCCATGGTCTTTCTATCAACCAGCCAACCCAACCGATATCTGGTATCCTACTCGCGACCCCAGCGGTTCATCCGAGGACGACGACTGGCAAACCCACAACGGCTACAGTGCACCTTGGCCTGTCTCAAATGCATACATAAGCTCAAACGAATGTAACGAGCTAGCGGCCCACATTTATGGACCGAGCAATGGACTACCCATGCCCTCTTTTGGACCATCGCCTATGACTTTGGGCTCATCCATGCCAACCGGGCCCATGAGACACGTATCCCATTTACCAGTTTGTGGACCCTACGTACCCTCCATCGAGGCTCCTCGGTATCAGCCCCAACCACACCCAATGTACCTCCCAAGCACACAGCCCGTTGCCACGGACACAGAATTTGGATCCCCGGACCAGAAGCCAGCGAACAGCCTCAGTCCATCCTTCTCTGCCTCGACCAATGAAGAGGAAAGATCCCCGCAGCAGAGTGGAGAGGAACAAGGCAGCATTGAAGCCGGTGTGCACTACAGCGACGAGCGGAACACATTCCTCATCGACTGCAAGCGCCGCGGGCTATCCTACAAGGACATCAAGCGAGTTGGTGGGTTCAAGGAGGCGGAGTCTACACTGCGAGGTCGGTATCGCACTCTCACCAAGTCTAAAGACCAGCGAGTGCGAAAGCCAAAATGGCAGGACAAGGATGTGAGTTACGAAACTGTTCTTTGCTTTTGCCCAAGAGAGGAGCCCAAACTAACTTGATCCCATTATAATAGCTCCGGCTCCTTTGCCAAGCTGTCACCATCCACGCTGAATCACACGACACCTACAGCTCGCTGGTCAACGCTAGCATCAACATGAATGAGCCACCGAAGGTATCTTGGAAGAAGGTTGCCGAGCACATTTGGGCGAATGGCGGATCTTACCATTTTGGTAATGCCACCTGCAAGAAGAAGTGGTGCGAGATTAACAACATCACTCTTTGATTTGGATCATTGAATAAATACTCTACGACTAAGGGTGAATTTGGTTCTTTTTGTCTCTTCTCTCTTTTGATATGCAAACATACTTTAGCAAATGTGTCTACATTTTGTGTTTTATTTTTATTCAGCTGGTCTGAGTCTTTTGTTGTAGCGCTGTCTCTGTATAATTTTCCGCTTGGTTGCTTTCTGAATATTGGAGTACAATGTTTTATTTACATATAATTGAGATTAAGTTAAGATGTACTAGCTGATATCTGATGTGATAAATTTATAGTTATATTGAGATCTATCAGATCGCAACCTCGTCCCTCAAACCTGAAGTTCAAGTTTGAAGGGCGCGATCCGTTAGCGTCTTTAATGTCGAAACAACGCGACAAACATTTCAAAGCAAAACAAGGCAAAACATGCCCCGGTGAGCTTTCAAACTCCGGTGGCAAGACGGGCCAGGAGTGGAGTGAGCATCCACGGTGCATCTGTTGGCCCGAGATGAAGCAGAAAAGTCTCTAGGAGCACCTTTCTTGTGAGTTCATCCAGGATGCGACAGAGGTGGAGGCCAAGTAGTACCTTGGCGTCCTCGATCCTCAACGCGAGTTTGTCGCGCTCTTCGTTGAGGTTTTCATCCAGGCCCTCTTTGCGATCTAGCATAATTGCCAACACCGTGATTCCATCCAGGATATCTTCTTCAGCAGTCTCTTGGCGTACCGGAGTAGTTCTCTGGAGGGGCCGTGTGCCACCTTCGCTGGTATTTACCGCCATGGTCTCCGATGAGCATGAGAGTGCACCGGATTCGGAAGAATCAGAGCTGCCGGACGAGACCGAGGATGTAGGGGATACGGAAGATGCGGAGGATAAGGGAGAGTGGGTAGAGAAGTGGGTAGAGAACGGGCCAGAGGTAAAGAAGGATGTTGATGAGAGGGAGGAGGAGGTGGCGGTATGCAAAGTTGAAAGAATCAGGTCATTTTTATGGTACTCCATAATCAGATGTTGGAGGTATAAGTAGTTTCAGTTGGATAATTTGCAAGAATTGGATCAATGGTGTCAGTCAGACAGTTCTTAAGAGTTAACCTTGAAAAGTATTGGTGAATTTGAGGCGATGTAGGAAGGTGCAGGAAGTCCGAGAGATATGTAGTATAAATAGTGCTTCAGTAAGAAAGGTTTCTATAAGGCTAGGCTATGTGGTTACAGTGGAGGAAGTTGCAAGAGTTCTCCTTTGATGTTCTTAAACCTGAGAGATATTATTGGTATTGAGCTGGGAGAATGTTCTCAATATATAATAACATAGTAATGGTTCACTAGAGCCTTATTGATCTAGCATTCAGTTTCACATACAAGTATCTCTTACTATCACTAGGCAACTATGAGCTATCTCTACTTAAGAGAGAGTATCGGATAGTCAAAGGTGCCACCTAGTATCAGCGTTCAATGTCACCTCACTTATATATCACTTGGTATCATCAAGTTGCTCACCTTAGACTCAATTTCTATCATATCCCAATACTTTGAGTCTTGTATTTTAGACTTTCAGCTTTCGCTCACCACTCAGTTTTTCCTTTTCACCTCTCACAAGTCACTTCAACTGATTTGAAAGCCATCAAAAGTGCCTCATCAGCTTCCTACCCTGGGCTATTGTCATGAACATTCTTCTTTGTCTCTCTACAAGATATACATACTTTTTGTACTCGGTGCTCATCCAGTTGACAGTCAGGGCTCGCCTACAGAGAGTACATCTGTCCATGACACTGAACCCCCGCAACAAAGCCCATCGGTACCATCCGCTATGTCGTTCCCTGACAGCCAGAAACGAAAACGGGAGACAACGACCGAAGGCATCCGTCACATGTTCGGCAACTACACAGAACTTGCTACCGACTGCGACCTCATTGATGAAATCGTAATTACGACTGCTATCATTACGGAGATGGATAGAGCACTAAATACGCCTGAAGCACAGCGTATCTTCCTGTTGAGCGAGGAAATTCTCGAGAATAATGAAGGCTGCTCTTTACCCTTCTTCTTTTTAATTCGCTCATTATAATTGTATATTAGTGGGGGATTTACAGGCTTAGAATTAAAGCTATAAATATAGCTTCATTCCTAGGTATAAAGAGATTAGACAGTTTTACAATTTTATTCTATACACCTTTGTGAAAAACTCATTCCAAATTACTGCATGTTGTTTAGTACATTACTCTACTTATAGTATATTATTCAACACATGATTCTGCCGCGCTCATTCATTCAATATCCTCGAATTTTCATGGCTTAGCTAGTCATAGGGATGATATATATCCGGTCCCATGTCGGGATTTTGATGATCTACCTCAGGCAGATAATTTGATCCTCCAGTATTTGGCTCTCTTATTTTCTCTCTCTCCAGCTAGATCAATTCATGCCCATTCTTCAACTTCCGCTTTCCATCGATGGTTTCATTTCGAAAATATGGATAAAGAGTTGGTACTACTCCGACTATCTTCCTTTGCGTGCCTTGCCTTTGCATTCCGCAGGCCAACAACTTTAGATACATAGTTTTTCAAAGTTCATCTCCTCTAAAAAAAAAATACAATTCCGTTCTGTCTCTCTCTGTCGTCTCGTCTGATAGACGTAGAATGTTCATAATTAGGTTGGTGGTTGACGTCTCGGATTTCATTAACCGGGGCATCGATACCCGCTACCCCGAGCGATCGCTCAATAGCCGTGGGGTAGAAAATGCAATAGCCGTAATGAAAATCATCAAGAGAGTCGGAAAAGAAATATTTAACTAATTCCGCCTTGCCAGCTTAGAAATGAATTACTTATAACAGGTTTTACAATTCTTCTTGTACTAGTTACCCGTTGACCATCATCAAGTCCCCATAAACCCTATTCCAAGCACCAACCCCCGATCTATACAACTCAAAAGTCCACCCAAAATGACCAAACCAATCGTCCTCCACCTCGGCGATGACATTCGCTGGAATCATGACCAGTACAGCAAGTTCAAAGATGTCTTTGAGATCCGCCGGTCCTACAGCATGTCTCGGCCGGAGTTTATCCGAGCCCTAAAAGATCGCCAATTCGGCGACTTCTTCGCCATCTACCGCCCATTTTGGAATACTGGAGGTGAGATGGGGAACTGGGATGAGGAGCTTGTCTCGCTGCTCCCAGATTCCTGCAAGGTCTATGCTAGTGCCGGTGCCGGGTTTGATTGGGTTGATACTGCAGCTTTGGCGAAGAAGGGTATGTATGCAATGACACAAAGCTATCCGGAAAACCTATGGAGAAAGCAGCTAACAGGTTTCAATTCATTTAGGAGTTATTTACTGCAATGCCGCTGCAGCCTGCACAGAATCCGTCGCCGATGCCGCAATCTGGCTCATAATCTCAACATTCCGTCTGTTTTCTTGGTCACACATTGCCGCACGCGCTCTGGACGCTGATGCATTTGTCGACGCAAACCGTAACCTGGCAATGGTCTCACACAATCCCAATGGCAACACACTTGGAATCATTGGATTTGGTCAAATTGGACGGCGCACTGCTGAGAAAGCCTTCCTGGCCATGAACATGAAGATTCATTACCATGATATTGTCCAAATGCCCGCACACCTGGAAGCCGTCTCCAAGGCCACATACCACAAGGACATGGACAGCCTCCTCGCTCTTTCAGACTGTGTAATGGTTGCGACGCCATTTAGCGGGGAGACACTCCTCAATGCGTCTCTGCTCGCGAAGATGAAGACCGGCTCGCGACTCATTAACATTGCTCGTGGCAAGCTTCTCGATGAAGGCGCTCTTGTTGATGCCCTGAAGAGTGGCAAGCTCGCCGCTGCTGGATTGGATGTTCACTACGACGAGCCGCATGTTAGTCCGGAGCTTGCAGCCATGAAAAACGTTGAGATGATGGCACACAACGCAGGTGCTTCGGTTGACTCACATATCGGGTTTGAAAGGTTGGGTATGGAGAATATCGTTTCGTTCTATCAGAACGGGAAGGCTATTACCCCCGTTAATGCGCATCTGGTCGCAAAGGCGACAGGTTCTAAGCTATAGACAATGTTATGTTCAAATGGTATAATTGCTGATTGCACCTACCGTGTTGGGCGTTACTCGACGCCCACCTTTCTACCGAATCGCCTTCAGACGACTGCGTACTATAAATTCGTGAGATGGGCCCAAACGGTCTTTCATCCTTACAACTACCTCCCATCCCATCACAAGCAATTGCTTTTTCCAGCGCTAGCTTGTCTTCCAAACCTCTCAAGCGTGTGCAGTATACCTCCACGCCCACCCACCCACACCATCATACCTCTCCTCTCTCCCCAAGCGGCACCTGTACCACCACAAGGTATGTAAACAGAGAAATTGAGACACGTGCCTTACGGCAGTCTCGCCCCATACATGTACCAATTGACCATATGCTAATGTGACTTGACCTATAGCATGAACGGACAGGCCGCCGCCATCACCCCCCTCGGCATCCGACGGGCCTTCGAGGCGGGCATTGTCAACCTCCGGGCTAGCATCGACCGACTTGATGCAATGGCCAACAACCCCCCCTTCAACCCCGCCGAGTTCGAGGCTCTGAGCGAGCAAATCTTGGACACCAAGATTGAGTTCGCGAAGCAGATCCGCCGCTGGCGCAACCGCCGGGACGCCGTCATCCTGGCCAACCTGTACGGCCGGCTCATCGGGGCCATGCCCGATGACGATGGAGTTATCCCCTAAGTGGGATGTGTTCGTGTCTTATGTTTCGAACCCTGGCCCATGCAAGGTGGCTGGTCCATCTTGCATGGGTCCGGGTTCATGAATGAAATTCAAATGCTTCCTCACCAATTCTTCCTTCATTATTAATAGTAAAGTAACATAAATCTCAGAGTAATTAAAGGGTATCATGCGAACAAATAAGCCCAATACATATCCCCCGTTCCTTGGAACCATTGTAGATTGTCACCCTAGTTCTTCATAACCGCCTCCGGTGGTTGAATGCGGCCTGGTGCTTCGATAATTGCGCCAGGAGAGTCAGGTCCAAATTGCACCACTGGTCCATCGTGCGGATGAATTGCCACTTGCACACCGCAGTTCGTACAGAAGTGGTGTGAGTCGTGACACATTTCCATACAGAATGGTAGGAATGCACAACAGATTCCGCCAAAGAGACAGCAACACACGGCGGCCATACTACAAAGTAAATGAGATTAGCATTATCAGAAGTGAGACCGAGCGGCAGGTGAGGTGAGAATATATCAATACTTACGATGTGGCACTAGTGCTCTCCTTGTTCACTCTGGTCTGAACCTCATGGAAACAAAACGGACAACAAATCCGTCCGGGCTCTTCACCAAGTTCCGCCAGAGGGATAACATTCTGAGCAACAGCAACTTGGGGGCCAATTGGTGCGCCTTTCTCGTTGGTTTGTGGCAATGTAACTGCCGGTGCCGGTGCCGTGATTGCGTCTTTCTCGTGTCTATTTGTGTTAGCTTGGCCTGTATTCTTTGAATCGGGAAGCATACTCATCGTATTGTGGAGGAGGTCCACTCTCTGTGGGTATGATCGACATTGGGTCGGATACCGGCAATGATCTTGCTGTGGATGTAGTTGGTTCCTGTGGCGGCGTTGGTCCAGGGGCTGTAAGCGACGCCGTGGGCAACTCTCCGGGCGACGTTGTGGCATCTGCTGGCACTGTATTTGGTACAGTCGTTTCCACTGCTGAATCCGTTGTTGGTTCAGCAGCCTTCACCGATGGAATTGGCAATGCTGACTCTTTGTTGGGTTCCATGGTGGTAATCTGTCCGTAGATCGATAGATAAAAAAAATCAAAACCAATGAGTGCAGCGCCGTCGTTCTTAAATGCCAATGGGGTCAAATGTGGGGCCCAATTCAGAGTACAGTGGATCGAAGAGAATTTGAGGCTTAATGACACAGCTTAAGGGTCTACTCCGTACAAGGCCAATAGACGCGACACGAAAATTGGGCAGTGGATTTTGGCCAATCATGATGGGTCTTTATAGATCACATGGCTTGGCCCCGAGTCTGCGCCCCAGTTACAGTGCCCGGTCAAAGCCCCCTAGGGTCTAGCGAGCTTTCCTTAGCTTAAGAAGATAAGAAAATAAAGGGTCCCCGTGAGTCATGGGTGACTTGCTCTAATATTATGGTGTCATTGATCTTGGTAGTCTAGGCAATTATCTGTTACAAAGTACGAGCGGGAATGAATATATCAAATCGGGTTCCACTGCCGATACTACTAGAAGAATCAGAACAACCCACATCTAATGAAATGTCGAGGGAGCAAATTTGTATCATGTGAAAATACGGGCTAGTATACATTAGGCCTAGTAAGTATAACACTTGTATGAGTAGATCTCAAACTAATTGTACGGGTAGTTATCAGATACCATCGCCGTCGCCGTCGCCCCTGGCGATGGCTACATGGATTGCAACCCACTCCTATATACCCAGGGCGACCAGTACACTCACTTTCCTTCATAGAAAAACCGTTTCTACGAGACTTACCTTTTGCCAATGTTCATTCTCACCACCACAGCATCATATCCACAAATTTACGCCCCCAAGAGCCAAGAGAAAAGGAAGCGCCAATAAAACTACCACCCCCTCCCACGACCCACGCTGCCAAGCCAAGAATTCGTCGAGCAACACTGCGGCCATCAGGCTGCAGAATATGAGTGATATCCCGAGCTTTCACGATAAGTCACAACTCCATGCTGTCATGGCAAACAACCTGCCTCGTGATATCCAGCGGTGTGATGGCCTTTTGATCAAATCTACATCCCAAAGATCACCAGAGAAAGCTATAAATGCTAGGCTGAAAACTTGACTATTTGCAGCAATGCCCGCTCATTTTCTGAACTCGAATCCGCCACTCTATGAACAAGTTAACAGAAGCAATTGGGGTTTACGGAGTCACGTGTGACCCTCCCAGCGCCTTCCTATCTAGGCAGGTGTCTGTTTCTGCGGGGTATCTTCTTTCCAAGGTTGTCTGTCTGCCTTGTCCATCTCGCTTCTGCCTTTTTATGGCTCGTGTTTAGCCTCGCTCGGGGCTCCTGCCATCCAACAGGGTCGGAATTGAGACAACATCAATCATCGTCCCGTTTTCTCTACACGAGTTTGGCCCAAAGCTCTATATTTCCAATGACATCATTCCCCCCATCTGGTGCTTTTCGTTGTTGGTCTATTTATAGCCTTGAAAGAGTTGTGATGAAAATGTAGAATGGACACATCTGAACAAAGGAAACATGTCTCTGGCTAGTCTGGTGGCTTTGGCTCTGGTTGGTTATGGCTTCGATTGGCTTCACTATTTGCTTTTCCCCGTGATAGCAATCAGTGTTACTAGGCCATGGGCTGGAACAAACACCTCAAGAGAGCCTCTCCATACCTGAATATCCGCACACCCTGTACTGGTATCCCAAGGGAAACTTTAGCAGATTACCAGATGCTTCAGGTATTATACACTTTATCTTGTCCATGCTACATATTCAGAATCCACATTCTTCCATCTTCTAACCTCTCCGCCCATCTGGATACAGAACATAAGAAAAAAGTATATTTCCTATTGGACAAACATGATAGAATCCTTTTTGATATGTTGTAGATGGAAGAAATACAAGACTAGATGTGTATTCAATTTGTACACCTCCAAGCAAATCCATTCCGGGTATTCGATTCTGGCATGCAAGTAATCTACCACATCAACCGCATAGCTATACAACAACCCCAGACAACAGATTCACAGCGAAGGCCCCCGAGAATCCGTACGAGGATACCCAATCGTAGCAAGGACCTGCGTCAAATACTCCGGATTATCACGCAGAGCATCCCACTCGCCCTCAGCCTTCACCATCAGCGTCGCGGCAAGGATAGTACCATTCAGCGAGAGCACGCCGGGATCAACAATATCGCGCGTCGCCGCACTATCGACGGGGACAAGTGCCGTCTCCTGTCTCCGCGGGCAAATCATCATCGTCGAGGGGGTCATTGCGAGGTTGTAGCTTATAGACGCCGGTCCTTGTGTGGGGAGGGTCTCCGTGTCCTGGCCTAGTGTCCGTCCGCGCGTCGCTGCGGCTGCGGCCTTGTAGAGGGTGAGGTAGATTGCGTTCAGGGTTTCGGCGGAGGGGTTTTGCGGGATTGGGAGTGCGAAGTGGGCGAAGGGGAGACCTGGTAGGTGCTGGAACTTCGGTGTCGGGGAAGGGGAGGTCGGTTGGGAGGCGAGGAGGTCGATCAGAGGGTGCCAGGACTCTGAGCCCGGCTGACGCATTGCTTCGACGGGAAGGAATTGGAGATGGCGGTGGGGTTGGCTTGCGCCGCTGTCGTCGCCGGAGTTGAAGAAGGCGAAGAGGCTCTTTGGAGATGAGCCGTTTGCGGATCGGGATCCATCGTCGTCTGTGTTCCACGCTTTGAGACACTCATATGTAGCTTCTAGGTCTGCCTTGTCCAGGATATCTGTCTGCGCTTGCCAGTCTTTTGTCACGAGGAGGAAGTGGTTCGGAATGACGGGGAATTTGTTGAGGATGAGGTTGTAGGTGGGGTTCTCGGGCGGGAACTGGGCGATCAGAAGATCTGGAGATGGGTGCTCGAAGGGATCGGGTTTTGGTGTTTTCGGGCCATCGTCAGGCTTTAGATTGGAGGGTTTCTTTGCGAGGGCTGGGCAGTAGCGAAGTTGATACTGGGTTTGCAGGTTAGAACTGCCGTGATCGGAGTCTTAGCGTCACTCACTGATATCCCTGCAGCATTGATGATGGACAGATGGGTTGAGGAGAACACGAGATGGCCAGAATCTCGAGCAGCTGTAAATCGTCTTGCGACCAGGGTGGGGAGAGATTCTGGAAGTCCTAATTGCATCGTGAAGGTTGAATGGAGTTGAGACCGGGGGAGGTGGCAGAACATGGGGGTGGAGATCGGCAGATCGGCTCTGCCTCTCTCTTGGGCTTTTTTTTACTTTGGACTACACAGTTCTTGTCTTAAGCAATTAAAAGTATATAGCATGTTTTTGTTTCATATAATTTGAATGCGACACTCATATGAGTTTCCAATTAATAGTGTCTTGGTAGATCCCGACCAGCAGGATCTGGCACACAGGCGTGTAAGACCAGCCTGGAGAGAAAACAAAACAAGGAAACAAAAGTCATTTAAACGTGTCAGTCCCAAGGTATCATCCATAATCCGTATTCAGACAAATCGTTCGTCAAGACGCCACTGCTGTACGGAAACATGAGACATAGAAAATAAACAGGGGAGTAGGAGGGGGAGAGTAGGGAGTAAAGACAAAAGGAAGTCATTTAAGCCATTAATTCATTGAGCGAAATCTCATCATCATGGGGCTGGCACAGTTCTGGCAATAGCATCGCCGGCTGACCCATAATATGAGGCGAAGGACCATTCAACCAAGGACCACGCTCCTCCTCGGTGGCATTCAGCACACCCTCAGCGCGCTTCAACGTCTCGACATCCAGATCGGTAACGTAGGCATCGCGGTTGGTGCCATCTCCGGCACCACCGGGGAGTCTCATACGGACCTCGAACTCGTTGCTGAGCATCATCTCGTCTTTCCACAGACGGCGCTGACCATCAAAGACACACAGCACGCGCTTCTTGGTCTTCATGCTGCTGCTGGGACAACCCCAGGACTGAGGGTAGTTGCCGCGGTTATTGCGGCGGCGGGTTGCGACAGCGCGGGGCTTGGATGTATTCTTGGAGATGGCATTACCGGAGCCGATAATAGGGCGGGAAGCAGGAATATTGCCCTTTGAGGATCTGGGCTTAGTCTTCAGACCGCGCCAGTTGGCTGGGTCTTGGGCATCATCGTCGTCTTGGTCTTCGTAATCGTCGAATTGGTCGACCGGCCCAGGCACGTCGTGAAGTTGGTGCTTCTCCATGGTCTTTTTGACCTCTTCGTCTGAAGCGACCTCAGCCAGATGCTGCTGGTTGATCGCCTCCGATGGCTCTTCTTGCTGCACGACGCGGAGAACGCAGTCGTCCAGATGCTCGTAGAAGTCCTGCGCGTTGCTGAAAGTCGATGAGCAGGTTGAACACTTTCCTGTCGCGTCGGGGCTATAGTTGGTGCCCTTCTTGGCTACGCCGGGGCTGCGCTTCCGGCAGTTGGGCGGGGTTTGTTCCACGCCGTGAACGGAGGTCAAGTGACGCTTGAAGACGTCGGCGCGGTTGAAGCTCTTTTCCGCGGGGGAGCCGGAACCTGGGCAGAATCCGCATACCATTGTCCCTTTGTAGTGGGTCAGGGTGTGGCGGTTCTTGTCGTACTTGCGGGCGAATCCCTTGATGTGGTACTCGCAGTTCAGAATCGGGCACTTCTCTGGTCGCTCTGACTGATGAGTCAACATGTGGGCTTTGAGGTCTTTGAAGACTCGGCCACAGTCGGGGTGTGGACAGCGCCCTTTTTCTTTGGTCTCTTCGTCTGGTTCAATACTGCTCAAGGCCGGGCTGTGTTGCGAGCGTCGGGAATGAATTGAGGAAACAGACGATCGTCGATCATAGATCGAGAGTGGTCTTGAATGCGACCTGTGAGGCACCATGAGGGGAGATGGTCCAGTGTGTTGTATTGGGTGTGAGCGGGGTGAGGTGTGGTGCTCTGCGATGTCATTGTATGGGAGAGGTGATGGCGCGGGAGAGTGAGAGATGTAGTTGGGTGGTACGTTGGAGTAGGAAGAGGTGGGTTGGTCGGGATATGAGATAGTCGGAGTGATTCCAGGACCTTGTTGCGCCGGTTGAATCAATGAGGGATCTGGTATGCAATGTTAGTACACCAGG